TAGACCGTTGAAACGCGGCACGGCAGGCATCTGTGTGGTGGTGAACCCCCACCAATCCTTTGATCTTGGTTATGAGCTTACCATCCCGTAGAGCGACGGCAATCTTTGGGGATTAGGAGGCACAGCTTTGCTATCACGCGCGCAACACACCGAGTGACACCGAGTTAGTCTGAGCTTGATACCTGTTACCAGTCAATAAGCTTGTTCGTTTACACGCGATTGTGGCCCGTACAATATTAGCTGCATCTCGGATAGCAAGAGCTTTTTCGCGCGGGCAAGGATTCCTCACTTCGGTTCAGGTTCAGCATATATTAAACAGCACATATAACCACTATAACCCGGCCCCTTTTAAGATCATGGTTTGAGCTTGGGGTAATCTCGGGTCGAAGCAACCCTCGCCCTCGTGAAAGGCCCCCAACCAATGTGACATATCACAACAACGATATTTAGAAACACCCTAAGCTGTCAGTCAACAAAATCTCTAGACGTCAGTGCGAAAAGCTACCGTTCTTTTTTGACACACATACACTAGTAAGAACCGCGCCAGAGATCAGATATGGCGCTACTGTAGGTACCTACTAACTTCAGTCTAATCAATCAGTCAATCTTTCTCTCTACTATGTATTTTCTCTCCTCTTTTTTGCCACGCGTTAGAATTAGATACCTAGATAGCGTAGCCTTGACCGCTTCGTTTCCGCTGCTAATAAGGAATATTGCACGCTTCTCGAACCAAAGTTTCCGTTCCTTACCAGGCCGAAATTGGACAGGCCTCGTCCTGTTTAGTCATCGACACTGACATCAGGATCCACAGGCCTTCAACCGTTGTGGAGCCTTACTCGTGTTGAGAATGCATGTCCAAGTTGATGTGACTTGACTAAGGGCCTAGGGCCTAGTTGAAGACGCCCTTGAAACTTTTCGAGGCCATGGTGCGGTACGGGATCAGGGGGAAAAAGAGAACGGAAAATCTCACTTGCTGCTGTCAAAACGGAATAGAGAAAAATAAAAGGCATCCACTTGTTGGAGACTTCGAAGCAACCAAACCATGTGGTTTGGTAGTCGTGGTACACACGTACATCATGAGTTAGGTATCCAAGCTCCCCCCTACGTTGCGGCGAAATACTACTGTATCTATGGCGCTTGTGGGAAAGACGAGAGGAAAGGGAAAATGTCCGGTAACATTTCCCCTGACTGACCCGTTACCAACCTGGTCCCTGTCAGCTCTCGGCGCTCTCCCATGCCCACGCCATGGGTCCTAGTCCCTTTAGTCCCTTTGTGGAGGATCACGGTTGACCAACAAGGCTAGCTTGACTTATTTACCTAAACTGTAATCGTCCGCATCATCTCGTGCGATCTGCCGACTTCATTTTGGCTAGTCCGACAGCCTGGTCATTTTCTAGTCGTCTGTTAATGTCGACCTTGTTGATACAAACATGATACATAATCATTATCATCAGATTAGGAAAACGAGACTCGGGCGGTGACAAGGAGAACCCTGTGGAGGCAAGTTCATATCAGTAAAAGCCTTGCTTGCGTATTACTTTTACATATATCTCTTTACAAAGCGCTAGGCTGCTAGGCAAGTAAGTAATATCTGAATAATCATAGCAATTTCGTTTGCCGATTCTGCACCATCGTTGCAGAACGGTATGTACAGTGTAGGTATGTAGGTATGTAATAGGTAATAATAATAAGAATAAGAAGCCTTAAAGGAGGGCGGCTGCTAGCTCGTCACATTGCACTTCGATATCACCTGCATCGCTTCGCATCAAGAAACAGCGGCCGACGTTCTATTTTAGACATACAGCAACGCCCGCTACTACAAGGAGGTTGCTGTGTCGCCGTGTAATGGTACGCGATCGCAAACCCGCAATCGCAAGCGAGGTACCTTTTCCTGGGGGATCGCGCCAGACTGTTGTACTTTCATACTTCGTCTAACATACGTAAATACTTACCCAGTTACGTATCTAGGTATCTACCTAGATTATATATACACGTAACGTACATTGACTTGAGTAAGCAGAGAGACGTTTCGGTCATGATATCTGCAGGCCTTTATTAGTACCGGCATAAGTAGGTTGTTCCCTCACAGGCTATCGCTCCCTCTGATCAGGTAAGTGTTCCTCCAATCAGGGGAGCGTCGCTCATCACTTGCTTTATGAGAACCAAAAAAGAGCTCCATCGCGAAAGGATGCGGCTGTTGCGCCGATTACCGTCGTGGGATGGGATGGGCTTTCATAAAATAAAATAAAAAACAAAATAATCTACGTATGATGGCCCGTCCTTTTTTGGGGGCGAGTTCCTCCCTACACTAACTTGAGATGTACCTAATCTACCCTTCCAAGGGAACCCAGGGTTATAGGTCATGTATTATTATACATATTCCGTACTCCCAGTCCTACCTATCGAAATGCTGTGGTACCCTGGCTACCCTCCAAAAGCTTACATGACCTCCGAAGTGGCGTGCCGGGTTTGTCCAGCAGGTGGATCTCTTGCTAGGCGCGCTGATCCAAATCGGGAATGTGTTGGATACAAGTCGTGATCTGTATGTACCTACTACGGTAGGTATTTTGTTATCCTCCGCATTCGAGGTAGAATCCTATCCTATTATGTTCGCGTATTGTCAGAAGGTACCCAAGTAGGTAAGTACCTAGGTATGAATTCATATTCATGTGTTAAGAGATTGATCGCTAGGAAGTACCCAAGTAGATCAACTCTGCTGAAGCAATGACGAGTACCTAGGTATTTGCCCATTGGACCTCGTTTACTTACCTCTCCATCATCATTGCCGTGAATGGTCTGCTCTTTAATCATTCGACTTATAACAAAAGACAGTTAACTGCCATGCTAATCCATTATGCGCTTTCGTTATCTGCACCTCGGCCCACACTTGCTTTCGTTCTTCTAATGACAATTCGACAATTCGATATACCTCATCTCGGGTCTTCCTCGCTGTTAAGCGGTTCGTGATAACCAGGCATGCAAGCGAAATTCCTTGATATTGGCATCGTCTCTCGCTCTATTGTCCTTTCTCCATCGTCCAGTTCCGGTTCGTGGGCCGAGGGAGCTATCAATCCAATATCATCCGTCCCTTTCTTCCCCCCCTATATCAGAGAATCTGTTATTATCAAGGCGGCGACGGTTTTTTTCATTAGCAAAAGCTACAATGTACGCAGCCTCCCCATCCTACAGCGAAAACCATTGGCTAAAAAAACCACAAAAAATAAGGGCTACCTCGAAGATAGGTACGGATACATGACATTTTTTTTACAAGGGTCCAATAAACTTATGTGCGCCTTTTGCGAAGCGAGCTTACTGGATCCCCGCCGCCACCCCTGGTCGATACCCAGCGAACGCAATCTCGTGAACCGATATTTTACTGTATTGTTAATGTCTGCCACCCACACTTACCCACCCACACCCCTGCTCTCGCGCTTTTCCCTTCTGGCTCTTCATCGGCGGATATGTCCAACGGTTTCTGGCTCTTCGAAAAAATAATAGCGGGCCCCCTCCCCATCTAAACGTACTTAGGTACCGTACCCATCGTACCTACAAGAAAGCCGTCGGAGGATTTCCTAACTAATCAGCACCTCCCTGTTGGGGGCCAGGGCCAGGGCCAGCATTGGATAGAACGGAGCTGGCGTGGAGGGGCTTTTTTCATTTTACAAGGGACCATCTCGAATGGACTCTAGGTAGCCTCTTGTCGATAGGAACCCCCCGTGCCTCCATATGATCCATGCTCATCTTTTCTACATCTTTTTTTCTACCTGCCTACTCCGTACCTACCCCCTCCATCTGCACGCGCACGCCTCTAAAGAAGGCTTTGCCGTCATTTCTCAATCCACCATGGCCAGGCCCGTTTGCCGGTAGGCCTTTCTTGGAGGAGGTAGGGTACGGCATCGAGGTACCTTGGCCCTTGTCAGAGTCGGCAGACAGATGAAGGTTATTATGGGGCATTTTGTCCGTTCGAGTGCGTTATTGTTATTCCCAGTAAAGTCTCCAATTGTAGCTAGGTACCTAGGAAGGCAGGTAAACAGTTAGGTAAAGTAGTTAGTCGTTTGCGCCTACATTTTAAAATCGCGTTCCTTCGATTCTCGAGTAAAGTTCTGACCGTGTTTACGCGGCTGCGATGGAGAATGGTAAGTCTTGTCTGAATGCCTTCGCTAAAGAGTGAGATGAAAAACAATGGTTCGGACCGTCTTATGTACATCTGCCACCGTTTTTTATACCATTGTTGGCGCCCTAAAGGGTGTCTGGAGGAATAAAGCTGCTGTCGATATTGTCCAGGGCCTATCAATCAAGTCCCGGCCAGAACTGAGAGCCCTGTATCTCTCCCCCAGCCAGATCGCCATTAGCTCCGTTCTCCTTCCCAGTCGGGCTGCATGCACTGTATTCTAAAAAACCCATGTCAGTTCTAGGTACTAAAGGTCTCTGTACCAGACCCCCAAGTCACTTCTTCGCTCTCTTATTGACTGCTTTTGAACCTGGACTGGGACCACCTCCGCTTGGCTAGGACCCGTCAACCGTTAAACGTGCCCCCCAGGGTTGTGGATAATGCCGTCTCCTGCACAAAACAAGTCCCCTCAAGAGGCAACATCTATCCTACCATATCCCGTTCCATCCCATACAAGTACACTTCGGCCTGCAACCTTACCTTCTTTCAACGTTCACTTTATTCTGACTTCACCTACCTTGTCCAAGGAAAGCCTTTCCCACTTCCATCAAGGTTGTGGGCTTTCGATAGGAACTTCACCTTGGCGAGAACTACTAGTTCGAACATCAGTTAGCCAATTTACTGTCGCGGGTCTGATGTTCTGAGTAAAACGTCGTCTTCCTGTCTGGAGAGGAGGAATAGAAAAAAACATTAAAAAAGAGAACAAAGAAGAACCAGAAGAGCAAAGTAAGAGTTTTGGTTAATCGCCAGTTACGCGCGAGGAAAGGTCTTGGGAGCACGACTGGGGGCACAGGTTCCCATGTCAGCCACAACGACTTTGACGGCGACCATGGCAGAGTTGAAGCCGGAGCCAGCGCATAATCCCCTTTGGTCGACGAATTATGTGACTCGACAATATCCGATGGACTCGAATCTTTCGCATCCCTCGACGACACCATCGCAGCATGCAGGGCGCCCGCGCAGCAGTCACCCCACCATCGACCATCCTTACCCGTATCCTCGATACCCGCAGGAGGAGTCGGATGGATTTGACAGCAGATATTCTCAGCCGTCTTTAACGCAACATCACAGCTTCCCTAATCTCAAGAGGCCACACCAACCCGGCGAGCACCCACCATACCAGGAGATCGTACAGGACCTGAGGGACGACGGGTCGAAACTTACCGTGAACCACGACCACAAACTACTCTCTTTTAGGAGGGTCCAGGACAAACACACCATTGTCGATCAACATGGCCGAATGCAACAGCTTGAGCTTTCCGCGCAACTCCATGGAATGTTTTTCCTATCGGAAATGCCGTCAAGTACGAGCGACGGCGCGATTTTGCAACCAGAGTTGACTTGCTACAGGAGAAACCTGTTCCAGATCAGCGGTTCTCTCATCACGCCACGAGGCCAACTATCAGTAATTCTCCCTGAGACGGGTGAGCAAGTCCCAGTGAACAACACCGAAGTTACCATTTCGGCTATCGAATCCGTCGACGGCCACCCAGTGCGACTCATCGTTATTCCCTGGAAAACGCCACCACCAAATTCTCCAGAACTACCACAAACTCCAGATCAGGAGCCACCATCACTACCGCTGATTCCATTCCCGGATGATGGACAGGAAGCGGATGGCGAATACGCCGTGTATCCTATTGGATGGCGGCGACTACAGTTTAGGATGTAGGTAGTCTTGAGTTTCTTCCTCTTTGGAAGAGCACCTAGATTTTAGTACGAGAAAACCTGTGTACTGACGTATTTCACAGAGCAACTGCAAACAACGGAAGGAGAAAAGAACTTCAGCAGCACTTCGTGCTACACCTAAAGGTGGTGGGGACGTTGGCGAATGGGTCAAAAGTCGTCCTTACAGAATCCACCACAGCACCCATTGTGGTCCGAGGGCGAAGCCCACGAAACTTCCAGGCTCGAAAGGAGATCCCTCTCCTAGGATCCAGTGCTGGCTCAAGGGGGCAGGCATTAGTCGAAACAGGACTAGGAATCGTTGCCGGTCCTTTGAGCGTGAAGCCTCAGGACCCTAAACTACGGGGTTTGAACCTAGAACTGCCGAGGACTGCGTTCACTTTCAACGCTTCGAAGCTCCCCGGCAGCCCGATGACGATGAGATCCAAGTAGGTTCTTTTCTTAACTAATTCCGAGACGATAAGACGCAACTCTGTAGACACGCTACAACGGATCCTGTATAGGTTAGAAGGAGAGCGTGGGGGGATCGTGCTTCGTTCATTTCCTTTTGTTCTCTTTGAGATAAGTGCTGACGCGAGATTCAAGCTCGTACCCTAGTTGGAATCCTCCTAGCCAGTTGCCCCTGTCCGGAATGCCAGCTTCGGCTACTGCCAGTTACCCGCCAGCGAGTATACCAGCCGATTCGTACCAAAAGATGCCACTATCGGGGACGTCGAACTTCACGCAGGAGCCACAGGAGATGCCCATGCAAACGTCCATGCCATCTATGCAGTTATCCCTAGCTGCAACAGAACAGCAACCACCCGCGATTCGAACGCAGTACGCGTACGTCCAGGGGACTTCGGCCCCGCCGCAGCTCTCGGTGACAACAACATCCATCGGTAGCAGCTCAGATCATGGCAACTTAAGCGTGCCAAGGTACGTAGATTCGAATCCGCGGCCGACTAAGAGCCCGCGCCATGCAAGCCACCAGTCTGTTCCCAGTACTAGCTCTATGAGCAATAATAACGATACTTCCGAGTACCGATATGGCCCTTCGGGCTATGTACCAGTTAACAGCAATTCCAATGAGCTAAACTCGGCTTCCACATATAGTGCCAACAGCGCAAGTGATGGCGCTTCTGGTGCTGCTAGCGCTGGTGGCGCTCCTTCATCGGCTGGTGGGCACTCCCAGCAGCAGCAGCAACCGCAATCGCAACAACCACCACCTCGCGATTATTACCCACCCACAACGTCGTGGACAACGGCGGGCGAGCACAGTAGTGCCACCGTTCATTCGTACCACGGTAGCGGTACCGCAGGTAGCGATAATAGCAGACCGTACGCATTTCCCGGCAAAAGCGACCACCCGCCTGCGCCAGGGAGTTATGCTTCGACTCTGAACCATTATTCGTGGAGCCCGACGTAAGAATTGGAGCTAGAAGACGACGATATGAAGTCGGTTAGGAATATACGATGAATATGTTTCTTATTCCCTGTCTACATACACCAGAGAGATGTGTGTACACGGACAAGAGAAGGATGAAGGGGATAAAAAAGCGCGACATTTACCGTGTGTCGCCTGTATATTATTTTAATGGAAGCTCAGTTTTGTTTCTTATTCGCGACCCCGTGGTGGAAGAAAAAGGGCCAAAAGCTGATTTCGAATTTTCGCATCCCTTATGACGGACTTGTAAAGGGTTATTGGAGTGGTGGTGTTGGGTGAAGGGAGTACAGAGGAGCAAGAGGCGAAAGATGGGATAAGTGGTCCCCATGCGTTCGTGTAGGAAAAGGGAGTGGGTGCCATTGCCGTTGTGTGGTCGTCGTGTATCTTGATGGTGGTTTTCTCGTGTCGATACTCATTCGTGTCTTTCGCTCATAGCGAGCACGACCCTCTCCACCACATTGTTTGGAAGTACAACAGACGCATTCAAACGCTCACAGAGACGGGTCGGCATTGAAATCTCCGGAGTTGGTTTCCTCTTTCTCTTACTGTTATTGTCGTTTTGAGTTGGAGGTCATCTTTCGCTATTCGATATCCCCCCCTTCGTTCGTATCATACCAACATACCATACCATACCATACAGTACCATCGTCGTTACGTGTTGCACAGTCTAGAGCAAGCGAGCAGGGCGGCCGCATTATTATTTTTCCAGCGTTCGGAACTCATGTGATATGATAGGCGGGACTGCTGGAGTGGTAATTTGTTGTCATTGCTGTTTATTGTTACCTTTTTTTGCTGTGAGTTTAGCGACGACGAAGGGAAACCCGCCCCCTATATGATATCGATATTTCTTGCGACTTTGTTAATGATTGTTTTATTCTTTCTTCGCTTAGGATGGCAGTATACCCTGGCCAAGGAGAAAAGTGATCCGGATAGACTTCTAGGAGGACGAAACCTTTATAAAAGAGACGATGTTTGCTGTCTTGTCCTCGATAACCCGCAGGAAGCAAACAAGATCCTGCGCGAGAGGTGGATTCATCGTCTAGAGTGAGGCGATCGAAATGGCAAATGGAGTATTTGGAACTTATATACCCTATCGTATGCCTCGGCTGGTGTCTATGGGACCACCCGCAGCTTGTATTTTAGTGGACTTCTTCGATCGACGCGCAACTCACATGGTCCTGATATATACTAGTTTTTCAGCTCTCAGCCGCTAGGGCCTTGTATAGCACCACACTAAGATATCCGTTCCCCCAAGCTGAAGTCTTCTCTCTATTTCTATTGACGATTATTGTTCCTAGATGTGGGCTATCGACCCATACTAATGCTTAGCGAATGAAACCTGGGGTTTAAGAGAAAGCATAAGAAATGTGAAGAAGATGGTGCCACCAAGGAGAGCCTTGTGCAACCACAAAAGGTGCATAGAGATCGTAGTTGGTATTCATGGATGATTATAGAATGAGACGATAGATCGTTGCTTAAATAACCTATAAAAATTGTGAAATTCCTTTGTATTGACACCTTACTGGGCGGAAGGCTCTGTGGATATGCAAGCAGACGAGTAAGTTAAGAGGAAAAGATAAAATGGGCTGTTAGTCTAGGATGGACTTTATATCTATGATGGTTTTGGTTACACTCGTACGCTAACGTTTCTTTTTTTTTTCGACTATTGCCATATGTACCTTCCTCTTTTATGTGAACAAGCAGGTGAGGTAGTATTCCTACTTAAGTAGCTCCCTAAATCTGAGGTGATACAAAACTCTGACTACGGCCGTTACTACCTTGGAAGATGAAAGTTCGTAGGTGGCCATACAAGTAGGATTCAGCTAAGATTAGCGGTGTTCCAGGTTGTCGGGACCGTGAACTGATGAGGCAAAGCAAAATAACCTTAAAAACAGGGCACTAATCAACTATTGGGCAATTGGCTAAAAGCCGCCCCCACCCGCTAACTTTTAAGGTATGGTCCGAGCATAGGGACAGCGATAGATTTCTTTTCATTCCCCAATAAAAATTTGGCCCGTATTAACAACAGTAAATCACTATATCACAAGCTCACTTCATCTCATCCATCTAACAATAAGAACAACTCATCCAGCTGACGTCATGTTTGAAGTGCCTGATGCTAAACGGTATGAGATTACTTGGTACCCATGTCCTCTGTTTATAAGCTAATAATAAGCATAAGTGTCCGACGGGAGGAATTGTACGATTCTGCCTCAGATGAGGAGGTGGTACAAGATGAGCAGTTAGACTCGACATTGCGGGGCAAATTGAATGCACAGCTTTCCGATTTATTGGACATCAGTTTTGGGGCAGACGAACATGTTGGGAAAAAGCAACCCTCGGAATCTCTCATAGAAGATGCGGATCGAGGCCCCGATGATGTTGACGATACCGCGAAGTCTGAAGAGGAGGCCTTTACGTTTCGATTATTTAGAGGGGAGGAGCCATCTCATAAAGTGATACTCAAACCTCAAGGTTCCGATGCTGAAAAGGACGGCGAGGGTGGGTTTTTGGTTCCCAGACGACCCAACTCGTACTACATTGCAGATGAGCCACCACCCGAAACTGCCCGGGAATTTAGAATGGCTGCTGTGAGTGCAGACTACATCCTACAAGACGCTAAAAAAAGACGATGGGGGCTTGAAAAGCCTTGGAAAGTGACAATTATTAATATCACTACCAACAAGAAATCGGGTGCCCTAAGTGGTTCTGTCACTTCGGATGCAACAATCGGGGCTGGGAAGTCGAAGAAGAAAAGGCCTGGGAAGAAGCGCAGAATTATTCTTCGTGTTCGAGAAAAAACGAGAAAGGAAAAAGAAGAAGCTTCAAAGCATCAAATAATTGAGAAGGAACAACATCTTAAAGAGAAGAAGCAACGGATGAACCGGCAGAAAAAACTACGGAAGAGAGCTAAGCAAAGAGAAGAGAAGAAAAAGAGCGGTAACGATGATGCAAATTCTGAACATAGCAGGGATAGCAGCCCGGCCGAGGAATAGGTCTGGGGTCTGGGCATAGAGACGAAATCAATCTACAATCAAATAATTCCATTCATAGCTTCGATATGATGTTAGGTCCTTCGAAATATTAACCATCCATAGATGTGTTCAATTTATCCACCTCTAAGAGAGTGGTATATAAATCGGCTAAGTATATATTATGCATCTATAAGATACCCCGTTAGCCTGTTATCCGAAACATCTAGGTAAGAGCTATTTGAAGCTACTGCATGGCCCACATCTTTGAAGGCCTGGAAGGAAACCGCCAAAGAATTAACATCGATATAGATTTCATCTGCTCACGCGTCGTGTTTCTAACACAAGTATTCATTCTACCCTGCAAATATTGAGTTGGCTCACTGATGGTTCAAATATTTGCATTGCATACAATACTTTCGATTTCTTCGTCTCCATATTCGCTTCCCACAACATACATCCATACCTAGGTACATATATGGGCACCGATAATATTTTCCCCATTATGTACTCGTAAAACCGACGCCGCGTTCCGAGCCCCGCAACGCGTCAAGATACCATGAATTCCCTGTGGTCCTCGAAAGCTACCGACGAGGGTGGCGATGCACCTAAAGCTCCAGTGGACGTAGATACAGGAGTCGCAGATGTCGGACTTGGAACAACCGCAGCGCCACCCTCTCGGCAACCCGTTCGACCTCCCCTACAGCGAAACCAAATTCAGCCTAATCCGCCCGCGCAACCTCTCGCGTCGACTAATCAGCCGCCGGACTCGCTCTCGTTGGCCCAGCTGAGGCGCATTGTATCCGAGTTTCCCCGTACCGAAGCTGCAGCTTACGATTTCGAATATTCTGACACCGGACCCCACGAAGAGGAAATTGACGAGTGGTTCGTATACCAAGACTGGCAGTGGCTTCGATTGAATTCTGCGCAAAAAGCTTTTGAATGGCAATGGGAACATGATATCGCGGCAAGACAAGATGAGATTACTTGGGATGAGGCGGACGATGACGACCGAAATAATTTCATACTACAGGCTCTGGACGGTGTTAAGGCCAGCGACGCCGCTACTCGCGCTGCCGCTATAGGTAGGCTTACATACCTCGTCCTAGGCAGATGGGCCGATACTGCTGGATCGCCTCCTGGTGATAAATCAAAACTTCGCAGTGTTGCGGTACCCGCCCAACTTGCTGCTATGAAATCTGGTGTCAAGCTGATTTCAGAGTGGGATGGTATTCCTATTATATGGATCGCGCTACGCAGTGCGTATGAAATTCTATGGTATTTCTCACCTTTTAAACTACAAAATTTACTATACTTATCATTTATACAGGGTGGATGAACCGTTAAGACCGCAAGGTAGCAGTCTAGCGGAGGCGCAAGACGAACTTATGAACTTAATGACTATTATGTTTATGTGTATACAAGAAACGCTTAACGACCAAGATGGGATGGGTATAGTGCGCGACAAACTCCGTAAGCCATATATCTTTTGAATATTCATCGAACATTATACTAATAACAGCAGTGGAATTGGAACCTCATTTGACAACATTTATGCTCACGGCATCCGCCAAGTTGCGATGGCAAGAGGTGAATGTTGTACCGGCTTCTCAGGTACGAGATTTCTCAATGCGTTCCTTGTTCCCTGCTGACAAATTAGACGCTTTTGCTATTGTGGAAATCAATTCTACTTGAATTTGGCGGAACTGCGGAGATTGAGGAAACAAAAAAGGCTCTCAGGGAGAATTCTACAGATGAAAAAGAGAAGGACCTAATCACAGCAACCCCCCTTGACTACCATGTTTTCCGACAGGAGATCACTTCAAAATACCCAGCCTATGTACCTCCGCAACCAGTAATACCACTTGAGGCAGATAATACCTCCCTCCTACCTCCTTTACCTAATCACCCCACTAGGAACAATGGATCAAATGGTATACTTCCTGCTCCTCCGGGCACGCAAAGTGGAGGGGCATCAATTTTACATCAGCCTGTCCATATTGCTACTCCGGCACCATCCCCCCCGCCGTCTCCAGCAGTTGGTGGGAAAGGAGGCAAGAAACAGAACTACCAAACCAACCAGAATTTCCCATTTATGTATCCACCTTTGGATGCTACCAGCAATAGTGCAGGAGGTAAAGGTGGTGCTGGCTTGCAGGACTTTCTCGTTGGTCGTAAGTGGGAAGGCAGCGACGTACCGGCTTCTATCCTCGAGGCTGGTGAGTTATTCTCGAAACGAGTGCGAATGACCCGGGCTACAAGACAGCTGTGGGAGGAACGCGAGAGATTTCAGAAATTCGAAAGAGGCTGGGACCCCTCGGACGACGACATTGGGGAGCTAGATCTAGATTCGTTAGAAGTTAGTGACGATGTTGACGATGACAAACTTCTCGAAGCCATCCAGAAGCGGGAAAAGAAAGCTCGGGGAGCTGAGATCGATTACGGCCCGGATCCGAATGTCGACCCAAAGGTGAAGCGACGACTGGAAGCTGTTGAAACGTTTTATGTGAGTAATTCTGTTCGTTCTGATTAAATCACGGCTAATACTGTGTAGGCTGCTGCTTTACCGCAACTACAATCCTTAGTGATAGTCCTGATGAAGGGCGTATTGTTTAATGTTACAGCATGTATCGCCTTGCCTGCTAATGGCCAGCAGCAATCCATGATAGCGAGTAGTAACCAGCCTCGAGTTAATGGTGGGCCTGCTACAAACCGATCACAGGATAGCTCTATGGGAGCTAACAGCTCGGCAAACCACGACGGTTCGGACCCTTCTCAAGAGGACCTAGATGCTACGAGATGTAGGGAGATTGAGTCGAAGGCCGCCACGGGCATCATCCTTCTGCTCATGAAGTGGTTGAAGATCTCACGTAGGTTGCGGGCACCCCAATGTTGACTAATCTTACTAATATGCGAAATCAGACGTTCTGAAATTCGAGTATTTGTCACAACTACTATTGGACTCCAATTATTTGCCTCTGGTACTTAAGTTGTTCGCGCATCAGGACATTCAACAAGTAGTTGATAGCAAAACCGACCGACTCGAATATAGGTAAGGGTTGCCCGAATATTATTTGTTGGACACGTCTCACAAGTATTTAGTTTCTTCCAATTCTGTAATGACCGTGCCCATCATACGGACAAATTACAGGTGGAACCGACAGAGATCGACGACGCACCAGAGGATGAAAGCGAAGACGACGCTGCACCACCACCCATCAAGCGGCGACGATCACCGGAACCAGTGGCCGAAACCCCTGAAAACGGTGAGGCCGCGAACAGGACCGATGGGCAGGTCTCCACCCGCCCCGAAGTGGATGAGTTGGGCTGTCCACTGAACCCTCTGCCGAAGGAACCCATAACCGACTTCTCGCGACGCAATTTTTTCGCGCTCATCAACTATCTGCGAATCATGCAGAAGATCTGCAAGAACAAGTCCCATCGCAATTTATTGCTCGTGCAGTACAAGTCATCGAACATTATACGCAAGTCACTCAAAATACCGCAGAACGAGCTACGACTGTACACACTCAAGCTTTTCAAGAACCAGGTTCCGTATTGTGGTCGCAAATGGCGGCAAAGCAATATGCGCGTTATCACTGCGATATATCTGCATTGCCGGCCAGAACTTCGCGATGAGTGGTTGGCGGGTTCCGACGTTGACGCTGAAGTGGAAGAGGCCCTGCCACTGGAGCAGGCCCTCCGTAGTTTGACGCATTGGTTCAATGTCCGACGGTACCCGGACCAGATGGCGGCGGATATCCGGGAAGCATTGCGGAATGAACAGGACTTCTTCAAGCGGGAGCTCGAGAAGCTGGAGGTGTGGGCCGATGTCGGGCAAGTCGACAACATGAACGCCGAATGGGATGGTCTTGGACACGGCCCCGCCTACGGCTGAATACGGTTCTGTTTACCGAGCCATTCGGAATATTTGTCAGGAGTTACTCCCCCTCCGTTGAAGCCTGGCCCGTCTAAATTACTTTGCTCTCTGCCTGCATAGCTAACTAGGACTGCTATCCGATGCTTCTACATAGAAGTATCTGGCGTGGTGTTACGGATGGATAGGTGTTGTTGGCCTTGGCTGGATAAATCAGAGTGGTCTAGAATCCTAGGCGCTTCCTTCAGTAAGTCTAGGTACGTTGTACTACTTCACGGGAAGGATCTTCGACTTATGGACACCTTGATTATGGGTTGTACATAGATCGGCGACTCCGTGTTTTGGGCGGAATTTGTTGGATTGAAGAGATGTATAGTTACTTACTCACCTACTTACATAGGTAGCTGAAGAAGTACTGAAGATACGAAGTCTACGATAGTGCTGTGTTACGATGGGTAACAGGTTGCGAACCTCCGCTGTAGAACCCCCGCTGGACTACCTGAACCTTGGAACTCCGAATGCCTGTACGGATATGCATATATGTACGTGCTTCAGTGACTAACCTCGTAATCTGATCCAGTACAGGTCCATTAATAAGCATGCGTGTGTATTACAAGTGTGAATGGGTAAGGTTAGTCGCCGTTCTTGAACTACCTAATTCTGCCTTATACATGAAATATATATGTATGTTATGGCCTATAAACATGGAGTTTTTAGTGGAAGTTAATCGTTTTTTAGCGCCAACCTGTGAACCCCGATTATTTTCTCCATCCCCTAAACTTATAGCACCCCCACGGTCCACAGGTGATAGTTTGGTACTTGTGTGGGGGTTGCATATATGTACCTCCAACTATGGGCATTCGGTAACTCGGTAACTTTTAACTCTCTTTAACAGCTAATAAGCCCTGGAACTTGCAGCATCCGCGGGCGCTTATAGACCCGACCCGCTTATGAATCGGACCTAAACCTTGGAAAACTACTCACACATCTATCTATTACATCTTTTCCGTAGGTACATGCATATTAAGTTCTTTTTTTTTGGGTTCTTTTGTGGACGTCATAATCTATACCTTGTTTCTTCTTACACTTGCGATTCGGATTCGTTTTCTTTGGTTCACCTCACCTCGCTTCGCTTCGTCTTCGTGTCACACAACAAGAACAACACATCAATCACATCACATTTTTCAAACAAGGGGGGGGAAGAAACGGGAAAACGACCACTCATATGCGATAGATGTAGTGCGCCAAGCATAGAAAAGAGAAAGGATTTGAAGGGAAGAGAGAAAAGGGGGTTGACTGAAAACGAAGCAAATCGAGGGAAAGGGAAAAGGGAAAAAAGAGATGGTGGCAGATCCGGAGGGAAAGACCTCGCCGGTCATGTCGCTGGTCGCCGGCGGTATAGCGGGGGGTGTGGAATCAGCTTGCACGTTGGTATTTCTATTCGTTTTCTAATATCTACCTACCTACTTAATACAGTGGCAGGTAATTTCTGAGCACGGTATACGGCTAACATCCAACAAGGTACCCCTTCGAATTTGCAAAGACACGGGTGCAGCTATACGGCCATGAAGGTATCAAGAACCCGTTTATGGTAGTCGCCAAGGTAGCTAGGGAAGAGGGCTTACGTGCACTATACAAGGGGTGCTCAACTATGATAGTGGTACGTTTATCTAATTTCCAGATACATGCATTTCTTCAGAAGGCTTTCTTGTTTTTCCCACTTCCTTCGGTACCAAATGTGCGGCATGTCTCGGGAGGAACACCAGCGCTATGCGCGCCGACGTAAAATCGATCCACCCCCGGATCCCACCATTTCAGGGAGCTTCTTGCGAGGCCGTGGCTCGAAGATCCCGACAACCAGAATTATGAAAAAACGTTTGGTCCGGGGACGCGTATACTAAACGGATACCGCATCTCCTTCTCAATTAAGCAGTTCCGATAGAGAGGGGGAATACCCTAGCAGAAGAGGGAGAGCGAGAAAAATCTACCTAGGCACCCATTGCAGAACGATCTGTCTATCTGCCCGCTCTCCCTCTTTTCTGTTAGCTGCAGCATGCATATTTTTTTTTTTTTCTTGATGAGAATCCTGCCGTTTCTCACAAGCTAGCAAGGGGCTTTCCAACTCTACCAAGAATCCAAGGGAAGATCTAACTCCTGATTCGATATTCGCGGTAGGACATGCGGCATCCCAGGATACTCCGTGCCTTGCATGCATGTCATTTCGACAGGTTGATTTGTTTTTGCACGTTCACACCCCAGGGTAGCAGATGGATTTTTATGACTTGCATTACATACCGTTACGCCGTATCATATATACACATATTATTTATTTTATTATTTTATTCACTATACTTATTATATATGTATATGCACAAGTTATAGACTGACTAATCATTCCGGGTGTGCTGTATGTAGGGCTCTATCGGGAAAGATGCAGTACGATTTGTCGCGTTTGACAGCATTCGGTCTCTGTTCGAGGACCCGGTTACACACCGGTCCACCACGGCGCAATCTATCGCTTCCGGGAGTACGTAATCGAGATTTTCCTCCGTACCTGACCGTCTCCATCGGGGTGTTATCCCCGGGACATATCCGAGCCCCTTTATGCCCCAGGCCCGAAGTAGTAAATACCTAATTACTAACTCACCGTAGTGCTAACCGGCGTCGTGGCCTCAACAACCATCGTAACGCCTTCCGAACGCATCAAAACCGCCCTCATAGACGATGCCCGTACATCGCGGCGTTTCCATTCCCCTATCCACTGCATAACAACCCTCTACCGCGAACAAGGCGCTCTCCGTGCCCTGTATTCTGGGTACACAACCACAACCTTGAAACAAGTCGGCACAACCGGCTTTCGACTAGGTTCCTACGCCGCGCTCAAAGACTGGGAACGCGGCTACGGGATCCCCGTAGACAATGCGTTAACCAGTTTCGCCAACGGTGCGTTCGCGGGGACACTGACTACGCTCGCGACGCAGCCTTTTGATACGGTGAAGACAAAGGCACAACAAGCTAAGGCTGTGGGGACTATGGAGTGTGTGAGAGTGATATACGCTAAGGATGGAATACGCGGGTTCTGGAGAGGTACGGTTATGAGATTAGGACGTACGGTGGCGGCCGGTGGGATTTTGTTTACGGCGAATGAACAGGCGCTTAAATTGCTTAAAACTGTTTTTGGGTAGGCGTTTATGATGTTTTGGGTATAGATTGGATAGAGATGGGCTATATTATATATAGGGGCAAAAGGGGTTAGGAGTATCCCGGAATACTATAGATTGTTGAAGGGGAAGATGAGTGGCTGAGTATATAATGGATGGATATATCTCAAAGGTATTAGCTACCTAATTTGAAAGCATATTCTAACCGTGTAGTGATTAATTTCCATGATTTCGTATCTAGACTCTCGTGTTACGGGACGAAGGCATTTCACTCTTCGCAACTTTTCGATATCTAGTCGAAATAGCCTTACTACCGCCTAAACAATCCCCCCCAACCCATCCCATTCGAATACAATTCGATTGATTTCATGTGTCTTAATTACAAGGCAAGTTTCTATCTGCGTTTGGATAGTAAAATAACGCGGGACCGGGCAATGTTACGAAAAGGGGTATCGCACACCATTCACCACCCGTCCATGTCGAGATAACGCCGTCCTCTTATGACGCCGTGCCGATGATTCATTTGAGCTATGATAGCCTGTTTGAAACTTTTAAAACCAATGCGCATTCCTCGTATTCCTCCCTTCCTTCCCCTTTTTGATCATCTATAATTTCAACGCCCTTTTTAAAGCAGATTTTCGAATCTTCGCGAAGTGGAGCTGTAAATTCAGGCCATATCTTTAAACGCCATTCCCTTTCATCTATGATGACCTTTCCCACCATCCCCTCTCCCTAGACGCCCTTCCTATCACCTCCCCTACGTTAGGGTTAGTGCGGTGCTTGATCAGCTTCAATTTGAAAAGGCCGATCCCTAATATGCGTGCTAACATCGACATAACGCGCACACTCATTAATATAATCATGAACCTGTGGAAGCACCCTCTCCTCATAGGGGTCATCCGCATCGCCCACGAAGTCAGGGACCTGAATAAGATTATACGGTTCCGAGCGCGCCTTCTCGATCGAATCATCGATTAACACGGTATCAGCCTGACTCCAAGTCTTCCCATTCGCAACCTCGGGGTGCGCGGAGCGAATCACGTGATCTTTCCATAATCTCGTTAATCGCTTGTAGCACATAACCCGCGCCCTGTAGTCTTTACCCGTTAGATTAAAGCGATCGCGGCCCCATATCGCCACGACGTCGTTGAGCTGCTCGGGCGTGAGGAGTTGTGTGCACATGTGTTTTACGTTTGTGATACTAGCGGAGGACCATATGACGACTTTGAAGGTCTCGATGCAGTATCGTAGGAACGTGCGTGCGTGGGGTCGCTCGATGAAGTACCGGGGGTTGGTGCGCTTGGGGCGGTAGAGGATTGTGCCGTTTAGGTCGATGACGACGAGGAGTTTGCGCGCGTAGGGCAGTTGGAAGGGTGGGAAGGCGGCGCGTTGGAGGTACTCCGGGGTGGGCTCTGGTATGCCTCCTGATTCGGGTGAGGGCGCGCTGATGGGTTCTCTTGCAAGCTCCTTCTCTGCGCGACTGAACCGGAACAATTCTTTTTTTCTCTCTTCTTGTCTCTCTTCATGTCTCAACTGGCGCTCCGACTTGGGTTTGGTGGTAGGTGATGTGTTCCTGGGAAATAGTTGGGGTGGTTCGGCATCGGACAAGTTAGCAGATAAGTCGATCTCGTCTGGGTTCATCATGTTTATGTTGAGGGAGTTTGAGTTGTGATTAAAGGGGATGGTTGGTTTATAGGTTGGGTTCTGATATGTCTGCGGCTGGTTCACTTCGAATCTCGCGTTTACTTCTTCCATCTTGCGCTTTTTCTTTTTGCTAAAGATTTCGGCCCCGTTGCGCCAACGTGTCGTGATAGTTGAGAAGTGGTCGCTCAAGATATTTAAATAGTTGGAAGGAACTCTTGTACTATTTGTACTTCCAGGAAGTAACCTGACACGTCGAGAAACGCGCCACATAGAGAGTAAGTACATATATGTAGCGACACGTTTCAAAGCGCATGTGCGGTTAATGGAATAACAATCGTCGTGAATTTTGTCACAATGGAATTGAATAATTAAGTTGGAAACTTAGAAACTTAGGATATCCATGTAGATCCAAGGGTCCACCCCACCAAAACCTTATCGATAACGAGTTCAATCTTATCGCTGCCTCTTTTTTTATGATAAGTCAAGTCGGATTGATGTACTGTACTTAGTACTTCCAAACAATAACATTTACCAATTTCATCACAAGCAAAGATGGAACAAATAAAAGGGAACAAGCGTAAAACACTACAATCTAACCTCCAACGACGGGTACGAGCTAGAAGGGAGGAACCAGAAGAAGTCTTCAGTGAAGAATCTCAAGGAGAGGAGAGTAGCGAGGGTGAAGATGGAACCGAAGAGGACCAAGAACAAGATGATGATGAGGTACGTGGCCAGGAATATTTAAAAACGACAATATGTTCCCCATAATACTAACTATCACCGCAGTCTGGTTCCCAATCCGACGACAGCGACAACGAAGAAGCCGATGACCCAACAACCACCGTATCACAAATATCCTTCGGCGCCCTAGCCAAAGCCCAAGCCTCACTCCCCAGCACAAGACGAGGCAAGAATCGCAAAAACCAAGACGACGCCAACTCCGACGACGACGAAGACAGCGACCAGAACGACAGACACAAAAGTGCATCCGATTCAAAATCCAAACCTAAACCCTCCCGATCAAGCAAACACGCTCCTACAGAACAATCCAGCAAACGCCCCGTAACCCGCAGACGCGAAGTCATCGCCGTACAAAACAAGCCCGTACCACGGGACCCACGCTTCTCCTCCGCGATCTCAACCCGCGCCCCCGCGCCCGGCGACGACGAACGCGCGCGTCGGGCCTATAGTTTCCTAGACGAGTACCGGACCTCCGAAATCGCTCGCCTCCGCGAAGCCGCACGGAAAGAAAAGAATCCCTCCTCCAAAGAAGAATTAAAACGCGCCCTCGCATCCATGGAAAGCAAGAAGGCCGCTCAGGACAAGAAGGATGAATCTCGTCGGTTATTGGAGGAGCATCGGAAGCGGGAGAAGGAGTTAGTGAAACAAGGTAAAAAACCGTTTTACTTGAAGAAGAGCGAGCAGAAGAAACAGTTATTGGTAGATCGGTTTGCGGGGATGAAGGGTAAGCAGGTGGATCGTGCGATTGAGAGGAGGAGGAAGAAACTTACGGCCAGGGAGAGGAGGGATATGCCGATGGCTAGGCGGGGGGCGGAGGTATGACTTGCACATGAAAACGAGAAGGAGAAAAGATGGTGGTGAAGGGAGTTTTACTATTCAATCCAGCGCATACTCCATCTATATGCCTCGAGCCGTACGGTTTAGCTATCTATTATGAAGTACGAACATCAATGATACCATTTTCCCGCTATTCCATCTATATCTCCTAGGTATCTATCTCCTTGATGATTATGATGCTCCGGTTCCCCAAATAGAATACTATGCATTCTCTTTATACAATACAACACAGAGGTGAGTTATAATCGTACATACATTATTATCCTACACAGCAACATCCGTCTTCCTCACCGCTCGCTCAAACAACTCGCGACACCGCACTCGACTTCCTAACTTCGCGCACAACAAAAACGCACCGGAAAGTTTGCGGTGCAGACTATACGTCTCCTCCGGCGGGGGACTTAGTCGTTCGCGTATCATAACGGGGATAAGGGCGCGAACGCGGTCTGTTATGGTCTGATCTCTGAAATCGTATACCTCAGGAGCAGAAGCAGAGAACGGTTCTGCTAGCGTTAGGATAGAGGCAATATGTGCATCAAGCATAGTCCGGCTCTCGTGGCCTGTCAGGTATCCCAGAGCCTCCGATAATTCCTTAATAGCACGACGGTCTGCACGCGAAGCCGCAGCTAATAGTCCAACGTATTGTGTTATGAAATGTTCGGGATACTCGCGAGACGCGCCGAAGTCGAGAAGTTCGAGCTTGTTCGTTCGGGAATTGTAGAGGAAATTCGTCCAGTTGGGGTCCGTCTGCATGAAGCGGAACTCAGTGATCTCACGGAGGCAGAGTCGTAGTATTTGGGTGCCGATCCAATCTTTCTGCTCTTGTGTAAAGGATTTGCTTCGTGTCACGCCTATGCCGCCCATGAATTCCATTGTTAACACGTGCTTCCCCGAGGCTTCGGTATAGATCTTGGGTACAACGAAGACGTCCGGCTCGTCGGCTAGGAGATCTCGGTATCGTCTCCCGCACTCGGCTTCGCGTTCGTAGTCGCATTCCCAGCCGAGTTCCGTTCGCGCGTTGTCGATTGTCTTGTTAAGGTATAAACCTTTGGGCAGCATCTTGGATGCGGTTAGAAGTATAGATAAGTTATCCAGGTCCGAATTAATTGAGTCGGCAACACCAGGGAATTGGATCTTAACAGCGACCTTCTCGCCCGTGGATTTGAGGGTGGCGCGGTGCACCTGGCCAATCGACGCAGCTGCTATCGGTTTGTCCTCAAACTCATCGAATAAATCTCTCCACTCAGGTCCCAGACTCGTTGTAAGTACCCGATCGCGCTGCCATGCAGGCATGTAATCCGCTCGGTCCTGGACTCGTTGAAGAACTTCTTGTATTGGCCCTGGTAACATTTTCGCATCTTGAAAACTCATCATCTGGCCTAATTTGAGCGCCGCACCCCTCATTCGCGAGAGCTTAGCAACCAGTCGTTCCATATTCCCAGCACTAAACAGCACCGAGCCCGAACCACCACCACCGAATCCTCTACTAAACCCTTCCGTAATAGCCCCGCCGAGCATCCCAGCAGCCAGCCCGCCATAATTCCACAATCGGCTCAGGCGCGTAGCTGGGACTCTAGACTCCCGAAGAGCATACGCTTGTCTAGGCTGTTCGTTACTAAACATTTCCGATGATTCGATCGCCGCAGTCGTCGGGTCTAGAGGGGTATCTTTTTCTGTTTCTGCGTTAGATAAGATTTCATCGACCATCTGAGTGTGTTCCTGCTCAGCTTTCCGGCTGGTAGGCTCCTCTTTAGTACGTGACTCAATCTTATCTACGGCAGCATGTGTCGCGCTCTCATTCGCGGCTGGAGTCCCTTGGTTCGTAGCGATCTCAGCAATAGGAGACGACGTCTGGGTTTCCCCCGAGTGGGGTCGAGCCTTGCCATGGCCGAAGTCTTTAAACCACCCGGGAGATGGGGGAGGGACTTTGGGTCGATTGGGTTGAAGGGCACCTTTTTGGCCCTCTAATATCTGCGAGCCCCGACTTGTGTGAAATATGTTGGGGTTGATATCTGGAGGGGCATCTTCGGCGGCCGTAGCGCTTGGAAATGCATTTGAATTTGCCACATGAGGCTGAGAAAATGAAGCTGGTTCGTCGGCGTGACGTTCCTCTGCTTCATTGGCCTTTTCCTTCAGCTTTGCTAATATTGCGCTTTGATCTGACTGGATCACCGATGAGTGTTGCGTAGGTGCTGCATCACTCGGCGAGCTGCGCTGAAAAAGGATCCCGTAAACATCTTGCTGCTTTGGAGGCGGTATCTCAACAGTCTTTCGTGAAACCGTCGGCGCAGAGTCGTTCGTGCTGGCTTCTATCCCTTCGGAGCTCGGAGTAACTAAGTCAGACTGGGCGTTCACTTCAACTGGTTGCTCATTATTACCAGCCGGGTATTGGTCGGTGCCAACAGGCTCCGGACGATGCGGAGCAACAGCAGACTGCTTCTCCCTCAAAGATCTCACAATACTTGAAGTCTGGCCATATCGATCAATTTGTCGAGCTCGAAGCTCAACATGCCTCGATGCGACAGACCGAGATGCTTTGACGACGGCGGCCAAATCGATAATGAAGTCCGCGAACCTCATAGGGACGGTTTATTGCACAAGGCAGATGGCTACCTCATTCCCTCATTATAACCTCGACATTCAATCTGCCCTGGTTTACTCGGCGTCCAGGTTGAGGATGAGATTCTCACGGTGAAGGGAAAGCTCAAAAAATTAAAGGTACATGTCGGAGGTACCAATGATTATGTCCGACTCATGCTAAGCTTACGCCACATTTTGTTGTGGCTGATGCACTATTCCGCTGTACATTTCCGCTTCGCCAAGAAGCCATATGCTTCATTGCATCATCACTTTTACAACTCCGGAGCAGATTCTAGTCGTGAAAAACTACACACTCGCGAGCTTACTATTGTGTCTAGTTTCGACTCCGAAAGCCGTCGGGCAAGGAAAGCTCATATGATCTGTGCATTCGATTACGGCTATGCTCTCCGTACGCCCAAAGCTTAGAAAGCTGCCGCTATTCTCGGAGTAGCGAGGATACTTCGCGCTCGGTTTTCGTATATATTATTGTTTCAAAGAGCGCCCGTACAAGATCATGAATTACATGATCTTGCTAGACCTGAATCCAAGGCTGTGAGATTTCGTCAGAGAAGGTCTCATCGCGGAACAAAAGCGCCTGGTGTGAAGGCTGTGATTACTATTTAGCGCCCGAGGCATCTCTTACCGGCCTGCCGGCTTAGAAATGAGGCGCGCTGAATACCTATGGAATCTCGCGCTCCCACTATCTTTACAATTAGCAACCTTTCCTGACGTCTCTCGGGTATCGGCATCGACGGTAATACATGATAATAGACAAAAGTCTTCTATCTTCATTCGAGACTTGTGGCTATAGATAGAAGGATTGATTCGTCTACGTCTGATCGTCTTTGCATTTCTGGTGTTCTCGATTCGTGATGTAACGTCCGTAGGTTGCCATCAGAACCCGTTTCACAAACCGCAGCTCAACTGCGCGGACTTTTTGTTTCGGATCGACGGCCAATACCTCCATCTCGGGACCGACACTTCATAGAATTTGGAAAAAAGCATTTACAGTATCATAGGGTTGATCGATAGAAGATGCGACAGATCACACATCAAAAATGTAAAGGATGTCAAGATATACGTGTTTTTTGTAGCTAGACCATCAATAATAGCCATTACCAACTCCACGCCACACAAACTCGCGGAGTATTTTGTATAGTCCACCACCATTTGCAGCCTTATCTTGTCGTCCAGTCATCAGGAAGTACAACCACCCTCCGCCAATCTACAGTATTCCAGCTAGTTCACACAGCACACAGGATAGTAGCCATAGGTATTCCCTACCCTTCCCACTGTGAAACCACCCAAAATTGAAAAAAGATGGGAGGCGACCCCCGTCTCTCTGATGGACGCCTGTATATGCATGATACTATATCCCTCCCGGCCACCTTGTCATGTAGAAAAAAAAGCAAAAGATCAAACGTCTTGGCCCTGTGTTTGTTTTGGTATCGTATCAACCACACAACGCCCTTCGGTAGAAGAATCGAATCAGAAGAGAAAAAAGAAAGAAATTGTACAAGAGAACGACGAAGTTCACCGCGCTTTTGTAGAGCAGAATAGATAACGTCGAAGGAAAGCTAAAGAGGGGATTTAGTCTCAAAAAAGAGACAGACATTCTAGTGGTACATAATCGTAGCATTCTTTTTGTCTATAACCTCGAAAGCAGATGTGCGATGTTTAATAAGCCTGCTAGATCTTATATCCAGTCAGACCTATACTCTGCAGCGCTACTAGAATTGCCGCGATTTCGGGATGGCACCCGCGATGGTGGGTCTTGTACCGGTGTGGTATTCGCTCTTCGGGGAACACCGAACCCAACCCCTCTGGGGCTTGGGGTCCTCGACTTTGTAGGACTATTCGGATCGTATACTAGCGGGCTTAGAGTACAATCTTTCTTCTGCTCTTCGGATTGGGCGGGCACTGGTGGGAGATTTTTCATTCTCGAGTCCCTCGAAGGGGCGGGACTCTGAGGTAGCGCGGAATACGTCGCGAGAGGACTTGGTCGGTACGTATTCGCCGGTTCGTCCTTTTGAGGACACTCTAGATCGTAGACTCTTTCGGCTTCGGTGGAGACCTTGGGATTCATTGGGCCTATATCTGCAACGTTCGAAATGCGTAGACCTATTTGAACTGTTGCGGATGAAGCCATCGATGAATCTCGCCTATGGCGGCTCCAAGGGGGTCGAATTGAGGGAGGTGGTTTGAGAGTATCATTTGGGTCACCAAATGGGAAGCTAGGAGGAGCTAAGTTTGCTTGGGTGTTAGGGTTGTAAGCAGTGGGAGGTAATAATGCAACCGAGGCTGTGTTGCCTTGGTTTTTGCTGGGGAAGAGAGTGTAGGAGGCCGATGGTTTTCGGTTGTGAGTAATGGCCGAAGGAGTAGGAGGAACTTGGATTGGCTCTGGAATTCGTGGAATATCCGCTGCCTCAAAAACAGCATTAGATCTGAGGGGATCTGGACTGCGTGGGCTAAGTTGTAAAGAAGCCCTATAGTATGGGCTTTCTCCACGCTCCATGTCGTTACCCTTTTCGTCCACAAGGTTCTCTTGGCTTTCTGTTTTTGCGATGGATTGGGGTCCCGGTACAGGCTGGAGCATGCCGTTGAAGTCCATACCGTTTATTCCCCCAGCTCGAGTCTGGCGCTTCATCTTCTGACGTTCGTATTTGGCTAGCTTGTTTTTCGGCCCAATCGTACCAATGGTATTGGATCGAAGGAATAGGTGAAGACCACCCGTTGTAAGCCCCGTTAAGTTGGCCACGACAGTCGAGATCATAGATAATGTCAGGCCGGAATTGCCATCATCGCTAAAGGAGGTCGAAACCGTTAGGTACACAAAGAATGGTACAATCAATGCCTGGCCAAGGTTAGTAAGGATATATTTTTAAATGAAATGGACACAGCATACGTTAGTTATAACGGCCAAGACAAGGTAGTACACCATTCTTGATGCGCTGACTCGTTCAGAATTTTCGATCATCGACGAGCGGGTTAACTTCCGGAAGATAACGACGCTGCAGATCGTTAAAATGACAGCGATTGTGACCAATATGACGAAACCGCCTTTTGCCCATCTTGCTACAAACCAAAAAAGAGACGCAAAACAGAAATTCGGAGGCTGGACGAAAAGCCCAACCAAGCCAGTGCCCACAAGGAGGATCTTAACAATCACGAGGCAGATCACTACATTCCATTTCCCCCTTGGAGGAAACGGCTCGCTTCTAGTAGCTCGGTAGAAGACTTCTAATCCGAAAACCAATTGTATGTAAGGAACGATGAAAATTGCTATAGCGTTATTAGTACACCATTCATCGATAGTTCAATCACATCGCTACGTACCCGGCCACATGAATTGGGATATCAGGGAGCATTGTGGGATGAATAGGCCATCCAGGCCGAATGATTGACAGACAGCAAATATGATGCCTTGGATCGTAATGCTCAATGATAAAATGAACGGATACGTTTCTGGTCCTCCGAAAAGACATCGGAAGACACTGGTTCTGATGATAATCGTAAGCATACCACGCATTCATTTACTTACAGCTTCACAACTCACCTCGTATTATTTTCCAAATTTGATCGTTTTGTTGCCACATAGCAATCGTAAAAGATACCAGCAGCTGCCGCAAAGGCTGATACCGTATTGAAAGCAGCGAGGATTATCGTCGACGTTCGTATCGACCTTGCGGCGAGGAATTTGAACTGATTGATCACCCCAAATGTCGAATTGCTATTATAAGCAGCTTGTGAGATCCCACTTGCACCCAACCAACTTGAATTTTTTTGCCAGTTGTCGCCCAGATTACTGAAGCCGTGGAAATTATCCATACTGCCCGACATTGCAAGCCCAGGTTCGATTAGTATCAGGCGAGGGCTTCGGGCCTAAGTGTCGCCTGTCGTCGTAATTCAACTCATCTAACTAAGAAATCTTGGCGAAGTTTGCGCTCGACAATACAATGAAACGTTCGTTTGCGAGTGGGAGGAAGAGACGACGGGCAAGAAAGAAAACATGGAGAGTATTATGCCACACACAAGATGAGCCAGCTCGTAAACTAGGAAAAAGAAATTCCTGAACCAGCAGTCATCAGGTCAAGCCTGAACGAATCGAAAAAAACGAAGTGAAGAGAAAGTAGTGGCTACGGACAAGCGTAAGCCGGTGAAGTGAAGAACGTGCACCTGGCCGCAAGTCTCCTCCTGAGGAGATGGCAAAAATTCAAGAAGGATGCATGAGAGAAGTCGATAATAAGAGACAAGCCTCCTCGAGAATTGTTCCGAGGGTAGGAGTCCAGGGTGTCCAGCGCGGGCCAGATAGCTCCGGGTTCGAGCCAAAGGCTGGTTTTGCGGGTTGGTCAAGGGGTGACATCGTCCAAGCTGAGAACCAAGAGGCCTTGGGATTGGTTAGAACTCATCGATGGTGGTTAGAACCCACACTGGTGAATCTTCTACGAGCCATGTCGAATCACTCGAAATGAACAGTCCAAGTACATTTCGGACGAGATTGTATGAATCGGTAGGGGTCCAAGTACACGGAAGATACCAATTGAAGCTAGGTTGATCCGTTTCCTCGCTGCTACAGTACCTATGGGCTTCCAGATTAGGGCCGATGGAGGCGTGGAAGGCGTGGCAGGCAGCGGGCGGGAGCTAAGACGATATCGTCAGAAAGCATTGAATGGGCGAAGTAGATGAGGCAAAGGTGGAACAAGTAGTGGTTTCGTCGTCCCTTGTCGTCTCGCTAACTTATCGCAATTAAGGTTGGGGCTCAAGCCACTTACGCCCCTTTTGGGAATATTTGGTGTGAATTGAGCCCAATGGGGATTAGTCTGGAGTTACCGCGGTCAGGGATCAAACCTCCCGAACGCAGGCTCTAACAATCCCCTGTAGATTTCTTCTTTACCACTGTATCTTCTCTTTTTTATCAATTCTCTACCAAATCGAAGGATTTCAATACGATGTTGCAGATAATTCTTCAAGTTCGCGATATCCGCTAAAGACACTTTGTCCCCTATTATTTCGATTTTTCACATATCCGAATGTGACAACCTTTAAGTACGCGCGGCCGGATGTTTCCGTGCTGTTTCTAAACATGATAAGTAAGCTATATCTAGTGGATATTAGGGAGAATAACTTTCGAGATGAAAATGGACTCGAAAAGGTGTTACAGATCTCCTGCGTTCAACACCTCATAATACAAATAGAGAGAATGTAAGATCCGCGATTAGTCGAGAGAAGGACATGACGATTCATCTTCGTAGTTTCTGCTTGGCTAACCTCATCGTACCGTAAATAGATTGTGCATGTTTCCTGTTCTTTCTTGGCATTTCATAAGTCTAAACTCATCTATTTGAGTCTTGATGAATTTGGATGGTGTGATATTGTCTGGCTTAATAGTCGATCATAATGGTGACATCTAGATTCAACCAAAATTAACGTGCTTGGTACCTCATGTTCCCCAGAAGCTGGCTAGAATCTGAGGCAGAATTCGTAAGAGATGGTGAGCTTGGACTACGGAGGCGATGGGGAACCCCTTGTGCGAATCGCTGCGGGTATGATACTAACGAACGGCTGCCGCGTGGAGTTCTGCCGGTAACCTTTCGGACGAATAAACTTGAGTTGAAAAATCAACGAGAAAACTTCTAGATGATTATTGATAAGCTAAAGAAGCCGAAGTCGAATCGGGATTCGTGAAGCTGATTAGTTGGCGTCTCGCTCATGTCCCAAGATAAGAATATGGCCCACCACGAAGTCCAATACTTAGAAACTTCACTAACATCAGTGAAACAGAGTTCTTCTTGTTTGGTTTCATTGAATATATCATTGATATAGTCACGATGCATATCCGCTTGGCCTGCATGGTGCAGTCGACCCGGGCTCACGCATGAATCCATATCATCAAGTCAAGGTACCTACCTAGTAGGCATGCAACTTGTTTCCTGATGACTTGGTATCGGAGGCGATGCATATGAGGATTGGTAAAAAAAAAAGGAAGGCATTCATACCCCTATCGCAAGGTGGCTGAATCGGGCAGCCCATAGGCCAAGTTTTCGAGACTGCATTCGGTTGATGGGAACGATATCAATCCGAAATGACCAGTACCGAAGGTAAGGCGCCATGCTTACTCGTGGGAATTGCGGGGGATAAGACTATTATCTTCATTGGACTAGGCTGAATAGCCCATGTACCAATTCTTCAGTGACGCATAATCGAGTTGTATTGGGGGGGAGGGATCTAAACCCTTTGTCTAGCCCCTGAGGTTACCGAACGACGGGTATGCTAGTAATAGGATGGCTGGTGTGGACGAAAGGATGCTGGTGATAAAGAATCTTGGAAATCATAGGCTAGGAGGGTTAGTTTCCGTGTTTTATCCTCTGTCAAGTCTTCGTCAGCTCGCCGTGTAGGCTATGATCTTGCTAGGCAGGTGAATAAGACAAAGGGGCCTCGGATTTCGATATCCTTATGATATAACGGTGAATAAACTTCATGAACCTTTAGAATGTGTGCTTAAATTGGGAAGTTTAACAATTCAGATGTTGGAGTGTCAGAGTGTTAGTCTTGAGCTTTAAAATTGGGGACTTTTATTTGTTTGAGTTAGACTTTTGTGGAGGATCCAATTACATAAGCAGAAATCACCTTATGTATTACATAATACGGGAAATAAAGTTAGTTAGATTTTACCTGCTGTGGGCTTCTGCGTTGAATTGTTTCCCTCAACAATCAGAAAGACCACACAACCTACTATTGCACCAACGACAACACTTAACATCTAAGTCAATCATCACCACACTGCCTGCCTTTTCGCTCAAGCTCTGTATCTTTATTTTTCTAGTGGAAATACTTCGTAGTCTTGAAATGATGAATTTGATTATTGCTTTTATTATGGTGGTGGGGGCATCCTTCCACGGAACTGCGACCGACACCGCCAACACACAATCGACGTCGCATTTGACACTGTCGGGGATATCAATGTTCTACGGATGACTTGTTTTCCCCGACGACGACCCTCACCCATAGAATGAGCAATAAGTAACCCGATATCGCAAATATTCCTCTTTGCTCGAAAATTATGTCGAATAATTGCCATGACCCTCTACAAAATTCCCCTCACCTTCGGGTACCGTTCCGCCAGTTCCTCGAGCTCAATCAATCATCTCCCTTCCAACGATATTTCAAACACATACGGATTGCAGTATGGAAGGCATGCCTGTCTAGATGAAGGTAAATACATACCTCCTATTCGGCATGTCCGGACGCTTTCGGATGGTGTGCGATGCAGATAATCTCGGTCTTTGGTCCCGTAACCATCACCTAGTGGAACGAGCGCCATCTGCTGGTTCGCTTGGCTACATCCATATGAACCGGTCCTCATAGGGTCACGGGGAACACATTATCTTTTCAATTTTAACCCGATGTAGTCAAGTTCCTTACCTACATGATGATATTGCCTTGCCATCGACATCGGGCTTTCTCTGGCTCTTTTTTTTGTGGCCATTCTACATTTCGATGCTATTCTTTCGCTTGGCCGTATTCGAGGGTAGGGCTGAGAAGTCCTCTCCCCATTGCCTGACCTGGCTTGAGCACTGCTTTCTGGAAGTATCAGATAGAGTTCCCTATTATTACGTACACGGATTCTATTATTGAGGCCCATAGCAATCGATACGGACTGGACTTGCATTGCACACTGGGTGAGGGGAAATCCGAGCTAAGCTTCTAGGTACCTATACCTACCTACCCAGCCCATCATTAGAACTACTGTGTGGCGTCTAGGTCTGAGGGATATAGGTACCCAGTATACGGGCCGGGATTACCTACCTAAGGTAGAGACCAACACACTACAACGAGGCTGTCTATGTCTTGCAATTTTCTCTTAACCATATCCTAGCAAGAAGGGACTAACACTAGGGACGGTTTCCAAATTGCGGCAGACGAACAATTGGGTTTGCTAAGGCAGTTTTTTGCCATTAATCTGCTTTACAGGAAACATGGCTTAAATCTGCCTCGTTTCGGGAATGCATCGGATGGCTCAGAGCCTTACCGGCATAAGCCACTAGACCGCGGATGTTCTCAACAAGAACCTCACCGGCTCGCCGGGTAACTACAATCGCAGTCTAACAGATTGTTAGGTTATTTGAATAAGGGTTAGCGGAATTTTGCGTATGAAGTGTTAATTCTTGGTGGGGGATCTGAACTGCAACAAGAAAGGCAGACTACTACAAATCACATGGAAGGTGGCAGAAAGGAGGCGTTTAAATTGCATACATGATCGTAGATAGCATGCTTCTGTTTGACTCACCCAGCTACCTACACATGCGAGGTCAGCGGGTACCTAAGCTTGGAAGTGCTGAGACATCTCCGACTGTTTGCTTGGTCTTGAGCGGGAGAGTACTCGAGAAAGGTCATCTTACTCGAGCGCACCGCGCTTGCGACCACCCTCATCACATATCTCTGGCCTGCACTTGCCATCTTACCTACGCGGTATTGGCACTGTTAGGATTGGGATTGGATTAAAATTGGATGGTGACTAGACGGAAGTTGTCACAGTTTTCTTCTGCTTTTGCCAATTTTTCTTTTCTTTTCACCATTTACAGCCCCTGGTGGCGGTGGTCATAGTAGTGGTGGTGGTAGTGTTAATGGGAGGGTAGGATGATAGGGGAGTGCACTAACAGTGAGTGAGTGGAGTGCTAAGAAACGCCGCAAGGCTCTGGCGAAGCGGCAAAGACGCCAAAGCTTTTGGCGAACCAGAAATTTTTTGACCGGGAAAGCCACCCAAAAGCACTAAACCCCGGTCTTTTTTTTACCTTTTACTTCCCCAGTACCAAGCAACCAAGCACCAAGCACCAAAGCCACTAGGTCTACCTTACGCCTCTCTCCTCTTACCATTCTACCTCACTCATTCTTCTAAGACACACCCAACCCTACTGGTAATTCTTTTTTCACATCAACTGAGTCGCGTCATCCAAATCCTAGAATTGCACACCACCCACAATTCTACCACCTGCATATACCAAAAATTTCGCATCCATACCATTCTCGGTTTCGCGGGGAAGACCAGGGTTGAAGAAAAAAAAAAAGTACATCTGTACTCGTGCAGAGGGATCGACCACTTATTAATCGCCTTCTTCGAATGAATGAGGCTGCTGAGGTGGCCTGACCCATGTCTCTCTCGGCGACATAATTTTACCGTTTTCTTTGGCGGGCGGGCTGCCACCGGTTTAGCGGCTCTCTGCCACTGGCATTGGCACTAATCGGTACAGTCAGTCAGGGCCAAAAACCAGTGATGCCGACATGGATTCCGTGCTGCGTCGACATCCCAGCAAGTCTAGCCTTTCATCACCACCAACGCGGGCTCTAAATTCGAAAAACAATTCTGGTTCTCATATTCATTCACGAGATGTTGCGATGAAACACGATCATAGCAGCAAAGCCTACGACAACGATGACCGCGTCCGCGTTCGCGAACGTAGGGATCGAGATAGATTTGATTCGGACCGTCGAGGCCCGGCCAGTAATTCTCAATCTCGACGCTCTGCAGTAGGGCGGTCTTCGTCGCCTATCTCTCGACGCCCGGAAGGCCCTAGTGGTGCTAAGGCTAGGGATAATCATGACGAGACTCTTTCGCACCAGAATGATAAATCTCGTAAGTCCGATGTAGTTCAACGCGGACGGTCCCAAGATCGGGGGAGGGCTCTTGAGGACGATGGTTCGCGCGACGTCAAAGATCGCCCCTTACGAGATGGACACGCCGATAAGTTTGACCAGGACAAACCTCGCGGCATACCTACATCACCTAGACACGGCCCTAGAAATAATCATCACGCGAGTCACGGTGCAAGAAATCGATCTTTTTCGCCATCGTCGAGGAAGCGACGAAGGAGTCGGAGCCCGGTACCTTTTCCACCTCCGCGTCACCACAAGAAATCCAGACGCGAACGTGAACGAGACCGTCGACGTCGGGCGGAACGAGCAGAAAGGGCAGAGAGGGATCCAATAAAAAAACCTATTCCGCCATCTTCCCGCAGGCGGTCTCTCTCTCCCGCCCAGGACGATTCTCGCACACAACAACCCGACCGAAGCGATCCTACTGAGCCACCTCGAAATCGCTATCGCAGTCGTTCCCCACTTCGTGAAGGTGATACCGAACGAGATATTGACCCTATTGACGTATCTCAGCCACGTGAAAATTCGCAAACTCGAGGCCGTAGTCATTCGCCCGTATCCGATTCTCGACGATCATCTATCTCCCGCGCCCATTCATCTCCTCGTCCACCTAGTCGACCACAACCTGCCTCATCGGAAGCCGGCTCACGTTCACATCGGTCAACACCCGCCTTCGAACCTCCCAAACTTGATTTACCGCCTCGTTCACCGAGAGAACGTGGGTCTCGTCGCTCGCGTAAAAAAGGCAAACATCGTGAAGATATGAGGTTCCCCCTAGGAGGTCAATTGGCATCTGGCGCGAACAGCATCGAAGTCAACTTATCAAGGCGGTTGGAGAGCCGAAATGCATCCGGCTCCCAATTGCCGCCTACTCGTCCTAGTAGTTTTAATGATCGTCGGCCTGCTCGTTCACCTCCTCGCCCCCATTCCGCCTCATCATTTCACGGATCTCCCAGGTCGCAATCACCTCACGGCGGTGCTCGAGGAGCACGTAACAGCCAACGCCAAAATTCACCCCATAAGTATTACCACCCAAAGTTCTCTAAGCCAAAACCGTATTCTTACAATCAATCTAGCCAGCGCCCTCCTCAACATCCCCAAAGCGGCCATGGCCCCCCCACCGGTCCCGCGGCACATCACGCTTCAAATCAATCGCCACCACACCCGCCTACCGGTCCTATGGCCCATGGTCGTAACTTCTCTAGGGGAGGCTTCCGAGGTAGTTCACAGCATACACGAGGTGGCTATCGCAGTATAATAGGGACGCAGAATGCACAACGGTCATCAGTTGCTGGCAGGGGTGCCTCTGGTCATTCAGGGGAAAATACACCCCGACTTCACAGTCCACAGCATGTTGCTTCGGGTCATCCGGAATCTGCAGAGTCGAGAGAAACAAGAGATGACGATGATGATACATCTCGGGAACCCAACAATATTCACGATGAAGACCTGTCGCCACCGAAGGATGCCAATGAACAGATGCCACCACCCGGTCCCCCCCCTACGGCCCCTACTGGCCCTGCAAATTCCAAGTTTAGTTTCGCGTTCAAGGCAACAAACAAGGCCCCTGTCGCAACCCCTAAACCAGAAATTTCGCAGAAATTCAACACAGCCCCTAAAAAAGAACCGGTCCCATCCGTTGACGATAGGGATCGGGATCGAGAGCGTGAGCGTGAGCGTGATTGGGATAGAGATAGGGATAGGGATAGAAACAGGGACAGAGAACATAGGGATAGGGAGCGTAGGGAACGGAAGGAGCGGGAGAGGGAACGTGAACGAGAGCGAGATCGACACCGAGACCTACCGCGAGATACTCCAAGGGGACCGGCTTCCGCCAGGGCGGGGCCAGATTATCACGCCAACCGAGCCGCTCCTGAACCTCCTAAGACACGAAAGGTTAAGAGGATACAACGAAGGCTGAAGCCAAAGCCTGAACTATCACCTGATATGGCTGCATCGGACTCAGTATTCTTCAGAAGACCCGGTAATGAGTCGGTTGTGGGCTCCGGGACATACGGCAAAGTCTTCAAGGGCGTTCACGTATATACCAAGAAGCTCGTCGCTTTAAAGAAGATACGTATGGAAGGGGAAAGAGATGGCTTCCCGGTTACCGCCGTGCGAGAAATCAAACTTCTTCAATCACTGAAGCACCCCAACATTGTCAACCTACAAGAAGTAATGGTTGAGAAGAACGACTGTTTCATGGTTTTCGAATATCTGTCCCATGACCTTACTGGTTTACTCAACCATCCATCGTATAAGCTTGATGCAGCACAGAAGAAGCACCTCGCACTACAGATATTCGAAGGCCTAGATTATCTGCACAAGCGAGGTGTACTACACCGCGACATCAAAGCAGCGAATATCTTAGTCAGCAGTGATGGGGTCCTCAAGTTGGCCGACTTTGGCTTGGCTCGTTTTTACGCAAAACGTCACCAACTCGATTATACAAATCGTGTCATTACAATCTGGTACAGATCCCCTGAGCTGTTGCTAGGCGAGACGCAGTATAGTACTGCCGTGGATATCTGGAGTGCGGCTTGTGTCATGGTAGAAATCTTCACACGTCATGCCATCTTTCCAGGTGATGGCGGTGAGATTAACCAATTAGAACGGATTTACGCTATTCTTGGTACACCGAATCGAGTCGATTGGCCAGGTCTCGTCGACATGCCCTGGTTCGAATTACTACGACCCGGTTATCGCCGATCGGACGTTTTCGCCGACAAGTACAAAGAACGAGTGCCAGAAGCTGCTTTTGACCTGCTTGCTTGGATGTTTAAATACGACCCAGTTAAGCGACCTTCCGCAGCTGAAGTCCTAGAACATGCCTACTTTACGAAGGAGTATCCGCCAGCAAGACAGGCAATTGAGTACGTATTTCATTAACCCTTGTCGTACCCGTGTAGATGTACTAACCCTTCTTTACAGACTTCAAGAACTTGAGGGCGAGTGGCATGAGTTCGAGTCCAAGGCTTTACGCCGAGAAAAAGAGAAACAGGATCGAGAAGCACGACGCGCTGCCGCCGCCAAAGAAGCTAACGATCGCGAGAAGGACAGGAAAAGGCCATCGTCGGCGCACGACTCCCAACGAGAGAGTAAACGACCGCATGTCGACGGCCGACCGCCTACATTAGGTCGCTCTAATGACATTCAGTCCGGCGAGCCTGTAACGAGTGAAGCAGCAGAGTAGGGCGCACTGCAAACTCGGGGACGTATTCGATGGCTGGGCGCTAAACGTGGATCCGTGCGTAAGCTGGGAAACCTCTGAAGAGGGATAATGGATTATTATATATGTATTGATAAAAGGCAAATGGCAAGGGAGCGTGGTTTTATGAAGCCTAGTCAGGCACGCAGGCACGCAAGTACTCTAGTGCTTGACAAGCCTAGGGCTTTTATTTACAGTACAAGGAATCTTATCGTGCTAGATATAGCATTGCCTTAGAAAAGAGCTTTACACCAATGCCCACGGGCTCGCATCATTTACTACAAGTTCTTCGTAGCGAAAACAAAGTCCAACGAAAATAGCAGTTATTATACTGTACAAAACACTATGGTATCCCTGATTCTTAAAGCTAACAAGAGTAATTCCAAAAGCGCCAATCCATCGATTTGTATTCGGTCTTTGCTCCCACGCGCAATCTTCCTCTTGGTCCTAATCAAACCCACTAACCCAGCTCACTCACTCAGATTGGACTTAATTCGGCCACGCCCCATTAGCACCACGAGCACCCGCAGCAAATAAATGCGAATAATCCGTGCCGATATGTCGACCTTTCAGCCACCAGATCAGGATAGAAGGCGGTTGGAACGTTCCTACTTGTCCTGCGCCGCGGTCCTTGCCGATTGTCAAACCGAGCATGATTTTCTTTAATTCGTCGGGTTTCTTGTAGTAAGGTTCGAGGGTAACGGCGGATGGACTGGCGGAGGCGAAGTACGAGGGGCTGAGTTGCTTCATTAGGTGGCGGATTTGTGCTTCTGAGTGTACGGCTTGGGGTGCTTGCAGGGTGCTGACGTCGCCGACTATGAAGATGTTGGAGTGGGAAGGGGAGCGCAGGTCGGGGGTTACTAGGAGACGACCTGGGGAAGAAGGGTCGTGCACTATCAGGATATGTTAGTATGGTTCTTCCAAATAGGGGAAAGGGAGTGGAGGCACGTACTAGAAGCCGGCACGAAAGAAGTATTATACTCCGCGCCATACGTTGGGATAACCAAATCCGCCGTAATCGTCGTCGTCGTCGTCTTCCCGCTTTCCTTGATCTCGACCTTGACTTCCTCTCCTTTACCCCCCGCAGCTGGCGTCACGGCTGTGACTCGTGCGTTTCCCACGTACTCTACGCCTAGTTTCTGCAATTCCTTTTTCGCGGTCGTGCGAACTCGTTCTTGGAGTCGGGATTCTAGGGGTAAGGCTTCGGAGTGGAGGACTGTGACTTTCTTTTTTCCATGCTTGGAGAATGCGGACCCGAGCTCGCCCGCGAATTCTACGCCTGTTACGCCGGCGCCTGCTACTACGATTGAGGACGCGGCTTCGATTGATGATTGCAGGTTCGCGATCACGGTGCGCGTAGACTCAGTCGAGGGGAGTGTCTTCCACGGCATGCCCGTTTTATACGTAGTCCCCGTCGCAATAACCAAAGTATGATACGAGATCTCAATATCTTTGTTACTCCCATCGCTCACAGTCACGGTAACGGAGTTTTGCTCCGGGGTTAGTTTTGTCGCGGACCCGAGGACGAATTCAAAGCGGTCTTTGTGTGGGTATTGTGTGAATTGCTCGGCGATTGGGAAGAGGTATTTTTCTTCTGGGAGTTGTGGTTGGTTGGGTAGGACTAGGCGCACTGAGGCTACGTTCCAGTAGAAATGTGTCTGTGGTGAGACGAGCACTACGCGTAGGTCCGAGACTTGAGATGCGGTGCGCGAGATTAGGTAGTGTGCTAAAGGAAGACCTGCGAGGCCGGCGCCTAGGATCACTATGGTTTTCGTCATGGTGTTCGAGAGGTTGATGAGTATCGTTTATCCGCTATGTTGGGTGTTAAATGAACGCCTTGGTAAGGGATCTTCAGGTATCTTCAATCCTAGGATGTTGATCTAGATCTCTGTTATGAGTTTCTAATCCCTTTCGAGTCGACATATTGCTTGATGTCGATTCCTTATATGTTGTTGGTGCACATAGCCCCCTTACATGGAGCTGAAAAAAATCCATAGTCCGAATTGAAATCGATGTATGTGTCTTAATAAGCCAGTATTCCTGATTATTATTCGATTTCAAATCAACAATATGCAAAATGAAAAACGAAATCCAAAGAATGAAAGGATTTGTCGCCTAGTTGGAGTTTACAAGTCATGAACTACGGACTTCGGAGACTTTTCTATCGGAGTCGGGGCGCAACCGGGATGATTTTGATACCGGGGTTTCACTACGGTCCGTGTAGCGCATCGTGGGCATAGCATTTTTCCATTTTAGGAAAAACTCACGACTTACTATAGTGGCATATGGTCGGGTTTGGCTTACAGTAGTCTATTTCTAATTACTCAATCGCCTAGAACTACCTAAAGATATTAATAGGGTTCATCCGCCTTACCGCGATGGTTGCAAGGGTAAAGAATGCCGCGTTTAAACATATTACGTTATGGTACACAACATTTAGGTGCTTACCTGTGATAGTCAGGGGTTTTCCAACAGGCAATTATTAAGCTATCATTTCGATTGATTTAATATTGATTTCTAGGAAATGTTAAATTACCTAGGTAAACTTGTATGTGTATCATCTCCATACATGTCATAATAGTATTTCTCTCCAAGGCCCCAACGACCGGCGATATGCACTCGACAATCGTGTTGCCTTAAGCGCCGGTTTCATTTCTTGACATCGTCATGATCCGTGCTAACAATCACATCGTACCACTCCTTGATGATAGCCTCAGTATCGGCGATCTTCGTCCTAATAACTTCCAATGCATCGGCGCCGAGAATGAGTCTGATGGGGATCTCCTTGCCTTGCGCAACGCCAGTCTGAGTCAATACATCGACAATAACCTTGGCGCCCTTCTTAACGTCGCCGGGCTGATTGTTATCGACTTGGTTGAGTATCTTCTTGAGCGAAGGCACAGCCGTGTCCTTGTACTCTTCGTCTAGAGGGTGGGCAGGCCCCAAGCGGTTCCCACCGCCTGGGTTTAGGAAACCTGTTCGGAAGTAGCCTGGCTCGATGGCAACGGCTGCGATACCTAGTGGCTTCACTTCGTCGTGGAGCGATTCTGTGAACCCGGAAATTGCGAATTTGACCGCAGAATAGTATCCATAGGCGGTTCCGCCACGCCAGCTACCCAGGCTGCCGAAGTTGGCGATTACACCCTGTCGCCTTTCGCGCATGTGGCGCAGAACGTTGCGGGTTACGTTCATGACACCTAGTACGTTGGTGTTGAATTCGTCGAATACTTCTTTGGCTCTATTCTTGGATGTAAGTACCTAACTGACTTGTGAGAAATTGAGTGTGTAACTTACGAAGCTTCTTCAACACCGGATGAGAGGATATAACCTGCCGCATTGATGCAGTGGGTAATCTTGCCGTAAGTATCGACAGCCTTCTGAAGTGCCGCTTGGATGGTCGCGTCGTCGGAAGTCACATCCAAGGCCATGACCAAGGCTCCAGCTTCCTTGAGGTCTGCCATCTTGGCTGGGTTGCGGGAAGTGGCGACGACCTTATCGCCTCGTTTGAGGGCTTCAAAACCGATGGCGCGGCCGAAGCCGTTGCTCGCTCCTACGATGAACCATACGTTTCCAGTCATGATCACTATTTATTAGTAGGACCTTAGATTTTTCTATAATATTTTAAAGGGGGTAAATATAATGATGTCAATGGCTTAGAATGTAGTGTTGATAGTTGTGTAACGATAAAATCTGGAGTAAAATAGACATTGTCATGAATTATCTCGAGCCTTCTTATACTCAATCGCAACAGCGAAGTTGCTCCTGAGTGCACCGCAACGCCGAATATTTCTATGAAGATCCACCCTAAAGCCGAAAGTTCTCCTTCAAGTTGATACTGGTATAGTTTGAATAGGAGTAACGGGTGAATGTAACCCCCGATTACGTGGTTTGATGTGTTAGAAGGTACTTTTGGTGATGAGTGATGTCGGGATACTGAAGATGTCGTTGACATCTGTCCGCTATGCAAATGAAGCCAAAGTTGCTATCTCCTATGTGAAAGGTCAAATCTAGGAGGACGTAACCCGTCGGCGCAAGTGTGAAAGCCCTGGAGTTTCTGGAGTTTGGGGACCGGAGCTTACCATTATCGGCGTTAAAGCCATCTCCGATTGCGCAGGGGCCACGAAATATGTCCAGAAAAAGCAATATGACGGAGGAAAATTGAACCGGCTCAACTGAAGCTTTATATACCTTTCAGCTCTACTACTCGTAGAATTAAATCCACTAAGTCCGTTACATCAGGGAGTTATTATTTTCAATTCACCGTAACGGCGGTGGAATACGATAGCTATCTCCGGGTTCTAATATAGCCAATCATGAGATCCGTATTGTCCTACTGCGGCCTGACAAGTTGATTTATTTTCCCTACAGGATCGTGAGGATACAGGTGAGGGGTCAAGGAATATAACAGTTGTAAAAATGAGAATAAACATGAAGAACTAGAATTCCTTCTGCTTAAGCATTACCTACCTAGGTATATTGACAATTACGTACGTGATACAAAGAGACATTTAGAGACCAGTTTTTTTCCTAATATCTACAGACGTAGTTCCTGAAATACCATGGCCTACACATCACGATCTAGGTACTTCCAGACAAGAAATCGTTGTGTTACGTTACCATAGACGCTAAAATGAGAAAAGAAAAAGCAAAAGCAATGGGAAGAGGGATGCGCAAAATTCATACAATGGCTACCGTCACTTCTTCACCAGAATCGTACCAGTCTTCGGGCAATTGCCATACACAACCAACTCTCTCCATATGCCCTGGGAACTTAGGGGACATACCCAAAACCAGTCCCATATATATTGGTAATGCCTGGCGAGTCTTGAGCCAGTATGTCTTCGCGATACAGAAAAACGCCGCCGTCGTCTCCATTGCATTCCCGGACGTCGTTTTGCGTGACCGACAAGCGAAAGTACTAGGCTGTCCTGATATAGTCCCTGGTACAAGAGCACCATCCGTTCGAAAATGTTGCTTTCGGCTAAGAGATCCATCAGCCTTGGTATAGTAAACCCAATGCTGATTTTTATGATAGTCCGCCGAGAGCTTGCAGTACTTGATGCGACCGCGAAGTGTAATCGTACCACCCGATACTTGGCCATACGGATTAGCCCCGACTACGTTCGTCTGAGCATCGACTACGGTAGCAAGAAGTTGTATCGATTTCATCGGATTCCACGTTACACCCCAGTTCATCGATGCCCATGACCATGTTGGCGCGTTCTCTTCGTGTTCTTTCGTCATAAGTGGGGTGTGTGCGCGACCCGGCATGACTTGCCAGAGGAGATCTAATAGCAGGGTTTCGCTCCATAAACCCGCGAGATACCGGCTTGTCTTCGCTTGCGGCATGATAGTTGCTGCACCTGCTATGGCTGGGAGCTTGTCGCTGACGAATGTTAATTGGCGCGATGTGTACGACTTCACAATCATGTGCCACTGTTCCATGGGTGTGACCTCGCCTAGCGTACCCGGGACTGTAATTGGGTAAGGGGGCAATTGATCCTCGCTCTTGCGATGCGTTTTACATTCGTAAATGATAGCGCCAGGGGCGAAGTTGAGGATCCTTGGTGCGAGGAATGATTCTTGGAAGCACCACCCACGCGCATATAATGGCCCTACTTTCTTCAGCGTCGCCCAGGAGCTTGTAAATGGTGGCTCGAGTAATCCTTGTTCTAGCGGTGCTGCTAGGAGATGCCTCTGTCGGACCATGATAGGTATATTGACACCAGGCGAGACAGGGAAGTCAAAGCGCTTTGGAAGCCATTCGCCTTCGCGCAGCTGTAAGTACGGCGTGTTAGGGTTGGGTGAAGATGCACCGCTGATGACGATAAATGCACGGCTGTACACCGAGCCCATTCGTGCTGCCTCCTTTTCCCAGTCCGTTTTGTCATCTTGGATGATGCAAAGCGAATCGATCCATACATACGCCAATCCAAGTTCCTGCGCCACGGTGATCGCATCTTGGAAAGTAGCCGGTAGTTCCGAGAATTCAATGTGCTCTTTCAGACTGCCAAGGGCTGATTTTGTTAGGGAGAGAGGCTTACCACCACCCCAGCAATGACTAAGAGCAGCCCATGTAATGTTCTGGCCTGGGGGAATAGCATCACATAACTTAAGTGCATCCTTACCTCCACCCACATATATCAATCTCGTCGGCACGAAGCCATCGGTTTGCGTGGCGCATCTCGGATGTGACCCGCAACATTCCCGCACACTTTCCTTCATGAACCTCATACATTCCTCGGACCGGACATCCGCTGCACGAGGACCTACATGGCCCATCGCGGGTGCACCCGAGATAGGAGTCAGAGGCATAGGGACCATGTAAAGTTCGAGATCCACCCTCGTATTTTGGAACCACTTGTCGTAGGTAAAATTCCAACAATTGATTATCAACGGCGCTCCCTCTTTAATCATAAGCCCGACCTGTATCGGCATAGCATTTTTAGTCTCCGTGATCCAACTCATCCACTCATCAATAAAATACGCATCGAAAATATCACATAGTAGTCTGCAATACTTGCAATTCCGCTTCGGACGACCCGTTTCGGGGTCTATTTCACGGCTCTCTAGAAGTTTCTTAGTTGAGATTTCTTCCAAGACCAGAGTAGGGACGGAGGAAAGCTCTTTTCTCCGCGCGGTTTGCTCGGGATCGATGAATTGGCTCCAGGCATGGTTCGGCCGGCCAAAGGTATTCTCGTGTCCGTATGGTTGGAGGTTGTTGCATATTAAGCAGAGGCCGTTCCGACTCCCTATCACACGCCGTAAGACGGCATTTCCGGCCCATACCGCGGTGTCGGCGGCTAGGCGCACGCCTTTGGCTACGTCCTTGGCGGAATTGAATAGACTCGACATTATTTCATAGTAAAGACTAGAAATCCTAAATTCCTAGGTGGATGATTGAACCACAACGCCGAATGAAATATAGGAGTATGCAGTTCTAGTAACAATGGAGAATTACCTGGGTAATCGTAAATGCCTCTTTAGCACATGTAAACTTACCATCTATCGCCAAGTCTCAGCCGCATCGCACTATTTCTCATAGCGTGCGTAGAACTCGCAGAGCACTGCCCTGTGGCGGTGTTCGTTTATCCTAATCATTGTCGAGAGTCTATAGCCTAGGCTCCCTCTCAGCTGCCTGTTAGGGTTGCTGTAAATAGTCCGCGGTACTGAAGCGATTCGCAGATTGCCGCGTAGCTGAAGCGGCACTCATGTGCTCGACCAAGAATTCATAAAACGGCTTTAAAATGAAATACAAATTCTAATCCCGGCCGATGCAGTATGCAAGTTTTCCCTATCTGAAGGAGATATTTGCTTACCTAGGTGGGATTCGAGGAATATCAATTCTTTGATAAGTTAATAGTTTACCTATAACCAAGACAAGAATAAAACGACATATTCTTCAACTACACAGATGAGAATTCCAGTACTGGTGAAAAGATTTATTACCCAATGAGGTGGTGGCAAGCAATCGTTTTGGAATTATACCCCATCCCCTAGCTCATCACGCATATTACCCGGTCGCTTTTAATCTACGGCAGTTCCCCTCGCGAACCGCTTCCGTATCTATTCAAGGGTCCCCGCGATCTGACCGAGCTAATAATGGAGAGATTGATCGATTTGGGGGTCGATTTTTCTACTGCGGTGTTCGATATAAAGAAGTGTGGATGCGCGATCTGCGTATTGCTTCATACTTGCTTCTGAGTTTCGCGTCTTTCACCTCATCGCTGTCTTCGATATCGACCTCGAGAATTAGAGACAAGATGCAGTTGCACTCCATTGCTGCCCTGGCAGCACTCCTATTTGCACGCGATGGCGTCCATGCACAGGAAATGATGCGCTTTTCGTGTTCGAAGTTGACGATCGAGCGACTAGATCCGTTGGTATCTCCGGGTATGGAGCAATCGCCGCACATGCACCAAGTTGGTGGTGGTAATTCCTTCAGATCGACCATGCCGCCCGTGGACTTCGATCCTGTCAAAGAATCGACATGCACCTCGTGTAGTTTCTCGGAGGATTTTTCGAACTATTGGACTGCGAACCTATTCTTCAAGGCTCGAAATGGGACGCTGAAGCGTGTACCTCAACTAGTCAATATGGGATTGAAGGCGGATGGTGGTTTGACGGTGTATTATATCCCGCCGTATGACGGAAAGACTAACGTTACGGCGTTTAAGCCCGTAAGGCCCGAGTCTATTATATTCCCTAAATATACTCCGAGAGGCGGGAAACTTGCTGATAATTCATGAATAGGGATTCCGCATGCTGGTCGGCGATTCGATGCTAAGAAAAGCCGAAGGCCAACAGAAGCAACTATGCCACAGATGCTTTGATACGATAAACCAGGTCCCATTCCAAGGTGCGCCGTGTACAGGCGAAGATACGGCGTCTCTTCCTCCCAAGATGTGTGGCGGCGGCATCCGAACGACAATTACCTTCCCAACTTGCTGGGATGGTGTCAATGTCGATACTCCTGACCATAAAGCCCATGTCGCATACCCCGAGAGTGGTTCGTTTGAATCTACTGGTCCTTGCCCGGCTAGCCACCCGGTTAGGGTAAGTGTAACTTCGGATCTTTACTATGAGAGTGTCCTTGGTTAACGTACGTTTCGTGCTCAGTTGCCTCAACTTATGTACGAAGTTATTTGGGATACTCGATGGTTCAACGACCCTGATCTATGGCCCGAAGACGGGTCGCAACCGTTCGTATACAGTATGGGTGATGGGTAAGTTTCTCCTATTCCCTCCCCCCCAACACAAATGCGTGGGATAGCGATGGCTGACGAACTTCGGCTAGCACTGGGTACGGGCAGCATGGTGATTACCTCTTCGGCTGGAAAGGTGACGCGCTGCAAAGAGCTTTGAATGCGCGCTGTGGCAATGATAAGTGTTCAGAGCTCAAGTCGCAAACTGCGGAAGAAGCGACGGCATGTACGATCGATCAGACTATTCCAGAGAAATATGACGGATGTAAGTGTTTGGTCCACCCAGCTTATGACTTCTAAGCCAGATCCGCTAATACTCATTCCAGGGCTTTCGCAACTCCCTGGTAACTGGACCATAACTTACAACTAAACTGAGGTTATACCGACAGTTGAGTATTAGATAGTGTTTGTAATTGAGCTACCTAGGCAAAATATATGCTTTTCTTTCATTTTGCCATGATTGAGTGAATCTTCTCCAAGAGCTGACGTGGTAGGTGTGACTAGAATTCCCGCCTAGTCCGAGTTGTCTTTGTTTAGGAATGGTGACTTATGTAAGTCCGATATGGTATAATATTCTTTGTATTTTAGTTTGAATTGGAAACATTTGAATATTTAATGTTGAGACGATTAATTGAGTTCTTTTAAGTGGAAAAGAATAGTTTCAATGTTCTGTTCGAATTTGAATTTATCTTTTTTGTTTAATATGATAAATGAATAACTCTCCTATCTTGATTTTATGCATACTTAAAACTATGCACTAAAAGTAGCTCCTTACTAATACTGCATAAGGTTTATAGGTTTATCTGGTTGGTTCGGGTTGCAGGCAGGGTTCACCTACGTTTACCTAAGCGTGAATTCCACCTAGGTAAGAGCTACCCGTTAGCTTCACGTTTTCAGCTGATTCAAGCTCAATTCCATCACAACCCAAAATTCCATTCCTTACCATTACTTCCTCACACATTTTACCTGTCTCACTGGATTTTGCTACTGTACCCTTCGTCACGGATTGAGTAGACTTGAGACTAATTTTCAAGTTTATTTTTGACTGCTCTCGTTTCGCAACGGCGCTTCATTTGCAAATGCGCCACCTTCCAACAATTCATCCTCCGTGATTTGTGATAGAACCACCATCGAACGCGAACGCGCCATCACGAGAACTATGCCGGCAACATGGACACCACAAACGTATCAGATCCGCTTCAGCAACTTGAAGCAGCGAATAAGACGCCCATCGCAGATTTAGGTCCAGAACTTTCAGATCTGCCTTCTCGTTCCGTCCGTGGTGTCGTTACAATCACATGGCCCTACAGCTCAGTTAAAGGCACATTTTCCTTCATCCTCGCCGAACCAGACTATCGCCTCCGTCGAAATAAAGGACAGGTTCGAATAAACTTAAATGGAGCTGCAGCTAAAGCAGCTGGAGAAAGTGGATTGAGCAGTAGTGATCAGGTACTCGTGAGTTTGGGCGGTGTTGAGTGGGAACCCGAAGAAACGAAGAAGCGCCAGAGTCTACCAGGTGCTGGAATCGACTGGCAATTGAAAATCTCGGATAAACTCTTACTACAGGTAACTAGCTCTATGCTCGTGTGTGCTATAGTGTAATGATTGCTGATTTCTCCCAGGTCATCCTAGCTGAGACTGGGGAAACTAAACTCATCTCTGTCGATCATTCCCTACCACCGCCGGAACCTCAACAGCGAGTCGCGACACCACCAGCCGATATAGGACGCGTCGAAGACACTACGACTCAGACCCTCGAAGAACTCACGCCGCCTAGCAAGTCCCTCATTGCAAAATTCAAAGATGGTGAATATGAATCTCCGGCTTTCGTTAAGAGAGCCCGAATGTCATATGGTTCATTATTTGAAGACGGTTACGACATATTTGAGGATGATGGTGGAGTCAAAGGAAGAGGCCGAAAGAGGACGAGATTTGGCCGTGAGAGCGGTGCATGGAAGTATAGCAGCCAGTCTCCTAGTCCTGAGCCTGCGTCCCCCCCAAGTCGTGCAAGCTCGTCGCCGAAACCTGGGATGACTGACGAGGGATGCCAAACTATGGAAATCGATTATTTCCCTATGGAATTGCCTGTGCCGACAGCCTCGTTCGCTGATGGGGTTCCGCACAGCTCAGAACCAATACAGAGCGAAGAGCACGTTGTTCATTCTCAACACGGAATGGTGGACCATGGTATTCAAGGAGGGTTCGATAGCGGATGGCCGGCTCCGATACCCACAATTCTGCCTCCGTTTAATCCAAGTGGTGTGCTTCCTAGTAGTGGTGCTGAAATGCCCGCGTTCCAACATGTCCACCAAGAGAATGATGTCGATGATGACCTTCAAGGATGGGATCCTAATCTTAAGCCGATAGATCCCCCACCCGAAGGTTATCCACCCCCTACCGAACCGCCGCCACCACGTCCCGAAACTACAGCCTATCCGCCTTTAGAGCCCGAGGACGAAGAGCGACCCATTTCCGATTCATCAAGGGACCATATTCACTATCCTCCTTCATATTTAGAGGACACTCACCCCTTTTCACAAGGGCAGGCCATGGAGGTTGAACATGATGCGTTTGTCCCAGAGATCCCCACAACTACAAGCGTGGAGCCTTCCTCGTGGGCTACAGTCAACAATCCATCTCAGGCAACTGCCGTTCCACATATCGAACGCTTTGGTAGTGCCGAAGGCGACTCCGTAGAGAATGCAGTTGTCATAGATGAGAGTGATTCGGATGGAGAGCCGCCACCGCCAACCGCCGCAGAGGACACAGTCATGTCCGGCCGTGCCGACACCCTTGAAATGTACGAGGATGCCGAAGTTGAAGATGAAGTAGACGCCGAGTATTCAGACGATGACGAACCTGAATATGATGCAGATGAAATGGGCGGTGATTATGATACACGGATTTACGAAGCGCCGGATGACGACGAGGACGATAGTCATGACGAGGATTTACAATCCCATAACCTAGAACCCGAATTTGATGATGGTGCCAGCTGGGAAGGAGAAGGTGAAGATGCAGAAAATCCTGACTATGATAGCGAATATGATATGGATGAAGAGGAGGAGCCTGAGCGCCCCTCCCGAACCATCTCACAGTCTGCTCCTCAGGTTATTGACCTTATTTCAAGTTCGGAAGGCGAAGACGAGGACGAAGATGATGACGAAAGTCCCCAACCGGGCCCATCTTCGCAAGTTCCTCCTAGAAGTACATATCGAAGCCCACTAGGAATGGCGCCACCAGCCCAAGCAATTGGACCGGGCTATAGTAGTGGGGGCCAAGAAGAAGGAAGCGAAGACGGAGAGGATCATGAAGACAATTACGACGAGGAAGAGGAAGAAGAAGAAGAGGACGGACATAAAAATGATGCCCAGTCGCAACGCTCATTCGACGGACCAGATTCTCCAAGCCCCACGAACAACAACGAAGGTATTCAGAGTACCCTCGAGGGACGTGGGGAAGTGAAGGTGATTTCCGATACTGGCGACGAAGAGGAAGCTAACGTTCCACAATCTGCGGCTGAGGGACTCGAGATCCTAAGCCGAACTGTCGAAGGCGAATCGAACGCCAATCGACTTGCAAAGCCCGAGGAAATGCAAGATGAAGAAATTGTGGATGTTCCTTCACCAAAAGTTACCGAATCTACGGTGGAGCATGAGCAAATACAAGAATCGGTAGATGATGAACTACAAGATGCCCAGGATGATGAGGAGTCCGTTGATATGGTGTCTACCGTGCCAGATGCCGCTCCCGAGCAGCGTCATGTTGCATTAGACGAGAAGAAACACGTGGAAACCGTTGCTCCATCGTCTCCCCCAATGACACAATCGTTCGCGTCCCAAGCTGCCAACGAAAGAAAAATTGATCTCGAATCACCCACCATTACAGGCCCTCACAGCCAAGAAAACCAACTTCCAACGCCTCGAGATACCCAATTAGTTGGTGATATTGCTATCCTAGATCCCGTGACGGTCATTTCCATGGAGGTTGATGAGCCAGACGAAGTCAATTCAACGGAGCATAATACGATGATGGATCATGAGGAGTCACCTGCGATCGCACAATTGGTCGCCGTGGAGCCAACGTCAGTAGTTGTCGAAGACATCGCTGAGCAGATCGAGGAACGCCTCATTGAAACCATCCCATTCGAGCGCCAAGAAGTTCCTCTGAAAGATACTAAAGAGATCACACAACATGATAACTTGCCAGTCTCACCAAGTATTAGCTTTCAGACCCAGCTTGATGCTGATGACATGGCACAAACTAGTTTCACCGAATCTGGCCATAAGATTTCTATCGAGATCGAGACTAATGATGATATCCACTCAGATAACGAGGCTGACGTATCTGGCGCTAGTATCTCGTTTAGATCACAGATGGAAGTTGATGAAGAACTGCAGGCTAGTATCCTAGAATATTCTCAAGATTTCGGCAGCGTGAATACGGAGGTAACAGAGGAGTACGAGATTGGTAGTGAACCTCAGGGCCGCGAGGATGAAATCCCTATGGAGGTTGAACCTTCCCTTAAGGCCTTTAGGGATCCATCTCCAGATCTTGGATCTCAGGAAGAAGAGCGACAGGTCTCTCAGGGACCTGTTTCAACTATTGCACAAACCGATATGTCCGAATCATCTGAGATCGATGCGAGTGCACAACTTGCGCGAGCGGCGAACAAATCCAAGCGAAATGGAAGGCAACATGGCGTGGCAAAGAATATGCACGCAGAAATGAGATCGATTCCTACTTCCGTAACGCCTACGCCTTCTCTGGAAGATTCGAGTGTGCAGCTAGCTAGAGCTTCCTTAAACAAGCAAGCTCAAGGAGAGGAAGAAAGCAGCTCAATGGTAGCAATAAAACGAAAGCTAACACGTTATCTACGAGATCAACTACCAGACTGCACGCAACTCAAAATTCTGCGGCAGCACATTCAAAAGAAGCTAGATGTCATCGCGGTTGCCATGATGCAACCTCCTGACCCACAAAGGGCCAAAGGTGGCCCACGTGAGTTCATGATGTCTTTCACTATTACGGATAACTCGATTGGTCCCTTCAAAGTAGCGGAAGTGCAGATTTATAGGCCACACATAGAGACCTTGCCGATCGTCAAAGCTGGCGACGTTGTGCTCCTTCGCAATTTCAAGGTTGTCTCGCTCCAAGGCAAGGAATTCGGCCTACGCACAACTGATGAGTCAAGCTGGGCTGTTTTCGACCACGAGGATCAACCGGCGCAGATCAAAGGACCACCAGTCGAGTATGGAGAGAAGGAGACAACCTATGTTGCACTCCTACGAGCATGGTTTAATATGCTGGACGAGATGGCTAGGGTAAAGCTCGAACGAGCTAACAAGAAGATTATCGACGCAGGCAAGTCCAAGTAGGGCGGGTCGACTCGCGTGCCTGCTGTTGGCTTCGATACCCACTTGGTCATCATACTCATATCTTGTGGTATTGTCTTTGCATCACATGGCTTTTGTATGACTTTTTTGCTATTATTCTTTACAATACAGTTAATTCTAGGTGTCAGGGCTTAAGAGGAAAGAGAAAAGGGACGGGGATTCGTCTGGTGTTTAGGGGGTTGGAGCAAGCATGCTGGGACTTGAGCCTTAATAGTATACCCAAATGATATTCCTAATATTTATGCATATGCGTTGGTTTCATGGTCGATATATGAATGTTGATTGTAAATTGTGATGAGAACCTTAGGTAAGCGTGGCTTTAGCGAGGCGCTATAAGGCTCTGTAGTTATGGGAGGCTTTAGGTGGGATATGTGATGTAAGGCGCTGTAGTGGTGCTATAAACGCAGCAAATGCATTATAAACCTTCCAATCTGGCCACTAATTTTATAGTGGAATATGCGCTATATGTCCCTGTAATTACAAAGACATAATGCAGTACGCCTCCACGATCATAAGTTAGGCCCCTGTATAAACCATAAACCGTAATCTCCTACCACATCAACTCAAGCATAACAGAAACGCCCAGATCGTAGTCATGAAACGAGTACATCATACCCAAAATGATGCCTATGCGACTCATACCCGACCCAGCGAGAAATCTTGTAGCCCTACCTCAATTTAATCAACATTCAATTCGGCCCCTCAGAATTCATCTCACTGGTCGCTGTGGCAGACCGTTTTATTCCATCCCTCTGAATACTATGGTAATCCATGTGCTCAAGGGTATAACCCGTATCTACGGTTTTCAGCGTGACGTCTTCACGTTCGACATCGGTACTACCGCTAACGAATCTCCTAACATCACTCATTGTAGCTTGCGTCAGCCCTAGCGTGGCGATCTTCGGTGCACCTGCGTCGACGAACTGCTGGCATTCTACAGATCGCGGGGTGCCATGCTTCCCACTGCGCAGCCAGGGTAAACGGCGACGTACGAAACGCCGTAAGGCACTATCCTGTTGTCGTCTTTCCTGCTGTATGGGTTGATTGATAAACACGCTGCGGATCGTGATCACAGTCGTCATGATCACAGACACGCAGTTTTCCAAGACGGCCCAGAATGTCGCCCACGTCGGCGCTGAGCCATTCCCGTCTGCGTCCGTGTCGAGAATGGTGCCGATTATTCGCGCGAGGGCGCATATGATCATAGCGATTGAGAGGCAGAGGATTGCGGCTAGAGAGAGCTTGCGCGCGAAGGACATCATGGACAGGTTGAGGACGATTATAGGTAGTGTGACGACTATATGATGTATGGATATTAGATACGTTTGCGAAAGGTTTACGTTGTGAGATCATGGGAAGAACTTACTTAGACTATCGCACCCGATGTCTACAACAGAAACCAGGATGTTGTTTACGAGACTTCTAACGTGTTGGTGGGGATATGCGCCGCACTTGACTGCAGATATCGGGTATACAATCAGCAATCCTATCCATCTCCATAGAATGAGGAGGAACCACAAACTAACATGAATCCGCACCGAAATGGGGACAGACGATGAAAAAGCTCGAGACTGTGTATATCCAACAGACAATACTAATGCCAACTGTCGACCAGTAGAACCTGGTAATCCGGCTAGGCATCCCCTGAATAAGGGCATAGAAGAAGTTCATGAACGCAAACTTCACTAGGTAGACTGAGGTCCAACTGGTAACCGCGAAAATAGCAGACCACTTGGTTACTTCCAGTATCTGTGGCACTTCTTCCTGAAAAGGAAACGCGACAACTTTCTTGTTTATAGCCTCGACTAGGAATAAGACATTCAGCATTTTAATGCACACGCCGAAACCTGCAGCTAGGCCTATAGCTGCGAGAAGTACGAAGCCGTCATCCCAGCCAATTTTTCGATGACCAAAGAAGCGGATACCGAAACGTGCTACGACGCAAAGAATAGCAGTGCCAAAAAAGATGCTCAGTACCACCTTAAAGAAGTATTAGCATATATGAAATGGACAATGAGGAGGGGTTGGCTTGTACCACATAAGGTTCCTTGTCGATTCTGCCGGCGTGGTCGATGGCATCTTGCCTGCCGGGGATGTTCTGAGAATGTGGGAACAGAGATATGTTCGTGAACTCCATCCTAAATTGCAACCAAAGAAGAAAAAATGACGAGTCGAATGAGGAGGGTGAAGGCAGACGAGCCTACACAACTTCGAGGCCTGCATGTTCCTACGTAGTAATATAGACAATTGAGAGTATATGACGAAGCTAAAAATAAGAGAGAATGTGTAGCGCGAATTAATGAAGCAGTGCCTATTAATATGTAAGACAACTCGGTGGTGCCTTCTAGGAAGAGTATTGCGCTTGTAGCACAGTGGCTGCATCTCATATATGATAAGTAATAAACTTGGAACCTCCCTTGGGTAGCACAATTCTTTCTCCGTCAAGCAAGCTGAAGTCCTCAACTCAATCTCCTACAACTTTTTTTCCCATTCTCATCACAGCCTCGAGGATAGCCAGGAATAGAAAATCAAATACCATGGCTAAATTAACAGCGACAGCCATTATTACAGTAGCCATAACTGGATTGGCTCTTTTTATTGTCAATTTGACGATCAACCGCCGACATGTGCGAAAACTTCAAGCAGCCAAGGGAGTAAGTTCAGCCACCGTCATTCTGCGCAACATTGGACTCACAAAGGCTAGCCGATGCCAAAATTCCATCCCATCTTCGGTCATTTCCTTGCTCTGAAAGAGTGCATCGAGTCGTTTCCGCGGAACGCCACCATGCATGTTGTAATACAACACATGGCCAAGCAGTTCCCAAAAGGCATCTTCTATCTAAATCTATGGCCATTCAACAAAACCCTCATGGTAATAGCTAGCCCTTTTGTAGCGTCCCAAGTCGAGGCTGCGGTACTCAATAAGCCTGACAACATATGCACTACTTTGGATCTCATTAGTGGTGGGCCATCGATCATGACCATGCATGGGAGTACGTGGAAGATGTGGCGCGGCCTCTTCAACCCGGGCTTTGCGGGCGGTTACATGATCGGACTTGCCCCGGCTATCGCAGATGAGGTCGCGGTGTTCTGTGAATTAGTCAAGGGCCTTGCGAAGAAGGGAGACGTGGTTCAACTGGAAGAGTACACGTTGAGATTGACGTTCGACGTTATTAGTCGCGTAACTCTGTATGACCTGCTTCAAGCTACAATTCAATGATGTGCTTGCTGACATTTGCTCTAGTGATGCGCGTTTGCACTATCAGACGCAGGGAAGTGCTCTTGCCGACTGTCTTCGGCGACAGGTTTACTGGACTTCATTCGGTACGACTTTCAATCCAATTCGCCGCTATCTTTCACCCCGCCCCCTTGTTCAAAGGTACAATAGCTATCGCATGAACCAGTATCTCGACGGGGAGATTGATAAGCGATTTGAAGAATTGGCTCTGTCGCGACAGGAGAACTCGAAGGGATCGCAAGCTTCATCAAGGTCTATTATCTCGTTAGCCATGAACAAGTACCTAGAAGACGTAGGCACGGTAGGAGACGTGTCGAGGAAAGCCTTCAAAGAGTTAGCCAAGCCCCAGCTTCGCATGTTTTTATTTGCCGGTCATGACACGACGAGTAGTACACTGTTGTACTGCTACTTCTTACTTTCCCGTCATCCCGAGGCCTTGTCTAAGATGCGTTCCGAACACGATGGGGTATTTGGCTCCGATTTTTCAATCGAAAGCTGTACCCAGGCCATTCATAGTGACCCGACTCTCCTCAACAAAATACCCTACACAGCAGCAGTCATCAAAGAAGTCCTCCGCATCTTCCCGCCAGCGGGGAGTATACGTGAGGGGCGCTCCGACCTCATTCTGACAGACGAAGACGGACACCAATACCCGACCGAAAACTGCCACATATGGACGCTCACGCTCGCCATGCACCACAACCCATCCATATTTCCCCAACCCGAAGATTTCATCCCCAAGCGATGGCTCGTCGGCCCCGAAGACCCTTTATATCCGAAAAAGGGCTCCTGGCGACCATTTGAATGGGGATTGAGGAATTGTATCGGGCAGACGCTTGCACAGCTCGAGCTTAAGGTCGCGCTTGTGATGACAGGGAGGATGTTTGATATCACGCCTGCGTATGAGGAGTGGGATCGGGTGCACCCGGGGAAGGGGAAGGGGGGTATGACGGTTGGGGGGAATAGAGCGTATCAGGCTGAGATGGGTGGCGGCGGGGCGCATCCGGCGGATGGGTTCCCTGTTCGGGTTACGCTGAGGAGGTAGGGTGTTGTGGATGAGGATGGGAAGTGATATGGTGGTGTAGTGACTTTGGTGTTCTACGGTTGCTATATGTGATTTAACGGCGTCATATATTTCAGGCAGCCAATGTGAAGGAGAGGAATAGAAAACATATCTAGGAATGAGAGCTTACTGTAGACTCTACGTTGTGAGTGATTAATTACTAACTGAACGCCTTGTAGACTTTCCTTAAGCAGGTGGCTATTAAATAAATCCCGCAAGCCATGATCTGACACTGAGAGGGGTTCGCTGGAAGGTCTAGGAATCACCGCAGAGATTAGCCTGAGGAAAGAAAGACAATCTGGGGAGCATGAACCCTGTTTCTACATCGGCGTAGCACTCTCAACTCCAGCTCTCGTCGCCTACTATATTGCCTATTTAAAAGTAAACGTATGTTTAATTCAGGTTTAAGTTCGCAGTGAGATCTTATGATATAAGTAGCAACATTCTTAAAATGGGGTGAGTTGTGTGAATGTAGGCTACGCGTAAGAGCAGCATAAAGCGTAGGTAAAGCGAGGAGAGAAATGCCCACATATGCAGGCTGTAATTGTGTGAACCATGGGGCGCTGGGGCCAAATTCCGAGACATTGTACGATACCTATGTACCTCCCCAGAACATTATATGGGAATCTACAAGTCGAGTACCTGGGTACGCTGGTCTAGAGCCATTACTCAAGCTAAGTTTCTCATTACAATTTGTGAATGGAGATGTAAGTTACTACTAGTAAGATAAAAGGAATAAACCCGATAGAAAACTGTAAAGTTTATAGCCACAAAAACACGAATCGCCAGGATTCAAAAACAACGGTGTAGATTGGGTTCTGAAGCTCGGTCGCCGAGGGACATTGCCCTGGAGTTTTTGACTGGCATAGACCCATTATGAAAAGCCACAACCGGAGTCAGATTTGCGCATTCTAAGTGACTGTTTTCCGGGGGGATTTGACAAAGGCCCATGGGAAATCCTTTATTGTATCTATAATTAAGTTTCAACGGGGTCGGGTACTCCCGCTCGACAACTAGCTCCCCATGTTGATCATCTGAATAGCTTCAGACTCTTTGATGGTACCTAATAGAAGGTACCTACCTAGCTATCACAGGGAAACGCAAGTTAGCATCGGGGCGCTTAAACCGTCAACCGAGACGGGCATCACCCCTCTTTCTGAGGTGAATTGTCGGATAGCATTTCTAGGGAACGCCAAGAGTGTTATGACATAAAGTTGACATATAACCTAGACTTACACCTTATTACACAAGGCCAAATAGCTTAATACGCATGGAAATTCAAACAAGATCGAGTCCATAACTGACGTCATTTCTGATGTGAACTCCATTGGTGAGGGATATCATTTCTAGTAAGATATGAGTGACGATAGGGTCGTATTGTAGGCCGAATCGGAAAGGCATCGTGTCTCAAACGCGAATGCGGCCAAGAACATTGAAACCTAAGAACATAATGAAGGGAACCAACAGAGAGGCAATGTACTGGATTTCAACTTGACGGACATTCTTTTCCGCTTACGAAACTAGATTTGGAAGAATGTGACTGTGGCTTGCCGCTTGCGCTTACATATTAGGTGATAAGAGGGTGTGTCGTACATGAGGCTTTGCATCTATGACCCAATGAACCAGATGATGTAGATTAACCATAAGTAGGTAAGCTTTTGAACCAAGATTCAAGTGGGAAGGGTCTAAGTGGGAATAAAGTAATCGAGATCATCATGATGAGATCGAAGGATGGGTATTGGCGATTTTCTAACCATTCCTGTATTCTAGAAAGGCCAGAGTTACATTGAATACGTTGAGGGTCTGGACTCTACCTATCCTTCCGGCCTTCTCCATAATATAACCCTCAGAAAGTCATGGTGTCATTGTGGGCCACTTTCGACTGAAGCGACCAATAGGGTCTTCGTTTAGTATTTCCCCTGCAGCAATCTAAGTTTCTTGGAGCAGAACCTCCCCAAAGCTTAGAATCTGATTGGTCAGGTGTTCCCAAAAGGGAATAAAACAACATGCATGCTAATTGTCCGCCTCCCCACGATGTCATCGACAGTACGTACTGTTTACGTGGAATATCGAATAGAGAAGAAGGTTATCCTAAACGTTGATCATGATGAAATACCGGGACAACAGATTCTTGAGTCAGAAACTTAATAGGTAATTTACTTACGGCAATTCACATGTTTGACATGGCCTCGGCGTGGGACCTGGTTTCATAACTCCTCAAATTCCGAGCGCTCAGCAAGAGTGGTGACGTCAGTTTCTCAGGGGAAATGCTCAGCCCAACAACTTAATGCAATTCTTTCTCCGGTAGTATGGACAATGGTGGGTCCCGGTAAGTGTTCTATTGTAAGTAGGAACCCGAGCCAAAGCGGGATACCTTACCACAGGTACCTAGCACAAAGAAGGTTGAAGTCGGTAATGACGTACTTCATTCGTCCACATGATGTTCCTGGTGCTATCCTAATAGGAGCAAGTAGGCGGCTAGCAAGGCAAGAAAAGCTTCAAGGATCCATATTTCGAGCAGCCGTATGGTGACAGACAATATGCTCAAACTTTCTATATAAAGCATCTCAATTCCCTTCCTGTCTCAACCTTTCTCCATCATCAACCACAACTCTCAGTCTTCAACTACCATATCAAAAACAAGTTCACAACCAACCATAACAAACACCAACCCAACCATCATCATGGACAAGATTCAGAACGCCGCCAACTACGTCTCTGACACCGTTAAGGGTGCCACCAACACCGCTTCCAAGGAGGCCAACAAGGAGGTCGCCAAGGACAACAACGCGAACCTCAGCACTCGGTAAGCTCTTCGCATCATATACTACCTAGTTTCTCTACAATTGCTAACATTTTTCTCAGTGCATCCGCCGCAAAGGACGCTGTCGGTGACAAGGTCGACGAGAAGAAGTATAACACTTCGGCCGATGTCAACAAGGAGGCTGCCAAGCACTAAACGCTTCTCCTTTTGTTCAACTCCAATATCCACCACGACTGTACGATGAATGGGGACATATGATTACAGGGGCGTCTTGGAACAGACTCGACCATTTCTTTTGTTGATGTGGCATGGGATGATGGATTTGATTCCCCTACTTGAGAGATTCAAGATCCTCAGCACGTTTTACAATACCCCTAAGATAGCTTAGAATTAAAAGCTGCAAAATTCATCGCCAATAACTTTTTCCCGTTAAATGCGACTTTTTTCGGATAAATTCTACTTCCTTCGGAATTACCTACATTCTAGTTGAGTACCCAAGACATGAAAGATTCTAGTGATTACCACACGGCGAACAAAACTCAGTGTATACATGTAATAATAGCACTGTTTTACACTATATAACTAAAGTTCCCAGCGTTGTAACCCCCCTGAAGTTCCACATTAATTAAATTCTCCACCTGGCATTAATTTCGTGTTAACCCCCGCAGCCCCAGATTTCAGTTGCTGTCGCATCTTTCGATCTTCAAACTAAACACCTTCATTTTCACCTTTGTAGGGCGAGCGTGGGATTGCTTGTATATTAATCCATTAAAATACACATAAAGTAACTTTATAAGCCGAGTAAAAGATGGCTTCGTTCAAAGATTCCTTGCCGGCCGATTTATTCGACCAAACCACTCTCGTTTCGCTAGCCTCTACCCTCGCGATACTAGCAACAGCATACCTTCTGTCCCTCCAAGCACTCGACCGAACTACACCGGGCAGCCATCGCTTCCTGTTCATATGGCACGCATTCGACGCATTGATTCACTTCTTCCTTGAGGGAAGTTTCTTATACCACTGCTTCTTCTCATGGATTCCACTTTCAAGCGTCTCGAACCCGCACGCTTTAGCCCCAACTGCGCATAACTTCCTCGGATACACCAACCGCGCCTATGGCCCGCAAGCCGGCGGCGACAACCCTTTTGCGCAACTATGGATGGTGTATGCGAAGGCAGACCGACGATGGGGTGGTGCTGATCTGGTACGTGTGATCCAATTGTCCACCTTTCTAACTGTTACAACTGCTAACACAATTTTCCTCTTCAGGCCGTCATCAGTCTCGAACTCCTAACTGTCTTCGTCGCCGGCCCTCTCGCCTGCCTCATCTGCTACGGCATCTCGAAGAAAGACCCACGCACCAATATCCTAATGATCGTAATCGCGACCATGGAGATCTACGGCGGTTTCATTACCTTCTGCCCCGAGTGGTTGACCATGAACTACAACCTCGACGCCAGCAACTTTATGTACAAGTGGGTGTATCTGGTCTTCTTCAACATGCTCTGGGTATTCATCCCCTTTTATGCGATTTGGGTCGCTGTTAAGGATATCAACCATGCTTTTGCTGTGAGGGATAAGGCTGCGTCGGCAAATAAGTCGAAGTGAGAGTTATGGGGAATGGGAAATGAAGTGCTTGCTTGAGTTGTGCAATTGTTTCTACGGCTGTGTTATGCTGCTTGTATTTTAAATGCTAATCCGCAGGTTACGGATATGATACCCAATCTTAACTATACCCTGTTGTCAGCAAGCTATTCGCCAATGAACACATTATCCGTTTAATAGGTATTTTGGAATCTGAATATATTTGGGATATTTCATGATCATTCAAGTCTCGCATGCATTATCGATAGTATTTATCACAAGAGTGATCTTCGAGTCCTCGGTTGAAATTTGGGTTACTAACAAATTTAATGAGTGCTTATATCATTGACGAGCTAATTGTACATGATGCCATCCGAATATCCTATTATACCAATCAAGCATAGTTAAGCGACTATTTCCCACCCCAATACTTCTTAATGAAATCTTCGGTTTGGGTGAACTTATAATCCGGCAGGAGTTTATTCCACTCATCCGTAACATCATAGATACCCCGGCTCATGGAAAGCAGCATTCCGTTAAGCGCCATCTGCAAGAACTTCCCGGCTTGCTCTGGCAATGCATTGCGGAGGTCTACACCAACGTAGATTTCTGGCTTGTACTCGATGGCCTCAAGGTCCTCTCCCTTAAGCCATTGGATCTTGAACGGCCGGCCTGTGGAAGGGGTTAGTGGTAGTTCGAGGTTGCGCAATTGGCTAGATTATGGTGAAGATGGGATGATTTGGGGGGCTTACCAATAGCATCTCCTAGCTTGAGCAACTCCCCAATTGTGATGCGACTTCCAGCAATACCACCAATCACTGGCCATTCACCCTTGAACTCGACGGCTCGAGCAACCACACCGGCGATATCTTGCACGGTTGTCAAAGCGACCACAGAGTCAAGAGATCCCTCGATCACTTGCGCATTTTGGCTCTCAAAGTCGATTAGGAAGTTGAATGTAGTGACGTGGCTCGTCGACTTATGAGGATGCGCAAGATAGTTCATGAAACCACCGGGGTGGAATCGGGTATATTCGATAACCTTCTTGTCCTGGTTGAGGTCCTCCAAGTACTGGGCCACTTCGACCTTACCCGTATACCATGGGATGGCACCAAGAACAGACTCCAATTGGGTACCACTGACTCTTCATTAGCGTACTGCTTGTAGTCTGGAAATGCGAAATGCGAAAAAGAATGATTGCTTACCATGACCACTCAGAAGGTGCGAAACGTTTTACACCAGCCTCAATCGAAGCATCGATAAGTCGCTTTTGAATTGCGTTGCCTATGTCGAGGTGAACGGGAATGAAGCTGAGCACAACTTCTACGCCGTTGAATAAACGAACTAGTTCAGCTTTATCCTGGTAATCTGTCTGCACCCATGTGACACCGGGAAGAGAAGGGAATTGAGTAGGGTCCTATATCCCTTAAGTCAGAATTGATTTCATGATAATTAAAAAGGGGTACAATGAATATAATACCCTTCGGACGAGAGCAACAATCTCATGCTTTCCGGTTGCGACTAGGACGTCGATAATTTCCCTGGCCAGCTCTGAGGCGATTGGTTAGTTTGGAGACGAAACCAAGTTTATGGACACAACAGCGTGAGTCACTCACCACTTGAGGCCGGTGCAAGCGCGATTTTAACCATTTTTGCGTAGTGTTTTCGAAGAGAAATGTTATAAAATCGGATTTAGATTGTGATTTCGATTTCGATTATTTCAATTATGATTGAGTTGTTGAGATTGCTGTTGAGCGACACAAATGCCTTCTTCATCCCCAAGACACTCCATACTTATAAACTCTTCAACGGCTTTTGGAATTATAGGCATCGCCGTAATACATTATTCGCATGATGCGATGACGATTTCAAATTCCGCCTCATTCACGTAACTATAGATTAGTACTTAGAAGTTATCGGGGACTCTAAAGCATCGGAGGGCCGATTCCTTGGCTTCGGGCGGTTACGTGATCGGACGGAATATCGCTCCGTGCCAAGCCGCCAACGTAACCGTTCTTACCGCATCTAAGCAGCTGAGCAAAGGATCCGATCCTGACAAATTCAACCAAAGAGTCCGATGTCCCTTCATCTTGCGGTTACATAACCGCTCGAGTTTCTTTCTTAATTTCGTTCATACCACCTAGTGGATTTCAAACATGGGTGCTGCTACCAACACAAATCAAACCAACATGGCGATAGACGCAGAAGATGCGCTTCGAGTATGTAACCACTTTGCCATTATCTCCACTAAGAGACCCCACTAACCGGATCATAGCGCCGACGCGAAAGGGGTCGAAGATCTCAAGCTGGCTTCCGGAAACGCCAAGCAGAAGCTACCCAGAATCTGCAAGAGCAAAACCGCCGGCTCAAAAGCGCAATTGAGAAGCTAGTTAGCTCCACGCGCGGGGATGAGCACCCGGAGTTACTTAACACCATATTCGACGTAGCCGAAGCCGCCGGGATCGATGCTCAAAGACCTGCGCAGCAAAGTACCGTTAACCAGCTCCGCCCCAAACCCAGCGGGACTCCACCAATTCTCGCCTGCGCTATTGATGGTGATGCCAAGGAGGACTTCACAATCGATATCGCGGCAAAAGATATCGACCGCAACGCAGGAGCCACGAATAGCTACCTAAGTGACAACAGTAACAGCACCGGCTCTGACTCATCCTCACCAGAACGTCTAACCTGCGGCATATGGCTAAACCCCCTGCACTACCTCCGGGTCTCCATCCCCCCAGACGACATAATCCCCTACCTAGGTGCGGGTTCCCAAACTTTCGCGGGTATAATGTTCTGGTCCGTCATGGACCACGGGCAAAATAAATGCACACGTCCACACGGGGACACCGAAGCGCTTTTACGCCGCGCGTTGAGTCATTCGCGTGTGACCCAGGATTGGGGGGTTAAGTATATACACGCCATGGTAGAAGCGAGACAGGAGTATAAAAGCACGGGTTCGATTAGTCCCGAGTATGCGGCGGCTGCGGAGCCGGATTTGGCGATGGTGGTTTGTGGCAGGGTGGAGGAGGAGTATTATGCTAGGGGTATGGATCCAAATTCTTACCTCTCGTGTGTGGGCATTGAGAAGAGGGTTAGGAGGATGTTGGGCGAGGATACGTTTAAAGTGCTTAATACGGTTGCTCAAGGAGGTGGGGATCCGGTGTTACGTGATTTGTGGAAGATGTTGGAGTGTAGACTTGCGGAGAGTTGTGTGTGTTTTGGGGATGGGCCGAGGTGGGGTGTTGATGTTGTAGATGGATTGTTTTTGGGTTGGCTGCATGCTGCATCTTGTTCTATTTCACTGTAAGAGTTGGGAGTAAGGTATTGGATGCTAGAAATTTAACGCTGTGTATTTGTATCCGTTATGGTACGCCATTCATATCCCATGAGCAAATTCATTTCCCTTCTCCTGCGCCGCATATCATCTCGTAGCGTTAATCATAAACATATACATATACATTCTCCTTTTTCTCTTTCGGCATATCCACATCTAGCTCAATCTCATAGCCAAAACTCCGGATCAATTGGATCCTCTCCCTCAAATAACCCCAGATCATGACTTGGCGGTGTATTTGATTTGGCTTGGGCCTCAACGAGGGTCTTCCAAGCTTTTTGTCGTCTGTCAAGGTATTTCTCGCGGGTTTCCTTATCGCAGATAAAACGGTGGTTGATATGCTCTCCAATCACGTTGTCAAGTCGCTCCTGAGCGGTATTCTCAATGTTCTGCTTCCATTCCTTGGCGTCTTCCTCCCAGTTCTTCTTTGGCTCTCGGGCTTTCTCGAGTATGTCCATTTTGGGAGTCCAGTAGAGTGGCTCATCTGGCATATCGGGATTCCGGTTGAAATATTGGTCGATGATAGATGAAATGACGACTTGCAAGGTGAGAATGTGGTGGCGGAGGTTGTACGGTATAGCCACCGGCAAGTCTCTGTGAGTTACGTCAGTCAATTAAGAAAAAGAAGAGATTCACGACGCGCTTATACATACCGAAGGTCACCAAGAAGAGCACTCTTAAGTCCTTCCCAATTTCCCCTCTCGACAAATCCCTCTACGGGCATCTGCATCGCGCTATTCGGATTCGCGTATAGTACAATAGATATCATTGCCTGGCGGAAGTTGAAGCCCATCAAGTGACACGCATTTCGTAACGTTAACATTGTAGGAATGGCTTCATCAGGGGCGTGGGTGTTTTGAAGTTCGCATTCCTTTAGTACTTCTGAATCTGCGTCGAGGCCTCTGTTTATGCCGGTCCAGTACTGATGCCAGCCGGTGAGTTGCTTGAAAAACTCCGGTCCCTTGACTTTCGATTCACACCTCAGGTTCTCGGTATAGCGTATTTTTGCTGTGTAATTGCCGTAACGGGAGCCCAATTCGTAGCGGCGAAGGTAGGAGAGCTGTGTGATTATTTCTGTCTCCACTCTGTCTTTGGAGCTGTGGAGGAATTCTTTGGTGCGTACGTCGTTTTTATAGCCGTTTATGTGCTTAAGTAGAAGCTCTTTTTCGTCGTCATCCTCGTAGTGGCCATATAGGACATTTTTTAAGCTCGTCTTATAAATATCGAGGCAATGCTCACTGATGGGTGAGATGCCGCGTTCTGCGGATTCCAATTCTTGCCACAGTATCTCTTCAGCACATACTGCAGCAAGAGGTGCAGATTCAACGTATTTCCCGAAAAGTTGCATTTTGATGATTGTTTGACCGAATAATTGTAAGATGCAAGTTTGTGATGGTGAAGGTGATAATAGAAGTAAAGAGTTGAATACTGATGATTTAAAGTGAAAGTAGGACGCGAGCTCTTCAACTTCTGTCTATTTATAGGCGTTCATCCAAACTGTTGATCTAGATAGTGTTTCATATTCGTCTTTCCCCCTTTTAACACTCGGTCACCTTTGACAAGCCCGTGCTTCTGGTACTATTTGATGACATTAGTTAGTCTAGTGGCTCTAGTTTAGGTTCGAGCCTAAGAGGCAGTGAACTAAATCGGCTTGAGTATACAAGAGTGACTAAATTATATAAGAATTTGGCAGAAAATATGATCCCTCTTGGGGAGGGGAGTGCGGACATTTTATGCTAGATTGAAGGGGTAAGTTTCCTTTCCGTCGGAGTGTAGCTTTGGAACTTGGCGAGAATATATTTTCGAATTCGGGTTATTGAAGCTACCTTATAGATATAGTATATATAATATAACAAGAACAAAACTCTTTGCGCCTACTTAGACTATATCAAAATTACTTATTTTATCTTGTGCACCCTCATGCATGGACATAAATTGTCCACAATAGCTTTGATACTCCTCTTGGTTATCGTCAAGCCCTCGCGGATACTTGTCCAATGTGACGGTGCCCACCATTATATACTGGGACTTACCATTCGATCGCACTAGAATAGGAGCTGTCAGTGCTGGAAATACACATAGTATATCGCCTGGTTCTGGGTTAGCATGGTCACCCCAGAGAAACCCTGTTGTGCCGTCCTCGAGAACAAATGAGCCCTGCCCAAGGATCATCTGCTGCCATTTCGCGCTATGAAGTAGATCGTGCGCCTCTTCGTCCATTGTCGGTTTAATTCTCATGCCGAAGTTTGGACGTATGAAAGTTTTGGACCGTATCATGGACTCATATGCATCCAGGAAAGCCTGTTCAAAGCCGTCGGGCCAATCGTGTGGGTCATCCTGGAAGAATCGAGATACGCGACTTCGCAGCCATTGTTGAAGAAGTTGATCACGCGGAATTTTTGTAATGGATGAGCTTACTGTGAGTATCGCCTTCTCGCAGTCAAGAAACGTGCTCGGCGGGTGGGTTGGCTCATTCATAGTTCGGGGTGGTTGGGTAGGAAAGACAGAAATGCAAGTTCCTAAGATTATACCCGGGAGCGTCAAAACGTCTGTCCATGTTGAGAAGCTAAAATGCGAACAGACGGGGTTTCCAGGTTCATCATCGACCCCAATTGGAACTTGCGTTCTAAGATCTGGAACCCAGGACGGAACGCCACGCAAAGCCCCGACAGGACCAAGCCCTAGCACACGGGTGTCCTTCGCCCTGAAGAGAATAAACTTCACGTATTGAAAATAAACATTCTCATAGGGCTGGTTATAATTGGGAAGTATTGAACGAGATCGGCCTCTGAAGAGTCCTAATAACCCGTAAATACGATCGTGGGGTACCGTTGCATTCAATTGATACGTTCTGTCGAGCCATCTGAGCATACTGAAGGCCTGAACTTCCTCTAAATGAGCAGTATCCAGACTGGAAAGCTCGGCCTCGTTAGGAAGTAGATAGAATCCCCGGAGTCTAAAATATGTCAATGGAGTTGACGACTTGACATAGTCCGAGCGAAATACTAAGTATATCCACGCGGATAGAAGTACCCGTAAACTCATGGACACGGGCCCCAAAAGCAAAATCGGCTCTTCCCGAGCGAGAACAACTTCTTGTGCAATCCAGATGCGCGTGAACCATGTATTCGCGCCAACTCGCTTTAGCGTTGCCATAAGTCTAGAAAGCTCTGACCGAGCGTTGTTTTCTTTCAGACTTTCTTCGATATATTTTTCGATGACTTCCCGTAGTGGGGCCTTCGGGTGGCCCGCCTGGCGTTCGAAATCCTCTAACAGCACCGTCATTTCTTGCACAGCGTCATGTTCTTCAGGAGCAATAGGACCCAACCACGCGACAACCTGTTCGCCCATACTGTATATATCACCCATTCTTGGTATCTGTAGCGCTTTCTCATCCATATCAATTTGATTAATACAGATGGCATCTACCCATAGATCAAAGGTTCTGGGATCTTCATCAACTAGTATTTCTGGACCCTCAAGCAATCTCCGTCTGAATTCGAGCAAGGCAGCGTGGAGGTTCTCGGTAACCCTGAGCGATCTTCCATTGACAAGTATTGTTTTCATGTTCTCCGTGTTACCCCACACGTATGATAAGGCACGGAACGAAGTGTTGGGCCAGAGCCTTGCGTGATGAAGATAACATCTTATAATCGATGAGTGCTCTACGATTAAACTAATTAATCTTATTTCATCCGTGCGTAGAGGTTGATATTTAAAGGGCTCGGGTCGTGTAGCTAGGTCCATGTCTAAAGGTTAAGGAATTAGATATATAATAGGAAGAGAACAGAAGCAATTGCGATCAAATACTGCGAAATAATTAAGTTGGGGTAACTATCAACCGACCGTAGGATGCCGATTTAGGGGTTACTGCGGTACCTACCTCCTTACCTAGGTACCTAAGGTATACATACGGAACGTTCACTGCTAAATGTACCTACCCTTGATCCCCTATATTTACAGTGCTGGGTTAGTGGAAGGTCGCGACACCGAACTATTACTTATCGGAGTTTCTGAAAACTCCACGGAGATTCAATTTTTAAAATACTTTAGAACTAGAGTCACTAAGAGTTTTACGAACAATATACTTTGATCGAACCGTAAATTATAACATCCATGGAATACCTTAGTATACTACAAAGAGTATCAATCGTCTCGTTTTAGATCAATCAATTGTTCCTAACACACAATAACCCGTTGCGCCCTTTCTATCGTCGCGCATTCAAAGGTATTAAATCACTACCTACCCCCTACTCAATGCTATCTTCCCAAAACCCATCCTTGGTTAGGAAGTCGGAAAGTTTCTGGACGTGCTTGGGGTCGCTGGTAGTGTTACCAGTCTTCTTACCAGAATTACTTTCGTCAGCTATGTGACCAGCGTCCCGCAAAACAACGCAGGCCTCGGCAATCTGTCTCGCTGTTGGCCCATCGTTTAGCTGTTTACCATTATTCAGTTGTTGGGTGTGATTTAGTGGTTATGATCGTTGCCCGTTACCTTGTTGCGGCGGTTCGTGATAATTGCCTTGACTTAGAACAGCGGCAAGTCGAGAATCTGGGAACTTTTCGATGAACATGTCGACGTATTCATTGACACGATTAGTATGTGGCCCAGCATCACCCGCTACTTTAGTCAGAAAATACCGTATTTGCTTTGAGAGTTCGCTTGAATCACAGTCATCGATATCTACCATAGGGACGTCGCGATTTATTGGGTGTAGCCCTTGGATGAGGGAAATTCCATCAGAGATATGGATATGATGTTCGTGGTGGTGGTGGTGCTGTTGAGGTTGTTCTTCTCTGTGATGTGGTTGTTGCGGTTGCGATTGGGGTTGGTGGAACGGCTGGTCTTGTTGTCGTTGATAGCCACCATGATGCCTTGGATTTTGATGTCTGTGATTATTTCCGTTCCAGTACCCATTCCACCTGTTTCCATTCCCTGGCAATGCCCCAAATGGGCTTTCCCCTAACCCATTCCCCCCATCTCTACTTTGTTTTTGGTATGGCCCAGGCCCAGACGGAGGCTGATTTTGCTCGCCGGCCCAATGCCCACCAGGGATGAACTGGTTTTGATTGTTTTTGTGGCTTCTATACCCCATTTTTAGGTACTAAAACGAATACCAACCGAAACGATCTGATTGATCAAGATATGTCTACGTGATTGTCTAAATTAATCTGAAGAAAGGTAATGATACGTATGGCAAAGACTACTGTTCAGAAGCCGAGATAGCTGCAATGCCATCTTTAAGTAGACCAAACAAACATATTATTCTATGCAAACAATACTATTGTATCGTATTCTTGTATATTGTTCTCGAACGACGTGTCTGCTATGGTTGTTTGGAGATTATCATGAAGTTGGAATACTCGCGCCATTTCCCCTGTAACGGGGTTGTCTATTACCCAAGTACCTAACCAATGGCAAATGGTCAATCACTTGATAGTTTCACTTGTGGCCGTTCTACGAGCGCAACCGTGAATCACTGATATATATATATTCGATCCAAAATAATGTAGAAGAATATGAAGGAAGCGACAATAGCTTAGCAGCCTTGAATAGGAATGGCCCGTACCCCCATAGCACTTTCAGCTCAATGTATTCTGGCGGGTCGAAATTCGATACATACATTGAACTACGAACTCTCCATACCTAGGTAGATATGAAGTTGATTATTCGCTATCTACATTCATTGACTTAAGTCCGACGAGATCTATTTCAATCCTTAATCCACGATATGACGATATGGTGGATTATACATATGTATCAATTCATAGGCACGTAGTAAACAAATTCATTGAATTGACTTCCTTTGTGGTGACCACCTTGTGCAATATATCGAGGCCTCGAGCATAAAGCAATATTTAGATCAAGCATGCAGACGAAAAAGCATCCCCTATGTAGAACGATCAGTAAAAGTATCATATATAACATTATGTTCCCCAAGAACTACTCTCAATCAAAGTAAATTTCCAATAACTCCATTTCAAGACAATTCCAGTAATCGTGAATAGCCCGCCATCACTATTGTTAAACCTGCAAATGACACAAAGAGGCCAAAACCCGTTCAATTCTTGAAGATACCGTGCCGTCATCCTCATACTTGAAGTCCTCAACCAGGTGGTCAATAACTCGGTGGAGAACAGCAATATGGAGTGCTTCTAAATCTCGTTCCTCATCTTGGAGCCCATAAGCTCGCAACCCCCTCCTCCCAAGGAAATTAGACATGATTCTTTCCCCGTGGCTTGACCAGTAATCCCGAAATAGACACACCAAGTACTCTATAGCACTGGATGGATATGTGACTCCGGGTAGGCTAGCCCTAGGGAAAACAATTGCCCAAACAGACAGCCACTGGAGGTCTGTGGACATCCAGGGTTCCGCGCGCCGAGCTAGTTGCTGCATTTGTTCCGCGGTGATGCCATCGGGCCGTGGAACACCTAGAGGGCTACATATTCGACACCGAATGTGGTTGTTACAAATTTTCATGGTGTCGAAGATCTGCCCACATGATGGACAGTAGGGCGTTAATTGGTGAGTGTTCCAGAGGTGTTGCTTGACATCCTGAATATCTCGAAGGTGGGCCCGGGTCAAGCATCCAATATGTTTCTCCCTATTGCTCATGTAGAAGGGACATGGGATATGATGGCCAAGGGGAATAAGAGACTTGCCCAGGATGTCACTTCGTTGATTCTGGCTAAGCGACTGTTCCACATCTCCATCATGCCCGTAGAAGGTTCGGAACGAGTTTCCTATTTGAGAACGACTTCTCCCTTCTTCGTGGAGCTGGTCGCTTGCTGACCAAATCTCGGAGAGGAATATGTCTAATGTAGATACTATGAGTTTACTCAACTCTTTCTCGAGCTTGTGGTTGATGTCTAGAACCGGAAGTAGTCGCATAGGAATATCAAAAAGGTACATGTCGTCATCTTCAGAGTCATAACTGTTTGATGTGAGCCCTTGATCATACGCAACTGTTTGGTCGGTTGTGCAGCGTCGTGTAGTCTTTCGTTCTCGGGCCCCACTAAAGAATCTCATTACGGCGATTACTGCGTGCTGTCTCCCGACCAATCTCGTCTTTGTAGTTTTGTTGCCGGCAGGCCAGCCGGTCATTTTGAGCGGAACTATGCGCCGCAGGAAGATAGAAAAAGGGACTCATAGGAATCGCGATGTTCCTAACGAGTTATTTTGTTCTTTCGAAAAAGGAGAGAAATCCCCGCTGCTTTTATATCCACACATATATCTTGTCGGTATTAGGGTTCCGACACTGGTAACTACCGGTAGGCTTTTCAGACTCCAGCTTCAGCCGTGGCTGGCACAGTTGTGCCATTGATTACTGACACAACTTGCATACCGCCTCACTACCAACTCTGGGAAGGTAGCGATGCACTGCCTGTACATGTACCCCCACCAACATGTTGTGTCGCGCCTCGGGCGAATGTTTGGTACCTAGGTAGCTTTGTCGTCTTGTGAGCTGCTTACCCGGGTGCTTAAGGCGAACAAGTGTGATCGCTGACGCCCTAGAGTTATCTACTTAGGTACCTAGCCTATTTGCTTCAGTTGCGCTATATTATTATACGTGATCTGTGCGGTTTAGCCAGATTGAAACGCAATACGTCTACTCATCAATTGAAAAAATAGCTACTTCACTAAAGGAGTGCAGGTAATACGATATAATACATTAAATGAGTGAAACGAGCAAGCTAATGTGGGGTAATGTATTCATCGTGAGATCCTTGGAAAGACGGGTGTATTTCAATTTGGTGCCCTAATTAATAAGAAAGTACCTGATAACAATCTCGAATTTGCCTTATAAAAGTAGAGTTGGGAAACTGTGCTGGTGTAGTGACTCTGCCATCCGTCTTTTCTACCAGCTATGCGGCCCGCGCGAGGAGTTGTGACCCCCATAGATACCTAGGTACTCATGTACTTAGAAAAAAGTATCTAAGTGAAAATATAGTATTTATTTACTTGTCTGGAGAAACATCCCCCGAAAGTCCGGCACTCAGCTGTCATCTTGGAGATGCATTTGTTGGGGTTAAGGGGTTGGGTGGGGGATTTTCTTTTCTTTTTCTTTTAAAACAAATGAAAACAAGGATGTTGACACCTACAGATGCGGCGTCTTTACCTAGGTAACATAATTGTATCGAATAACTCTGATGGTAAATCGTTGCTTTCGATATAGAAAAACGTAATTCTCTGGCGGTAGAGACTGAAATACTACTCAAACGAAAAGTATTCATCGCCGTAGTCAGCACCAAAATTTGCGTCAAATTCAAAGGGGTGTTGACTCGGATTGAAAAGAGAATGGGGGTTTTGGTCTGGTGTTGGGTTCTGAGGAAAGTTGATTGGCATTCCCGAGGCATCCTGTGGTAGGTCGCTGAGTTGAGGAAGCGAAATCGATCCCGGAACCTCGACATCATGATTATTGTGCAGCGCATGGCGTCCTATCCATGTATCGACGAAAATGGAAAGGCCGTTTAATAGCTCGCCGAATCCATTAACCATCCGTTCTCTAGTCTCCTGAGGAAACGCATTCATAAGCTGTGCGAAACTGTCGCTCCGTCGATATTCATCGAAAGCATCGTGAATGTTAGTGCTCGTTCCATCGTCGTAGATATAAGGGGATGGAGGGCGGTTAATGGCATTTGGGAGCAAGATATCCCATATAGTATACCATCTTTCTTCGTCGTTGCGCGCCGTAGATTCGCTGGCTGCAGAGCTCATCGCATGAAGCTGGTCAATGGTAGCTCCAGGATAATGAAAATCGTACGATGGTAGGCAGGCGCGCTCACTGATATGCTGGTCCCGTGTGGCGTTGTCTGGATCGTTGGGGAAGTCTCTGCCACATATTGGACAGTGATTCTGTTGAACATGCTTCCTCCTAATATGCTGCCGAACATCTACAATACGCTTAAGCTTATAGCTATTGCATCGCCAATGTTGTTCTCTATCATGAAGGTAGTAGGGGCATGCGAAGTATTTGCTGCCACTTGTGACTTTCAAATCAATAGGACCAGCCCGTTGCTTTTTCCTTCGTCGGTCAGGGTCGCTTTTTCGGTTTCTCCTGTTTCCTCCTCTAGAGCGTTCTGGGGTTTGATTGGAGGCCGACGACGAACCCCCAGGGTCCACGTTGGGGCCAGCGCGGGGGTCAGCACTTCCAAACCCAGCTTGATTAAGAGCAGGGCCATCCTCAAGAGTTCTTTGAGTAGTTTCGGCAATTGCTAGATGGCATACTGTCGAATGACTAGTTTCCTTGCAAAGTCGTAGGTGCGAAGCGTAAGAAATAAGGTACGCAGTAAATAAATGAGGCGATGTTAAATCATCATCGTATTCTGTATCGTATTGAAAGGCAGAATCAATTTCGGCTTGTGTTGTAGCGGTACTTGGATGCCAATCACCATAAGACTTATAAGGATCAGTGGCTGCTACGCCACCGCCACCCCTGACGTCTTCCCTTGTGAATGCTGATGCGGGATAATGCTCGGATATATACCTATAAGTACCCATCCCCACAGGCCTTACATCTGCGTAACGCTCACGCTCGCTTATTGAATACATAGGATGGGTTGTTGTCGTTCAACTTTGCGATCCGCTGGCTTCTTTAATTTTGATGAAGTAGAAATCCACATACCCCGGCGATCATTACAACAGGGTAAACGGGTTCCGAACGTCAATATTCTTGTCAAGCATGTTCGGGTTCGTGAAATAAGAATAGGTGATTTGAGCGGGGGACTTATTCGGTCTTTAACTACGTTCTATCTCGCTACACTTTTGCGTACACAGCCTGCATCTCGAATATCCGCGTAGTCACCACTTGGGCACGCAGCCGTGTTCGAAGGATTGCTGCTTGTCGCCGCCTATCGCGTACCTTAGATGGTTCGCTTTAAGTGCTTATCTACCTACCTAGGTATGTACTCCATAGCGTCCAATACAACCAGACGACCATTTATGTCAAACCTTTACGACATTTCAACACATTATACGCTGCCTGATGATCCACTCGGAGTTAATGCAAGTTCAATCATGGGCTCGCAGAAATTTTATTCCCCTACGCAATGTGCGGGCTATTTACCACATGTGAAGCCGGGTCCATTGTTAGGGATATAAGGGCTTATACTACTCCGAATCCTCATATGTACAACATAATGGTTGCTGTTGTTTTCATATGTTCATAGCCTACCTGAGCACCCCGGCCTGAATCCCTACCCAAGCACGTAGCCACACGTTACTGGACGTTCTAATCCTTGTAAACAATTCGTATGGATACGCAGTGTTTTGGATGGAGTCTGCTAAAGAATGTTATCATATTTCTTTCTCTGAGGAAATCAAATCGACATTAACCCGACGGCGATACTTATTTCTCTTCATAGCCTTGTTGGGCACATCTCAGTGTTAATGTTGCTGCTGACACCAGAGCGTAGTTCTGGTGTACAAATCCATTAGCATGTATGCCCAGGGATGTACTTTTTGTTTTTGTAGTTAGTGAACCTATCTATATGGAGTGCTTAGGTGAATACTGAATTCTCCAAGAGTATTCAATATAAATAGGAGGCTAATATATTTGTGGGATTCGGATCGAAGCAGTCTAGCGATCATCTTTCTATATCTAGTCGACAGGCAGAGTCTCAAACCAGGTAATAAGTACCTCCCCAGACATCTAGTTCGACAGGTACGATGTAACTACCAAAACGAATACCCAAGTACGTATTCTTGAATAAGGCAAAGTGACTTCCTTCTAGGCCAGGTAAGACGGGCGTAATGCAAGGTGGTATTGCACTTCTTGATTGGCTAGGAACCCTGCGCCCTCTATGACTATATGTCGTAGGATTCCCCTTATCGACACGCATATATTTGCGTACACATTTGCGTACACATTTGCGTACACATTCTCGCATACCAATAAAATATTTCATACCCTCCCTTGCAGTTGAGGGTAGTAGCCACGCCTTCGAGACTTGCAGCTAAGTAACTTCGAAAATCGTGGAGTAACTTCCAAGGTCTTAAATTGGCTCGGAGTAAAGGACGATATCGAACACCTTAATTACACTTTTAACATCTCTACTTCACCCTAGTGGTGGTATCCTATGGGTTGTGTTATTATATCAGTGTAGTCATCATGGCTGGAATGATGAATTTACCTTCAGGAGGGCCCACGAACAAAAAAATCCAAAAAAAGCGATATCCTTCAAGATGCAATATTGGAGGAACCAGAACTCGCTCTATGACCAGCTCTTGCCCTCGGCGTGTCGAGGCATACACATTTGATGATATTAGCGCAGCATCCCCGACCGCGTCTGACGCGGCGTATATAAAATCCCCATTAGATCTTGACCAGTTCAAAATCGCGGATTCGGTCGACGATTATTTGCTCGTTAGCAATTATACGAGTGAAATTCTCGAAAATGAGTATGAAAATTATTACGAGGCAAAAAATGAGCTTTCTGGGGTCACAAGTATTGCAGATAGCAACTTGGGTAAAACCAAAGACACGGACACCCCAGAAGCAATTTCTGTTCAAGGTATGCACAATAACTGGTTTATCTATTATTGTTGTACTGACCACAATTTTAGCGAATCGGACCCAATTCAATCCAGTAGTCGGGTGGGATGGAATTGAGAAGGATAGTATGGTCGAGCGGAAACAACCAAATACCTATGGACACCTGGAAGAAAACAATTGCCTACACGTTATATGGGATGGCCATATGGCGCCCCTTGACTTCATGGATCACACGTTCGTGCCAACCCCCTATATGGCCGATTCAGAGCGGGATTCCGAATACTTCTTGACGACTTACTGCGAACAAAGGGAGGACCAGTCAAGCCACCTTTCCGATAGTTGGTGTACTGCAGAACGTTCGCCATATGGCATTTGCGGTTCGTCTAAGGATGGGTCGGAGGAATACGAACGCGATCCAGTGAACGAATTTTCGATGTATGAAGGCCCGGGTAGCCCGGAAACTTCGACCTTGTCGGACGACACATATGGAACTTGTCATAATCCTACTAGCCAGTATGAAAAACATTCTGCCACTGAGGCAGTAGCGCAAACATTGCCCGCGGTGTGTCCATTAAAACAGCCATCTGTCCAGGGCTCCGATCATGAAAGGTTAGCAGCGAGTATGCAACACGCCAACAACGATCATGGAAACATTAACAGAAAATGGTGGGCGTGTCCTTGGTATAAACAAAATCCACGGAAGTACCAAATTTGTGCCAAGTATAAACTGCATCGTATTAAGGACGTCAAACAACATGCATATAGAAAACATATGAAACCCGAGATTTACTGTCCCCTATGCTTCGAGACATTCACAAGACCCGATGAAAGAGACGGGCATGTGCAAAAGAAAAACTGTGGCCAGCAAGCCGAGCCGAAGTTCGAAGGCATCTCAGAGCAACAAAGAAAGTTGTTGAACCAGAGTGCCAACCGTGGTAAAAACGACGAAGAGCAGTGGTTCATTATGTGGCACACTATTTTCCCCACTGAATCTCGCCCCAAGTCGCCATACATTGGCAATAGTTATGAGGAATTGCTGCCTCTACTTCGAAACTTTTGGGATAAAAGGAGCCCGGAAATAATCTCCGGGGCATTCGATGTTTCTCAGCCCGGTGTCGAGACACAGACCATCCGAACCATCGTAGATAGCATATTTGATCGATTTGAAAAGGAGTCATCAAGCTGGGGGGTCTGTTTGTGATGGAGATCCGTTTGACTCGGAATTGAATGGTAGATTCGCACTTCTCCTTTTGCTAGGTACTTGACTGAAGCCGGGGCTTCGCCGATACGACCCATAACCCCCTTTCATTACAAACTTCTAATATAGCATTTTCACTTGCTATGACTAGTATCCAGTGAATTCTATGGCGAGTTTGGCAGGCGCTGCTCTTGTCGGTGTGTGACGGGTAATTGTTGTCCCCATCCCCCTTTACTCCCTTATAAGTTACGTAAAATACCAGCAACCACATCAAACAAAATAAACTTGCATGGTTAATTGGAATTGGTAAGAACATCCTTCTATTGGTTATTCAACATCTTAATTATATGGGGCTTGCCATTACCAAGCAACTTACAAGGGATTGGGCGATGACAGTTACCACTTCAAGGGATGGTGATTCCAAATGCTACGTTAGAAGATGCCAGTCAAACTAGAAGCAAGAAGATATCAATAATCCGCATGCGTCGAATACTTGTGATATTTCATAAATCCTACGTCTTTGCGAGCTTGGCTCACCTCATGTAAATTGGATGTGGAATTATGTAATTAATCATCTCAGCGGTTAATCGACAACCCGAACCAAGAATTGGACCGATTGGCAATATTTAAACGCCTTTAGTTCCCTAGATGTGATCAAGTAGTAAATTAAGTTGCAAAAGTAGAACTACCTTCCATTGTGAAACCATCCAGAGACTTATTTTACCATGGCCCAAGAAAAGGTAAGGTTGAAGCACTTATAGGTACCATGACAAAATTTAGCTAAGGGATATTAGTTTATTCTATACTCTTTCGTCGGCTCCCAATGGGCCAATGTTGCGCACCTTGGGTTGGCAGAAAAGGGGTTCAAGTCAGATGACTACGAAGTCAAAGAGGTCGACCTCGGTAAGCGTACCAACTCCCCAAAGAACTCATACAGAATCTCACAATCGATTATAGTCAAGGCGGAGAACTTCAACCACGAATACCTCAAGATCAACCCTAATGGCACGATCCCCTCATTGACTTCGCCGTCCTTAGAACGACCGCTCATCGAGAGCACCGATATTCTACGGTTCCTCGACGAGACAAGAGGCACGTCCTTGGTCCCCAGCGATCCCAAAGCCAAAGAAGTCGCGCAGAAGATCATCGACCTTGTGCATTCCAATGACCTCACCACGAACTTGATCCTGCTCCAGGCTCACGACCACGAGGAAATGAATGCAAAAAGGTCTAGCATGTGGAACGACTTCGTGCGCGCCCGACAGGCCAAGCTGGAGGAGGGGAAAACCGCCCATCCAAACCATCCATTCTATGGACCCAAGAGTGAGGAGAATGGAGCCTTGTATAGACTTTACACCTCAGCGAGCGAAGATGAACTGCAGAGATTCTATGAGACGACACACGATATGTACCGCAAGTTTGCGACGGGCCTTGACAAGCTGGATACACTACTTGTTCTTCCATATGCGGTCGGCGACCAGGTAACGGAGGCTGATTTCCACATTGTGCCGTGGCTTTCGCATGCGCTATGGGGAGCTGGTACAGAGCCGAGTGATGTGCAGAACTTTGGAACACTGGAGGCCTTGATTCAGAAGACTATGCCGGGCTTCGAAGTTAAGCCGAGAATAAAGGAGTGGTGGTCTAATATTAGCAAGACCCGCGCATTCAAGGAGGTCTACCCACAGCTGCATTGATGATGAAGTACTATCTAGGTACCTAGAGGTGGAAAACTAAGGGGGATTGGAGGCAGCGGATCGGGTGCGAGCATGTAACACTCATTAGCTGTCTGCTAGGCGTACTATTTTATATACGCGCATGCGTGTTCTTTTGCTTACGCCAAATCATTGTGGACAACCAATGTTGCCTGTTCAAGCGCTAGCCAAGCCAGTATGTCTATGCCTCGGCCACACGCATGTGGTCCAAAAATTAAGACTTACAGCCAACCCTACGCAATCCACTTCCACCCCTTCCCCTTGCCATCCGCCCATCTCACACCAAAACAGCACACCGTAGCACCCATCAACAACGCACCGTCCCAATACGCAATACTCGCGTACGCACCGGTCCCCTCCTCAGGCCCACCAAGCAACTGTCCACCAACCGGACTCCCAAACATAGTCCCTAGCCCCCTGACGAATAGTATAAACGCATTAACCGCAGCATACTGTCTAATCCCGAAAACCTCCGCAATCAGCGCAGGGAACAGGGCGTAATACCCACCAGCGGACACACTATACAACGTGATAAAAGCCAACCATAACGAAAACGAGGACGAAGTAGTCGCAGCCATGACGCTAGTAAGCCAAAACGCGAATACCGAACACGCGGCCACGAGAAGCGTGAGGACGAGCGTGTTCTGTCGGCCTAGACGATCGCCGGCGTAGCCTGTGAGAACGCGTGATACGGAGTTGATGGCGTTGCTGACTGCGAGTAGGTTTGCGCCTTTGGAGGAGGTTTGCCCGAGGATGACGGTGTAGGAGGGGATGAAGGAGAGGGGGAGTTGGGCGCCGGCGGACTTTGGTGAGAGTTAATGTTAGTTATGGGGGGTAATTAATAGTCATTAGAATCTCAGGAGGAAAATATGCTACTCACCTGGAGAAATGCGGCAACGACCGAAAAGAGAAATATCGGTTTCATAGCCAGCGCGCGTGAGACGTGGGTATTACGCCTCTCCGGAGTTTCGGTGTTCGACACATTCGAAAACCGACTCCGCGGGACCGCCCAAGCAATCGGCAACCCAGCGATCAAGTTAAAGACAGCATAAATCCTCAATGTCCAGCGACCGCCAACAGAACTAAGCAGCGCACGTATCACAGGCGAAAACACAAGACCACCTGCGCCACCACCAGCTAGAATCTACGAAGCGCACCAAAGAATCAGCAATAGCACGAAAACAGCACAATAGATGGAACACATACAAACCCCATAGCCGTAGCCCGATGACTAGTAAAATACTCCGGGGCAGGCGCCAACAACGGGAAATACAGCAACGACATTCCCCATCCCACCAGAAACCCCTGCGTGAGCAATAATTGCCAAATCTTAGTACTAAACGACGCGAGCGCGAACCCCGCCGACATAACCAAAACACCCGAAATCGTAATCGTCCGCGGAGTTAGTAACCTTAGAATACGTTTACGCCATACCCTCGTCGACGGGTTATTAAGCGTCCACGTCTGCGTTTCGATACGTGAAATCACGGGATTCACAAGGATCCCGCCGGCCCAGGTAAGTCCATAACACAACGTACCCACGAACGCGAGCAGCGCTGTCGGCGGTGTGGGCGCCGAAGACGGGGCTGGGGAGAGAACATCTTGGCTCGGGGAGAGGTAGTACTCCTGAAACACACCAAAACACTGATTATACCCAATCGTCAGTGCAATAGTAGTAAACGCAGAGACGAGAACCGTAGCTTGTTTCCTGCGAGATATGGGCGGTAAGGCTGGGGACGGAACTACAGTTAATTCCGAGCCGCCGTGCTCGGCTCCGAGCTCCCGAGACGAAGTGAGTGGGATTGGTTGGGTTTGTGCCGCCATTACAAGTCAATAATTACATGCGGGCAAATATTAGAAATGTGTATCATTTTACACACCTACCTGGCTAGGGATTATATGGGCGGCGATCATTGTCTGACAATACGCCTGTGATTCTCCGGAAATCGGGTCCTCGGTACGTGGTTTTGTCTGCCAAGAATCATGCCCCACGCCAGCATGAATCGGGTCCGACAAAGACAGAACATTTTCTCACCCCGATACAACTCCTTTCGTAACTTAGATGATATGAGCATCTCAAATTCCTTATATAGGTAGCTCGGTAGCTTGTAGGAGATACTGGAATAAGTCTAAATTTTTCAAACGCTCCTATTAGCCAGACACATAGTTGTATACGTCGGATGAAATTCAAATATTGTATAAAATATTAAATAATTAGTATCATTAAATAGAACTCATTCTGTACAGATTTTCTATACCATTTGCATTTATTCTCAATTTGTTGTGATATAATTGCGAAAGACCAAATCGCTAGCTGTGGAAGCAGTTTTTGCGGTATCATTGGTTGGTATGATTCTGGCATTAATCAAGAACTAGAGAAACCTTTTTTTACCGTTGCGGACATTATCGTACTGCAATCCCAGAGCATCCTGGCCCGGGGGTATCAAAGCAACAATATTTGTGAGAGATGTGCGCGCACCTACGAACAACATCATTATATCTTGTAATTTCTTCATTTGTCTATTGGTATAACTACCTAATGCATCGATTAAATTAATTATCGACCCATGTCCATTAATCCCCGATCGATTCCGAAGTGCCGACACTATCAGAAAAATAGAGAAAAACAACCAAAGTAGCTGCTGATATGTACTTATACTCTATGACCGAATATCCTCAACTATCGAGTTGTTTCTTCGAGGCCCGACTTGTAATCTTCAATTTAGGCCGAGCCCGCCGAGACCGATGGTATGGAATATGGGATGAGAATTTCCGCAAGAACAATTCATATCTCATAGTCGTGAATATCGTAAATCGAATTTTCCGTTTGCTGACCGAATCCTTACAACGCCAAAATGCACCGTTATGTTTGCCGTATGATATCAAATCGAATGGTTCCCATTGTTTATAGTATTTCCTTGAGTTGTTGTTTTTGCCTCGCTGTTAAGCTTGTTGGGAACTTGACGTTGTACTTGATGATGAAATTACCCCGCTCACCGGGTTTCTTCGAGATAGGCATACCAAGGCCGGGATAAGTATCTGAAGAACCTGGTCCCGTAGGTCCACCCTTGTCAACGCTGAGTTGCTTGCCGTCAATTGTCGTGACGGTTCGTCTCCAGCCAGTTAGGGCTTCTTTTAGATCTAAGTCAATGGTGTGGATTAAATCGTCACCGTCACGAGAGAAGAGGGGATGTGGTTTCTGTTAACCGTGTTAGTCATTTCCGATTGGTCCAATCCAACAAGGAAGTTAATATCATAGGAACAGGAACTTACCTCTTCAACGATAAAATGTAAATCTTGTTTTCCACCCTCCTCTTGGTCGCCGACTCCCTTAAACTTAATTTTGCTACCCTTCTTTAAACCGGCTTTGATGGGGACTTCGAGGACCTGGTCTGTAGTGGTTCGCTTGCCCGTATCATCGAAGGTCTTTCGCTTAATCTTCATCTTCTTTGTGGTGCCACTGAATAGTTCCTCTAGGGAGAGTGGTAGAGCGCGCTCGACTGTGGTGACATCGGGTGTCACTTCTCGCGCACCGCCGCCCGAGAAAGGATCCGAACCGCTGGGAAAGTTATTGCGCATGCGAGTTCTTCCAGAACCTGTAGGTCGAGGAATGCCACCGCTTCTACCACCGAAAAATTGACTGAAATCGTCCTCATCATCTCCGCCCATACCACCAGTACCGCCAGTACGAATGAATTCCGCGAATATGCTCTCGGGATTACTAAAGTTGAAGGGGTTCCCTCCACCGCCACCAGTACTGAAATGGAATGACCGAGCACCTCCTGGTATACCGCCACCACTGAAGTCGAAACCTTGGAAGCCATTGGGCATTCCACCTTGGGCACTGGCAAATGAGTTTTCGCCTGGAGGCGGAGCGGCACCGCCTCGAAGTAGGAATTCTAAGCCATATTGGTCATATGTCTTTCGCTTTTCCGGGTCGGAGAGAATCTCGTAGGCCTGTGAACATTCTTTAAACTTTTCGGCAGCGGAAGGGTTGTCTTTGTTCTTGTCTGGATGCCATTTTAATGCAGCTTTTCTACATTGTTGTTAGTATTTGTTGTCTTGGGAACCTGGAAATTGGTAAGAAGACCAGAAAGCGGTCTCGGGTGGAAGTGGGGTAGTAGGACTTACCGGTAAGCTTTTTTGATCTCATCTTGAGAGGCATCCGGCTTGACGCTTAGTTGGTCGTAGAGTTTTGTTTCCTTTACCATATTGATCGCTCTCTAGAAAATTGAAGGTGTGTGTTTATGGAAAGGAAGGGAAAGTTTGTATGTGGTCCAATTGAGGTCGTGTGATTTAAAAGGATCGTGTGGGTTGTATGTAATAATCGAGCTTGACACAGAGTGATTCAGGTTGATGTATTTGTTGGAAATGGTCAAGAATTTGGGAAAGAAGAAAGAAGAAATTTACAAGGAAGTTGTTAGTTTCGTTGGTCCAATGGATCTGTAAGTATTGTTTGCAACGCCTTGCGTTGAGCTTTGCGTACTGCACTGCCGCTTTTCTTTGTAGTTGACAGGTTGGTAGAAGATTCGGGAATTGGCGATGGGAGAGGGTGACAGAGACCGCTTGGTGGGTATAAACCTTGTATGTGACGTTTATGGTTATGGAGAGTGGGAGCCATCTGATAGAGCTATCTTATACACTAGGTACCTAGGTATGTACTGTAGTACTCGCCCATTTGGCAACTGCTGCCCTAGGAATCAAGTACTCAGTACGAACAAGTGACAGCGGGATCTCCAGTCACCGCACAGATCAGGTGACGACAAAGCTCGATAATCCTGGAACCAGTGAGAATGACCTGATGATCTGATTTGTTCTGGTTTAGCTTGGAAGTCCTGTTTTTAATCTTCAGACTAACTTGGTTCGCGGTACATGAAGGATTCCTCGAAAACCGTCAATTATTGTATGAATATTTTTCGTATGTGGAATGTAAGTACCTAGATACCTGTACACTTCCACTGTTTTGTCGTGCTTGGCGCATTATGTGTAACTAACGTTAGACGCAGCTTCCCTTTCTTTTCCTTTCATTGCCGCGATTAACCTGGCAGAGAAGTGGATCCGCGGGGGTTGAGATGTCCGTATAGATCTAAGGACAATCAATTGATTTTCACACAGACCCTGAGTGGTTCATTATGAGATAAATATGTCAACAGTGACGAATATGATTGAAGAATAACCAAACTCACTAAATCAATATTTCATCAGTACTTCTTGACTACTGGCCTTGTCAGTCTTACAACTCCAGCTGAGCATTTGTCTTAATCTGATGTTTGGATGTTTGTGCAGATGACGCGGGAACCGCCTGGAATGTTCGAGAAAGTATAATACTTTAGTACACGTACTTTTTCGAATTGAGTTTAGCTGCATCGTACGCAACGAATGGGAAAATGGCTTATTAAGCTTGAGAGTGGAAGGTCAGTTACGTAAGCCTCCTTATCTGATCGAGACTATTCCAGGTTCAATGAATTATATATGGTAGGTGCCCTTCAAGTCAACTTCAGTTATACCTCGGTGGACTCGCCAAACTCATGTATCATTTTCATTCATCATGCGACCGGCCCTTGGGTATCATGGAAGTCATCCTGCTATTTAGTATACATGGGCCTCCCGAAAAGTGGGAGACTTATTCCTAGGACGAGGAACCAAGCTGCAATTATGCAGCGGCCGGAAATCCATTGCCTGAGATCTTCCACGCAAATACCTCTCATTCCGCGTCTGCTATCGGTTGGATAAAAAATTACATTGGCGCCGTTTATGTGCTTTCATAAGCTACCCTTCAGTCATAATGGGCGTCAACTTCGTACATACTCGTAATTTTGACGTTACGTCAAACTATGCTAGATTTCTTCATCCCTCGTGGTGTTCAAAGTCTACATCCATCATATCGATAGGATCGTTCTGTGATGCACGGCTGGGCCGGCTTAGAAACGGTGTAGAACCACTAGCGACTTCTTGCATCTCGGGTGACTTGGACGTCGATACATCAGTGCTAAAAGTTTGCATCTCTTCTGTGATGTTGTATTCAGCGCTGAGTTGTTTGCTGGCGTGATAAGGTACTGATGGTTGAAATGTTCCAGGCTCATCGAAGGTCAAGTCTACCTCACTAAGAGCATCACGAGAACTACCTCGAGTCGCCACAGACGAAGCAACACTGTGCTTCCGTGTGTGATTTGTAAATGCGGATATATCCTCAACGGTGACTCCTGAATGAACGTTGTATGGCTGCTGCTGCTGTTGTTGTTGTTGCTCTTGATCTTGTTCCTGTGAAAGCTCCTGCTGGAACGAACGATTGTCGGCCCGCACGAACATCTGCGCAAACGTTAGCTCTTGCTCATACAGTCAATATAGACATGTTGTATACCCGTAAGGCGTCTGATAATGGGATAGGCTCCGCTTCCATAGCAGCTTCGGTAGCATATATAAGAATGGGGTTCTTAGACTCGGTCCCAGCGGCGTGAAGCACATCTTCGACATTCGCTTTCTGTAATGCATGTTTAGCATCATACTAAGATGGATCGAGAGTTTCACTTACCTCGGTTTTGATCGGAGATGCATCGTTCGCCGAGTATCCTATCTTCCACCATTGATCCTTACTCTCCGACACCCCGTCAACATCCATCGACCCAGCATCTTGCCTGACACATACGTAAGCCAACTCACTAGTAAGGCCAACGCCACGTAGTGAATATTTCATAGTTGGATTCCAGTACTCTGGATGGTAAGCAGGAGTTGATCGAAAAATAAAGCTATCGTCAACCTCATCTTCCTGGCATGTTAGGCGCTTGGCGACAATTCGCATAGAATCCCAATACGCCTCCTTTGCTTCTGTGAGATCTATAGCTAGGTTAGAAACCCATACTTGAAGGTCTGCAGACTAAACTTACTGGCTAAGTCCGTCCTCAATTCGTCGATCTGTTCTTTACATCCACTGATAACTTCCTTCCACTTTTCCAGTCTCTCTTCTTCCTCGGGTAGGAATGAGCGAGGTCCATTCCATGTGTGGATATCGAAAATATCATCAAGGGTGAGTTCAATGTCCCTTTCCATTCGTTCATAGTGATATCGCCATTGCGCGGTTCTAGTCTGACGTTCTATTAACCTTTCAGTTTGCTTGATGATCCCGTCCAAACAAGTGACCAAGTCATGAGGTCCATTACTAAGGCCGTTCACCCTATGGCATCGTTGACCGCGGCATCGTATTAAATTCGCACCTAACAAGTCGTATAGGCGCAGCTTCTTCTTGATGAAACGTATATAAGTCTGGAATTTTAAAGCAAGATCTTTTCGATCTTTCATGTACCGATCCACGTAAAATACGGCCGGAATTTCGCAAGGTTTAACTAACCCGGTGCCACCGAATCGAACCGTTATCACCTCAGCCGGCTTTGCCAGAACGGCGAAGTTAGCTTCGTCTGGAAAATTGTGGTCGAGTGATAATGCGTGTGTCCAGAGTAGGTTGTCTAAAGCGTCGTAGAATGTGTTCACCCATGGATATTGTTCGTAGTCCAACATCAAATCAAGAAATACGAAACGCGTGTCTCGATCTTCATCGCTGCTACTATCAGCATCACCCTCTGACTGGGCCTCGTCGCCTGAGGCCTGAGCGCAAAACATGACTGTGCCCACTGTAGTCACTGGACTCATGTCGCAATCAGGGTTGTTCAGAGACTCCTCCTGTAATGCCTCATATAGTTTTTCTTCGACATCGGGTATCCAGGCCCCAAAACTCGGGTCGATTGCCTTGGTATCGACGAGACCATCAACGGATCCGTAACTTCTTTCCGTCTTGTCAAGGAAGGCTATCAGACGATGGAGCTCCTCTGCGAACTCTGGATGTGCGTCTTCACCCCAAATCGATTCACCCTTCGCCATTGCCGCAAGATGCTCATGCTTGAGGATCGCCTGGCCTCTCCACCATTCCGAGTTGTGCCCATAATTCTTAGTTGGAACACCACACTGGAGAAGAATATTCCGAAATAGCGGGATCTTGTGGTATATCGATAATATTGCGCCTACTCTGTGATCCCCTTTCGATCGAAGAAATGCGGGAATGTTGGCGTCTCGTTTCCTAGCGGAGGGGGTGGGATCGGCCTTCACTGTTTCTAAAGTTGTCTTGGTAGGGACCATAGCCCATTGCTCGGTTTCATATTGCGGGCGGTTCGCAGGGCCGAAATATTTCAGGTTTGTTTCGTTGTCAACAATGCCGGCTTCTTGTAATTGTATTCCCGACTCGGCGGCAGATTCGGCTAAGGCTCGTTCCAAATTCGCATCCTCTTCGGCGGCGTTGGCGGGTGCACCTAGGAAGCGTCTATCAGCATCGATACCGAGTAAACACAGGAGCAATACCTGCGGCTTGATTTCAGTCTAGTCTATCGTCTTACCGAAAGGTGACGGGTTGTTGGCTCTTGAAGGTGGTCGAGTCGGAGCGGCATTGTTTTGGTATCCTCCAGGTCCAAGTTCGTCCGGGCCTTGGATATTGAAAGCTGCAGTAGAAGTTCAGCATAAAAAAGTAACTAGGAAGTGACAATATTCCGCACATATTCCCGTATCGTTAAAATTATCGCCATGGCGATCCATGCTAAACTGCGACTCGTCCCATTTGTACTGCGGTAAGCTTAGCATAAGTGACCATATATAGACTATGTTGTATATTCCCAATTATTAATACCTTTACGCTATCAGGATCCTCAAAATATTCTTCGCACGCTCGTTGGATATCGTTGTTATTCGCCTATATTTGGGGGAGAAATGCCGTCATTAGTATCGAAAAGAACCCCAACAGCATGCATGTGAAGTTGAGGTTAGGTACCTTCAAGCGGGTGATAGCTTCGGCTCGAAGTAGTCCAGTGAGGTCGCAAAAGAGATTAATGGACTCATCTGTCGGTTCATTTGTCGACGCCATATTGAGGAGATCTAAAAGCTATAGATCACACGAAGCTATGTCGTCGTCGTTGGCGTTGGCAAAAACATAGAATTGAGGATGCTGACGATGGGGTAGTAATGGTGACAGTGGCGCAAATGCGGCAAGAAATTGAACTGAATCTTGTTCAATGTACGTACCACCAATCAGGTTGTAAGAGAATACATCATTATGGAGGCAAGGGAAGAAGTTAGTGTTGGATTAGAGTACCTATTGGTAATAATAAATTGTAATTTGATCAAAGTGATGTAGAGGAAGAGGTGAGTGAGATTTTCAAGGGCAACAGCACCTACGACCTTGCATCACAAATATTTCCAATTGCTACGTACATAGAAGAAAAGAGCTTTTTTAATAAGACTTAGCTGACAGCTAGGTACCTAACCTAATGATGTCGCACTTAGGTACGCCGACGATATCTTTAGGTACTCCCAGGGCAAGGTAGCACACGAATCATAACCCCACATCCACGCCAACCAGGGGCGGTTACAGCACGCGCAGCGACAGCGTATGGCCCTACTGGGATTAACATTAACCCCACCTTAGGTACGTTAAACCTTCCCTCTTTCTGATGAAATACGAAATAACAAAGTTCAATGTTGCTTTTCTCTAGAGACCAACACATACGCTGATATGGTAAATATTTATCGCTAATATCATATTGGTACGCTCATTCAACAGTAGCACTACTTCTGTTACTGTGCGGGTTAGATATTCCCAGAATATGTATGCATGGCATTAATTCAGGTATGTGACTACCCACTTACTACACATTAGCCATTCTTCACTTCATATCAAATTTTTGGTTTGTGCAAACGTTTTTTGATTCATCTATGAACAAATGGTTGTAAGGTGACCCGGAAAGGCAACCCCAACTCGAAAAAGCAAATAAGAAAACCTCGGGCGCCTGCGTTCTTGCAAAGAACTTCTCTATCTGAAAGAAGATGCGAAAGCCGGCCCCAAGACAACCGTTACGACGATTAAAAGCGATTAGAAACAAGCGCCGATGGTGCAGGAGATCCGTGAAACGCCCCGTCCCCGCTATGCAAATGTATACTGAGTTGAGGAAATCGTGCCCTCGTCCACGTGGTCCTTTAGTCGACCAATGGTGTCGTGTTTAAATATTGATCATAAGGACGAACCCTCTCAGTTATCGTCATCGTCACTGACGCCCTCTTCTTCACCGTCCTCGTCGAACTCTGCCACTTCATCATCATCACCTGTGTCACTACCGCCGAAATCAAGTTCCTCGTCACTCTCGGCCCAGAATGCAGCATCGTCATCCGTCGACTTCGGGGGCGGCGGGGGTTCGAGGGTAGTCGGTAGGATGAAGCCGGCAGGGATATCGTTCTTAGATTTCTCGACGATTTCCTTAGCCCGCTTATTGTAGGAAGCCCGGTCATCTCGGTACATCACACCAGCGTCGACATTGGCAGGAGAGTTGATCTCAGGACTGTCCAAAAGCAGAAGGACAGACCGAAGCACCGATTCAACGCCTTGCAGAGGGGACCAGCGTTCACTAGCTGCCTCACCCGATGTGAGGTCCTCGCCTGGGGTGTGTAGGATGGAAATGCAGAGCTTTCCGTCGGGATAGATGTTGGGATGATAAATGGGGATTTGGAATCGGAAAGTCGGCGGTTGGTACGGATACTCATCGGTGAAAGTCATCTCGGCCTATTGCGCAAATTTACGTTAGTAACGGTCTCAGCGCAAGGTCCGTGTTTCAGTTCTTACCTTGAAATAGCCGCCGTTGAAAGCACTGTCGGGATTGACAACCATGAGACCTAGGCGCCAGCGAAGGATGTTATCATTCACCAGCTATAAGAATGACAGGTCAGCACGCAATCAAAGTCAACGTCAAATTCCACGTTACTCACATCAATGTTCACCCATTTCTCTCGGGAGAGTTCTTGCATCTCCGACATGAGTCTGTGCTTAGCGCCACCGCCGATTCTCGAGGACGACATTGTGAATTATGTGTGATTCAATTTCTCTAATTCTCTTGGTTTAGTTCAGGAGATGTCGAGTAATCGGTGCGACGAAAAAAATGCGACTCGCGTGTCCTCGAATCGGAGAGCAGGCGAACGTCTTATCAATCAAATCGCCGCCAGAACGAATGATCTCAATCGAAAAGAGCGAAAACAAAAGAGAGAATGGAAAAAAGAAATAGGAGAAAAACAATCCCTTTATGAGGCCGCTTATGGGCGAAAGAAATAGAATGAGATCGTCAAATCGTCACGGGGAGTTTGTAGTGAAGGGGGTGAGTGTACGGCCTGATGTGGTTTAGGTAGAAACCGTTGATGTTAGATGGGATTGGCATGAGGTAGATAAATCAACGACCATGCATTTAGTAGCCAAACGGGTTGGGATCGATGTGATTATTAAAGTAGGTACCCCAGTATTACAGTACGGTAACCGCGATTCCTCGGGGCGCCTGACTCGTTCCTCGAACGGATATCCACCAATGAGGTAATCGCATGTTGGTGGAATGCCCGGCAGCCCTGGCAGGTGGCCCCCCCGACGAACTATTAGGTACTTACATGTACTGTGTAGTAGGGGTGGAAGGCGTTACAAACTGTATGATTGAACTTTTCAACAAAGCAAGTACATACCATCAAATTTTTACAAGCGTATTTCCAGGCACAAATAGGAATCTAACAGTATAGGTACCTACCTACCTGGCCTATGCATTTTTAAGGTACCCACACGTAGAATCTTTGCCCTCTTCAGAATATCGATAGACTGATTTGAAATCCCGTCTTCCACCAAGACGATAACATAATTATCTACCTAGGGTATTCTTAGATACGGTGCATGCCTCTCAATAAAATCTCGTCAATAATTGCACTTCATGTGTACTTTGTATGTGAGATTCCTATTATATTAATTACTACTGAAAACATTTCAACCCGGCTGTATTCAAGGCCCTTGCTTTGTTTCACCAAACCACTACCCCTTTATGACTCCCTACCTAGTCATTACTATAATACCAAAGCAATCAGGCCATTGCCGCCCCAGGACATCCATAAATGATTGGATATTTAGGTATATATTTAGAAGATACGATAGATATTGCTGCTCAAAGCGTAATGGCTTGAAATGATTGTATAAGTTTACTCTTGACTTCCGTAGAGGATTTTGAGTGCCTTTATCCGTACCTAGATACGTGGAACACGTAGTCAGATTACCTACATGTAGGTATCAAGTCTTTATACCCGATCTAGTATGAAGTCTCTTATAGGCGTAGACGTCTAAGAAATGCAACTCCAGCCAGTCTCATTTCATACTAGTGTTTTCAATAGTAATTCAATTCGTCACATTATGGCCTGATGGTTGTCATTAAGAGAGGATAGCATACCTTTAAGCATTTGGAGTTTGGCTTTCATGTTGACATATCTACAAAGGAGTTTGAGATGCTAGATAGATCTGAGAGATGACGATACTATTGAACTATGAGACACTGAAAAGGGTGTGACTGGATTAAAATTATGGATGGCAAAGACAGGAGCTAAGGGATTGTCACTGTCTAATGCCAGTGGCTGCTTGATAAATGACTGTATGATTATATGTAATCTGTTACATAACAAGTACATTCGAATGCTTCATATGCAGCTGGCCTGGGAAAATAAATTCGACAACGCAATAGGTGATTTCTTATGGTGCAACGTACATATATACTTATATAGTACGTACATAGCGTACTGAGGGTTAATGGTTTTAAGGTTGTTGGTGTGTAGCACAAAATCCGATGCCATAAGTTCGGCGGGGGTGTCTAGACCCAAGACCGCGGAGGGGGTGAATTTAGAAAAGTGGGTCATCATAGCGGAGCTAGGCGATTTGGTCCATTTGTGTTGCAAGGCGAAAAGGCACCACCTCACCTGGGCAATGTTCTTTCTCCCCCCGTCCGCCCGTTCTGTATTCTGCCCATCCTTGGAACGCAACAACTTCAACCTTTTCCCACCCCAACAACCATCTTCCGACTCCCGTTCCCTTCACCAACAATCGATAGCGGCGACGACGAGACATCGCGAAACTTGTTACACCAAACCCGACCGCTTCGTCCTCGCCATAAATAATTTTTTATCTACCGATACGACGTTCCGGAGGATTTAGGTCGGTGAATGCTGGTGGACTCGGGTATCTTCGACCACAACAGCCGGTCGGCGGTTTGGCGCGACTCGCCACAGTGAGATCGATCAATACCATCATCCCACCCCTCGACAGCGCATCATCGTCAATCGCCCATCGAGCACATTGTCGCGATTCAATCGACCTGCCGTCCGTAATATTTTTTCCGCGTTCCGATACGCCCCTTCGTCACATTCCGATTGATCAACATCCCGAAATCGATTTTTGTCAGCATCCGCTGAGGACATCTGACAACATTTCGTTCCCCGAATCACTCTGCGCTTCATACTCACACAATCCGCTTACCTTCTCTCCTCGATGGCGACCATGTCATTCAATCCCCAAACGCCTCAGAGTCCTTCCCAACTTTCTCCGAGCACAGGTGATCAGGTGTCGAGCATGAATAGCTCCATGACCTCAATCACTACTGCTTTGCCTACTGTGAGTAAAAGAAAACATTCTCTATTTTTAGATTAAACAATTTCAAGTATTCTATAGTCAAAAAAAGCAAAGGAGAAAAAAAGAAGCGTTTCTTTCTTTATCCCTGCGGGAATTTAATTACTAATTTAACATCATCACAGCCGGCACACAGCGTAAATGGTTCAGCCCAACCGGGTGATATGGCTCATGATATCGCGATGGCAGATGCTTATTCGACGAAACGAAAATACCCTTTTGACGACGGTAGCGATCATGAGCATAAGAAGGTTCACCTCGAGGATCGCCGAGTTGGTATTGAGAACCTGCACCTCGATGTTGGCGAAAAATACCTCCTTTGCAGTACTCGTAAGGCTCCCTTTCGTCTCATACAAGCCATTACGCCCAGCCATCCCTCTTCCCCCAGATTGATGGTAACTGCTAAATGCGGTACTTGAATGAGATTTGGTATTATTTGTTGACACTCTTTCTCATCTAGCCTATCCAGACTCCTACCCGTGCTTGTCCAACGATCTCTTCGAGATGTTCGGCCTAACCGGCATTGCCGCCGAGGTTGCCCGCACGAAGCCCAATGGAGAGAAGAATGCGCTTCGCAAAACGTACAAAGGGCAAATAAAGACCTTAGGATTGAGCGGTCACTTCGATGCTGTTAAGAAGGAGCCCGAAGCGCTTGATGGTTTAATGGCTTTGACCCACATTCCCGAAGACGTATGGTACAGCAGGGAAGTAAGTGGAAAGGAAATCGAGAAAGGATTTTCACAACTATCCCCACCCATCCTATCTCGAGCGGCGACGATGGCCAAGGGTGCGATACCGAAGAGTGTTTGGGACAGCTCCGTTCTCGGCGATCTAGCACCCGGTGCTATGACGAAGAAAGTCGGTCACGACCAGGCTACAAGGCCAACGGCGCCTAGCACACCGGCTGCTTCAGCTCCCGGCGTCACACCGAAGGCGGGTAAACCCTTGACGCCACAACTTGACCGCGCCCGCCGGATTGGAAAGAAGCGTAGCTACCAAGACAGTAGCTTTGAAGGGTACGGCGAGGGCTATGCCGATGATGATGCGGGTGGGTACTCGACAGGAGATGGTGATGACCGGTCCAAGCTGAAGAGGAGAAAACAGGTGCACGCAGATCACCCATGATCCGCAAGCCTCTTCACTGACCGACGACAGAAATTCGGTGAGACATCCTCGTTTGGTGGCGCCGGTGGCCAAAAGTACGGTAGCAGAATAAGGACGTGATCGAAGATACCCAGTCAGACGATATATGGCGGTTTTACGCGGTTGTGGCTGTGGACAGGTTCTTCGAATACATCGAAACAAACCCCAACACAGCGCAGCATCTTTATTTGCATTTTGCATGATTTCAGCATGGCGCAAGGCGTTCGGACTACGAGAAATAAAACAACAGGAAATAAGTCGAGACGCCTAAATACCATCCATGCCTTCCCACGAATTCGAACGACGAACAATCGGGCTCGATTTGTCGTATATATTGCTTTTGAGTCGAAAGATAAAAGCATTGCAGGGGGGATTCTGGGGGCTGATTACATTGACAGTTATGAGCGTTGTCAATAGGACATGAGCACTTTTAGTAGTTTTCTAAATAACTCAGGTGCCTAGTTCTCTCTAATGCTACTGGATTGAAAAATCTACTCTACCCCTCCGGTTGATAGAGATATCTCCGGGTACGGGCTTTCACTAGACGTGCTCTTGTGAACAGAGAGGGCTTGACATGATGAGTCTTGCTTAATGTAGCGAGAGTACCTCACTAGCTTAGTAGCGATGATGGTACTTCTTTAGGAGACTACTTAGCGAAGAGCGTGCTTGTGGATATGTCTACTAGCTTGAGCTAGGACATAGGCTTGAGTTAGACGAAGCTCAGATAATTTAGATCTTGCTATCTCTTTAGTGAGACAGCTTAATAGAGATCACCACTATTTGTATAACCGTCGGGCCCATCGATTTGAATGGTGCAGTGCTATTATAACTAATACGATGGCCAATGTCTAAACTGCCAGTCATCAATGTTGAATTGTTTCTTCTGAACTAACTCCCCGCATAGGCACTTACAAGACGAGGCGAGCTCAAGAGGTCAATGAACTATACCAACGGCGTCAGAGAACAGGTAAGTAAACCGAACATCCTAGTCACTTACTTGACCTATGGTTTTCAGTTACCCGTGCAATAGATACAACTCATTTTGTCCCTAACGCAGGATCCTTTAGGGGGCCTCCCGACCTATAATCGGTCCATCGTCACATACGTGGGAGATGTTATGTGACTCGAGTTACCTAATTGGTATTGGAAAGGACGAAAGAAGGTATTCACCAATGTCAAAAGACCAATCGCAATCCATATTGCGAAACTACTCAGATAATAAAATTCCCCGTGGTTCTAAATTATGTGAGATATAGGAGAGAGAGCGTCGGACGACGTACATTGGTCCACGAAAAAGATATCGTTAGCAGATTGGTACACGCAAGTGGCCTCACTTTAGGTACCGCCTAACAGGGCGGAGGCATCCAAGTAGGTACCCGGGATGTAGGTAGGATGTACAGCGCAGTGGAAGCCCCACACTACATTACGGGGCTAGCGCTTTATTGCGTCGCGCTCAGCTTCCGCCGTTCCTTCCCGCCTGCGGATTGACTTCATCCTACACCCCCACTCCCTTACATAGGACTAGGTACCTGGCCGCCTGGCCAACTTCATTCAGCTCATAGCAATACATGCGTATCCTTATCTTCTTTATATCAACTACATGCTTTTCGGGCACCGTGATTTCTGTCATTTCGCCGCCCTGAAATAGACATAATCGGCATTTATTCATTTATTCATTTACATATCTACTTCCTATGCTGTGAAGTTATTGGAATTAGAAACTCGTGCACAAGTAGACTTCGGTCAACTTCAGCTTACGTCACTGCGTTACTTACGCGCCCGGTCCGAATAGACGCTCTTCTCTAGGTGGACGCCCATATTCCAATAGACTCTCACGTCATCTTTATCATGAACAAAATATATTCAGATCACGCGTCGCCTTTGGACGTTCCACAGTCCAGCAAGCGTCGGAGCTTATCGCCTGTATCGTTTAGTACGCTAGGCGACCCGCGGTCCTCTTCAGCGCAGTCGTTGGTCCCCACACCGTTGGAAGGTGAGGAGTCGGGACGTCGCAGACTTCTAGTCGTCTATCTCCATGGCTTTATGGGCAACGATTCCTCTTTTCAATCCTTTCCCGCTCACGTACATCATTACCTTAAGCTAGCCCTCTCTGAAACTCATGTCATTCATTCCAAGATTTACCCAAAGTATAAAACATATAAAGTCCTTGACGTAGCTCGCGATAACTTTAGTCAATGGCTCGCCCCGCACGAATCACCCACTACCGATGTGGTGCTCGTCGGGCATTCCATGGGAGGATTATTAGCTGCTGATGTCGCTTTGATGGTAAGTCATCTAACTTTCTTCTATCTCATTAGCTAACAATACTCATCAGCCGTCGAGTAATCAATATGGCGCTGGCTATTTCCTCCACCGCATCTTAGGAACCGTTCATCTAGATGCGCCTCTCCTCGGACTTCATCCAGGTATTATAACAGCTGGCATCGCTAGTCTGTTTAGGCCCAAAGCGGATACAACAAACCCGCCAGAGGCGCCAATACCGAATGAGGAACCGGACCAGGCGCTATCTCAAATTACTTCAGGGAATACGTCGATATATTCGGACCCATCTAGTGTTTCGCCGTCTTCTGCATCCTCTCCAAGGCCACGAATATTTGAATCACATGGCATGACATTTGACCCCAATTTCAACTCACCCTTCCCCAACGATGTTCGCCTTCAGGATAGGGGTTGGTGGAAAAATATTGTGCACTTTGTCGAGAAACACAGTTCGGAGGGCATAGTAGATGCTGCCACATACCACATAACGTCTCATTTGGAATTTGGAGGCTGTCTCATGGATATCAATAGCCTCAAGACACGGTATGAAAATATTCGTCGGTTAGAGGACGTAGATGATCTGAAGCACCATGGATTCCCCCATGTACCCCCGCAAGTTCGCTTCGTTCAGTACTACACTGTATGCCACGGGTATCCTAAGAAGCCTAAAGGACAACCCTCTAGCCAGAGCCCCGGACCCCTACAAGATACGCACTCAGCCCCTCCGACGCCACAAACCTCAAATAAAAGTTACGATCTCCCGAATCCGCAAAAAGACGCGGATGTCCCTCTCGAAAATGGCACTCTAGACCAGGACACTCTCGATGCTAGTGACGACGATGATTCTGGCTTACAAATACTTGACCCTCAACCGATATCTGAGGACTCTCCCGAAGAATCTGATCCGCCTCCGGAATATCAAGAATTTGCCCAATTAATTGAGAATCCCAAAGATGACGCGACAGATGACAATGCGCAAGAAATTCAACTTTCTAATATTGAAAATGACGCAAAGGCAAACCTTGAACAAAATGACGAAAAACTTCAGTCTCAAAAATCCTTAGAAACGGACGCTACTAACTCGTCTACTCTTGCTGATGAGGTGGCGTCCTTAGACCTAAATCTCCCCGCAATTCCGGAGCTCCCCCCCAAACCTGAGCCTGTAGATTTAGAGCAGTACACAGACAGGGATGTGCGGAAGCAGGCGGAGAAGGAGGCCAAGAAGGCACAGAAAGATTACGCTAAGATCGTAAAAGATCGCGAAAAACTCATCAAGGACAGACAGAAAATCATTGACAAGAAAAAGAAGAAACTAGCACAAGAGGCAGAGAAGCGAGAAAAGGACGAACAGAAACGACGTAAAAAAGAGGCCAAAGCTGTTGCGTCAAGTTCGTCGACTTCAGAAGAGGGAACATCGAAAATGGCACCTTCCACTCTCACAACGCAGTCAGAAGATATCTCCAACTCTCAAGTATCACAAGCAGATTTCGACCCTGACACATTATCGCCTTTACCAAGCCCAACCGAACAATGGGGTAAAGGCAAGTCTCCGAAGCCGCCCAAAGAACGCAGGTTCTGTAATATGCCGTCGAAAGTAAACGGTCAAGCCGATCCGAAGTGGGTCAAGATCTTTATGAAGGACACAGATCAAGTCGGCGCACACACCGGTCTGTTTTTCAAGGGCGATCATTATGAGAAATTGGTTGGTGATGTTGGGGAGATGATTGTGAGTTGGGTCCAGGATGATATGACGAAACGGGCTATTCTGGAAATGAATTAGAGTATAGAAATATTGGAGGTTTTGGTCTACTACTTCCTAAGTGAAATCCTCGTTCTCCTGTCTACAACCAACATTATAATGAGATGAGATACCCGAGCAGAGCTAATGAGCACAATAGAGTTATTAACGGTATGAAATCATGAACATTTTATTTATTGGACCACGGTTGTTTAGTCTAGATTCATATACGAGACGTGCTTTTTCTCCGAATGGATAACTTCAACTTGGTGCATCGCATCCACGCCCCTTTCCATATCCACATCAATCATATGCGCCGGCTTCATATACGCCCCGTCTGAATCTGAAGATGGTAGTTCGCGCATGCGATACGATCCATTCCCATCATTCGTAGTCCGCCGCGAGCGTCGTGTCGATCTTGTTCCAGCACTAGATCCGTACCAACTTGACGCACTCCGCAACGTCCCACCCAGTAATTTCGGGAACATGCGCGCGAGCATCGGTCGCAGGGTTGGGAGGCAGGAACATATAATCGCCACATTCAACTCAACCCCCGACCAAAGCCCCAACTCAACACCGCCTTCCGAGGGATCGGTGGTAGCGTCAAGACGGTATATAACGACAAGCCGCATAACAGACGCCACGACCACGACTAATCCAACCGTAAATACAGCTGTGAGCGCAGCTTTCTGGCGTGGAGCGATTTGCAAGCGTTTCACGAGTGGCACGGGTAGCGCGAGGATTAGGATGTCGAAGAATGTATTTAGGACTGAGGTTGCGAACATGAAAGTTGGGATATCGAGACAATGGTCTGAGGTCCGCGAGGATGGGGTGGGGGGTGCCCAGGAGAGGGATACGGGGATGCAGGCTAGGATGCCGGCTAGGAAGAGCGTGAGGCCGAAGATGGCGAGGAAGATTACTAGGGTTGTGGTGAAGAGTTTGAAGCGAGGGGAGGTCCAGATGCGCCGGTAGGATGTCACGATGGACATTTTTATGAGTGCGGATGAGAGGCCCCAGAGGGGCGGGGATATCCATATCGTCTAGGCTTTTTGTTAGATGTTGTTTTTAGGGGGGGGGGAAGGGTATGGCTTGCCTTCATCAATTCGACTCGGTTTTCGGGTGCAATATCTGATAACGGTTTACCAAATCCGACACCCACCCCTAAGCAAGCCAATCTTGTTAGTTCATCGTTCATTGGAAACGCCTGTGATCACATTCACTAACCCGCCATATTCGATAGGTAGGTACCTAAGGCGCAACACTACACCAATTGCTTAGCACAATTATCATAGAAAGGGAGGCAATCTAAGAACTTACTGCTGCCAGGAAACACAAAGTGTCATCCCATCCCGGATTCCTCAGCAAAGTCACACGAACATGGAGCCGCAAGACCACCGCCAGGAGGGCGATGATCAAGAACGGCGTGACGGCGCCGATTAATGCGATGGTCTTCTCGGGGAGAGGCATTGGGTCAAGCCTCCAACGAGGAGGAAATCACATCAGACGGAGTACTGACAATTAATATATTAAATGCAGATAATGGAAGCTTAGTTTGCCATGAGCGCGATGGAAGATAAATTAAACCGACGAACTCCTCGTGGATTTGCATGTGTCAGCGTGGTGTATTTCTAATTATATCAGAGGAGCGGGAGCTATACCCATACCATGCAGGTTGGGGGTAGTAGACTTGGGTAAGGGGAGGAAATCTCCGAACGTTAAATATTCCATCTTAAACTGCATAATGACTTCCTTCAGTGTGCCTATGAAAAAGGTTCTTGCTCATATGGGACGAAATCGTAGTGAAAATATGGAAGGTCATGCGAATTGCCAAAATTTGAGGTTTGCGCGTCGAATAGTAGCGATGAATCAAATTGGCTTTGTCTTTGGATGAGATGAGGCGTGCACCTTACGTAGGGTAACCGCAGAAGGTGTACTCTGGAATCCAGATCGAAGGCAATTCAACCCCCGCAACCCCCCTAGTAGATCGAAGATCTAGTGTTGAAGAATTAGGTAGGTGAACAAAGAGATATTCGCGTGGCTCGGGACCGGTCCGGAGCTGCCATTCCAAGTAGAGATTGTAGGATTTCGCGAGTCACACCTAACCCCACAACAGCCGGGTGGAACATCACCAAAGAACTACATTACGGTCCCGAGAGATCCTATGCTGATGTAAGAATTAGATTTAATTAGTAATATGTCGATTTCCCCGGGGCTGAGTAACTTCGATGGAAATACATCATCAGTGAAAATGACTGAGGCTAAATGCGAAGGCATCAGATCCCTAAAATGAACCCTTTTTTAGGCCTAGATCTTTTTACATATGAATTGACAATCATCAATGATATGACAGGAATTGACTTAATTCGGCCCTTACGATCCATCTTGACAAGTGAAGCACTAATAGCCTACATGTAAACTCGGGTTATCTTTATCTAGTGGCATATATGAACGATGCGATAGACAATAGCGCGAGTCCATGTACGTGCTTCGGTGTCTCTTGGGTTCTTGTATAAGAGAGCGCCATAGTTGTAGCTGGAAGAGCCCTAATTTCTAGAGCGAAGCGGCCTGTAATGGGGAATGATTTTGGCGCATGGGGCGCAGAGGCGGCCGCCTATCTGTAGAGGCTTGCTGAGAAAGTTAGCAGCTGTAGGCACCGTATCTCCTCAAATAGCCACAGCAATAGTTTCCATTTCCCTCGCTAACATGCCGCTCTACCGCGGGCCACAAGCCACTAAACAGGTCAGCTGAAGGCGACTGTTATAGTGATCTACGGCATGGGCCGTAGCGCTCATTCAGTGGCTTGCATATTCCGTCCCAGCACATAACGATGGCGCGGCTTCTATTACTCTGTGGCGATCATGAGCCGTTTATAGCTGGTGTCCAAGCCCCATAAACGCTTGTATAGGCGCCATTTTTGGGGTACAATAGCAGGACTTCTAGCCCATAAGGAAGCTATTAACGCTCTGTAAAGTAGCCCTGCATGGATTCGCCTCGGGGAAATTCGTCATGATGCGACTAAGTTTTATTCGAATACTGTTCTTCGTTTGACTAGTAGGCGGTATATTAAGATTGTAATTGCCTTTGTCGTCAAAATATTGGCACAATAGTGCGAGGGCAACTCCCACAGATAGGTCTTTGCCAGTTTCGCAGGCTATTACTATCCGTTTGGGTTCAGAGGGGTTGACGCCTGAATTTTCGGGGGAGTCAGAGTCTGCTGTTCGTTCTATAAATTGCTGTACGAAGTCGCTAATATTAGGGAGAGCTGAACGTAAATTTCGACTAGCCACCCTATGCTTTCCAACGCCTACTTCCATCAGCGACGGACTTTTGACCCATAAGCCTGGGTCTGTTGTCTTGGAGCGGATAGCAACGGTGCATGTTGATGACGACGACTGATTTTCAAGGGGTAAACTACTAACGAATAGGTACGGAGCCACCTGTTTAAGGCTTGATGAATCTGTGTATTTGTCTTGATCCGAGACCAGTGAGCGGACCAACTCAGACAGGTCGGGTTCAGGGGTGGATAAAAGAGTGTCTGCATGGTGCCAGAACACGGGCGGGGTTAGGCCCAATGCCCAATTCTCAGTGTCATCGCCAGCGCCCTGTATGTAGCCACCCTCACTCATCTCTCCACCAAGAACCCGACGCGAGCTAGTACAACAGATGACAGGGTGGAAGTCATCGAATATTTCATCCGTTGTGATAAGTTGCGATTCCTGGGTGATCCATACCGGCCTAAGAGGTTTCTTTATCTGTTGACGCAAGGTATCGATATCAATATTCAGAGCCTTCAGAGAATCCACATGTTCGGGAATCTTCGCTTCGATTTGAGCATGTTCAGATCGTGAGACCACATTAGGAGGGGTAAAGAGCTCATGAGACCCCAGGTTATCTGGGAATAAAACATGATTCAATACACAACACCAAATCGGCACCGTCTTGCTAAGAGCATCAGGCATTCGTTTTCCCCTCCTCGTTGAGTCCACGATGACGCATCCATCATTATCACCGATAATGCCCAATAATTGTAAGTTCAGGCGTCGCGTGCTGAACCTCCACTGCCCAGTGTGACCGTCCGTGCTTTTGAAATAGCCGGACCCAGCTTTGTTTTCAGGTGGGATGTACCAGCTGCCGCAGCGCTCGTTAGCGATCAGCGGGCGGCCGAATGCAGCAGCCACCTCGGATACGAAATCTGCATCTTCCCGTATGGAGCGCAGACGATTGGTAATGGAGAGATTTGATCGTTTCAAGTCACCAAGAATGCGTGAGAAATTGTGGTTTGCCTGTGGCGAGAAGATGAGTTCTGCTGTAGTAGTAGCCATGAATATATATATTTGAGCAAAGGTCAAGCAATTGTCGAATCAATATAGAAGATAATGATATGTGCTGTGTGATATAGAAAAAGAAGTTATTAGAAACAAGGATTAGCTTTGGGACCCGGAGATTTGGTACTATAGAAGGGTATTGATCCACTAATCACTGGAGTTTGGGGCTCCAGGGCTAGCTCGGCAAGTACTAACTCTAATAGCAGTGTGCTATTATAATAGGCCACAATGTAAAAATGTTAGTGACATATTACAGGGGAAAATTCCCATTTGAGGGGGAAATCATTAAACCCTCCGTTAGCAACGCTGAAATTCGTATAGTAATGTTCAGTAAATATCTCAATTTTCCGCACTATCTAATTCAGCGCATCAACGCATTAACTCCCTAAGTAGCCTGGGTATCACGTAGTCCGTTCGTGTATCCCCTCTTGTGAAGTATGCAAAGGGCAATTTTGTGTCGTTATCACATTCCATCCCTCCAGATTTTCGTTTATTCATCGCGGTTATGTTCCCAATGAGCAGTGAAATCCCTCTCTATTATGAACCGTTCCCCCCACCACGTTCTCCTTAGCACATGACCTCCGCCTTCACAAGGACTGAGTAGTCTTCCTCCTTCTTGAGTAGACACGGCGATACTACCATATCCACCACTAGCTGTCCGCTAAGCTTGCCCTTCATCTCCATCGTCGCTTCTTGGTACGGGAATCCATGTGTGAGCTGGCTGCCGGGCTTGTTCGACATCAACACTAGTAATCGTGAACGATCGAACATGCTACTGAGATCTACTGCTGTAGTAGCGATTTCCTGTATACTGCGTTTTAGAGCATCTTCGTCGGCGCTCGTCGCGAATTGCGAAGTCGCATCGAAAATCTTATTCGCCGCGTCAGTCGCGACATTCGGGTCGGTCTGGAATGATTGATGGAATATACGTGTCGTCTGCGTGCGCCAGTTCAGAATCTCCGTCTCCGATGCTTTAGCAGCAAACATGCTCTCCAACTTCTCAGCAACATTGTCAATAGGCTTTCCCCATACGCGAAAGTGTCGGCTGAATAGCGTAGTGTATACGTATCGCCAGATCAAAGCTCGGAAGAGGTAGCTAGCCAAGTTCTTGCTGGTTAAGTAAGACTTCCAGTGTGTTGATAGGTAATCAAACTCTCGTCTTGCCTTCTCCGGTACCAGTCTCGGTTGTATCGTCTCGTTGAATTTCTCCAACGAAATTGTTCGGATCTGATTTCGTAGCGTTTCCCATCGCCCTATAACTATGCTATCGGAGAGGTCGCTAGGATATGAAGCTCCGATCCTATTGCCGTCTTGGGCCTGAAGTTGTTGCTGTAAGGTTTCGCAGAGTTTTGTTTTAGCTGCCAACTCGTCCGTCACATTTCTATATTTCGACTCCACCTCTTGCATCCGAGAACGTGTGATCGTGATCGTCTCTTCATTCCCTTGTTGCGTGCCCGGAGAAAGGCCCACTTTACTACCCATCAGAATCAAGCTTGAGCTTCCATTTGCATCTTGCAAACCATCTTTTGTATGCAATGACTCGACACTAGCTCCAGGGTTGTATCTATTTCCTTGGCGTAGTTGTTGGATTTCATCTTTGAGTCGTTGAATTTCTGCTTCAAAGGTTTGCTTTTCTTGCCTCCAAGTATTCAGCGCTTCGTTATGTGCCGCTTTTAGCTCCCTCGTTTGAAAAATCTTTGACGTGAGGGCTCCCTGAGTGTCGGATAGTTGTTGTCGGAGGGACTCCATAGTTAGGATTCGAACCGATGTCCAGGTGGGGTGATTTGGTGGATGGAATATAGGTGAGGCACCTAGGCGTGCTCGGGAAGTATTAGGGTGGTGATGATTTGTGGAAGGGAATGTTGGAATGGTCTGAAAGGATCGAATGTTGTAAATTTAGGATTTAATTCTAAATGAAGCGCCAAACTATCGCATTGTCCTTTGAGATGTTTTGGGCTTTATCGATTTACTGGTGCGGCTTCCGCGTGCCCTTTGTCAAATATTTGGTTTGTAGTACAGGCTATTATGAGTAAATTTAGGTACCTAAGCATTTTAGGGGGAAAAATTGAAGGCGACCGACAACTCCGTTTCCGTGGTTCCTGCTTTCCCACCTCAAATAAAATAAGAACACAGAACACTTGGGAAGGAGCACCGTCAATTTTCTCCGAGCAATTGAATTTTTATGTGCATATCTTATTTCAGCGCTATATCTATAAAGCAAGCAAGCAATTTGAAGAAATTGCTACCCAGCAGCGTACTTTCCGCTAGTCAGAGGATTGATGCCTCCATTCGCACCGCACATGCCCGTTAATATCCGAGAGAAGATTCACTAGGAATCAAACAAACTTCCCCCCCCTGCGCGGCATAGAGGCTCTAGCAGCGTAAAGTCGCTACCTAAGACCTCAGCACCAGGGAATGTTCCTGGTAAACCCCTTACTCCCCATATGCCTGACCTGAATACCTTGTGATGTTAGTTTCTCGCGCTTGGAAACCACCCAGTCCCTCCCCAGAATATTCGCCTATTCTCCAGTATTGCCTTTCTTGGGGCTCGTGTCGCTACCTTCCGCCTTCTTGGAGGCTTCCACGGGCTTGTCGAGAGTAATAAACTGGTTATCGCGATGCTCGCCTCGTTTTCCATCTTTGTAACAAACGAACGCACGTTCGGAAATCCACATTCGTCTCTCTCCAGAACCGCGCTCAGTTCTATAGTGGACCAATGCAGGTGAGACTAGGAGGTTAACAGCATTGCTATCGTCTACGTTGTAGGCTAGTACCTGCATCCACTTATTGTCATAAGATTGGGAAACATCATCGGTATCCCAAGGGAGTTTTCTGAGAACTTCAAACCTGTCCTCATACCTATACAGCTGTCGAGCTAGTACTATGGCAGAGTCAAAGAGCGCATCGATTCCTGGCTTAACCTTGGTATCTATCTTGTCTTGTTCCTGCTTGGCGATGAACGGTTCAACCAACTCCAATAGCTCTTCTTTAAGCCCTTGTAACTTCGCCTCATCTATTGGGCACTTGGAAAGTAGTTCGCCGTTGATTGCTCGAAGACGGGTAAGGAAGTCCTCATCGCCGCAATATTGGCCTGCTATCCCACCATTAGTACACAATTATCACAGGAAATGTAAAATACTACTCACACTGAACTGCGGCAAATAACTCCCCGGTTTCGTCACCCTTCCCAAGTAGCTTGAAAGGATTCTCCAAGAACTTGGCACCGAGGGAACGCCAGATGACCGCTTGGAAGAAATAACCCGCATGCGTTTGTACTTTGAGGAATTCGCGAAATGGTGTCTTTGATACTTCTCGAAACGCTTTCTCGATGTGACTTGGTAGATCCCCTCCCTCGAATACATCAACTAAGTGTAATAAGGTAAAATCGGCGACCTTGTACTGCAGATCGCAGAACTGGGATTTCAACAGTTTGTAATCTGTCGAAAATTGGGCAGCCGCTTTTTCAAGCTGGCACTCAGCGGATTCGAGATAAGTCTCAATATTTCTGGTTCGTCGCTTAGCCTCTTCAATTTCATCATTCTTCGATTTGAGTTCATTCTTTGCTTCCTCTAGTTCACGCTTGAGCTTCTCTATATAGAGCTTTGACTTTTTTGAGGAATGAAGGTCCTCAGCGGAGTCCTCCTCGTTGTGTTTACGCTTGTTACTCTTCGCCGTTGCCGGGTTTGGCTCATTACTCCCCCCCGTAAGCTGTGACTTCTTAGAGGGATGAAGACTCTTGTCTGAGCCATTCCTTCCGGCCCTTTTTTTCTCATTAGTCTTCGGTGGTTCCAGGTCTGACTGTAAAATTTCATTGGTGTACTTCGATTTCTTTGTCTGTTGAGAATTCTCGGTCGTATCGTCCTTCTGGTTACGTTTCCTTTTTCTATCACCATCGTCAAGGGCACCTATAGGTTTGGGGGTCGGCGCAATGGTGGGTGGCTTGGGAGCTCTGGCTGATCGTAGCCTTGACGAGATGTTTGCATTCACATCGGATGGCGTAGTCGGTGAACTAGACGGGAGAGTTGTTGGCGAACTATATGAGAGGGTGGTTGGTGAACTGGATGGTGAGGCTGCTGCTGAATTGGGCGACATGGTTGCTAGTAATTCAGATGACACGGCTGCGGCAGCCTGGTGGTTATTGTGGTTGGGTTGGGGGTTGGGAATGATGAATAGGCAAATGACAATTATCAAAGATGACGTGTTACTTTGTTCCTGGAAAATCAACGTATTGGGGAACAGAAAATATGAGAGTCGAGGATCTCAGTATTATTTGTAGTGTAGTATCGTAATTGGTATGAAGGAGACAACCGGGGAGAAGTAGAGAACTTGAATTGGTCGTAAATTATAGTTCTCTTGATGCTTGTTGATATAATTTGTTTTAGAAGTTGAATGTGACGAAAGAGTCGAAGAACACTATTGCCTTTTTTTTCCTGTAATGGGAAAATGCTGGGGCGAGGATATTCTTTCTACTATGATGAATTTATAGAATATGTGAGAGGGAAGGAACTTGGTCTGAGGCGGCTCTTAAATAATGCAGGGATACCTACCTAGGTACAGAGCACTTACTGATTTTGAAATTTTAAGTGCCCCAAGGATATTTTTTAGGGCGCTTTAGGTACCAATGCACCTACCTCCCAGCGGTACTGTTTGCTATCCCCACTTCGACAAACAAATTAACCTTGAACCTTAATCGATTTCTCTCCTCTCTTAGAAGGCACCACCCCTCATGGTAGATACTATCCATCAATACTAGGCTTGCGCCCCTTTGGCTGGGATCCCGACTGAAATTCCCTCCTCGCGGGTTCATGCAATATTTTCTATCTTCGCGAGGTAGAAAGCTTTCGTTCCTCCGAAATTCCGCTTTCGTATTTCGGAATTATTTTCGTCAAGTTTTTCATTCCGTCATCCCTCCCTGCCTTCGACTGGATCATCATGGAGTCCTCTGATTTAGAAACCCTCAGAAATTTCTGGGGGAAGGATAGGGTCTTGCTAATTGGTATCGACTTAGGAACCACGTATTATCCTTCCCGATTCCTACACTCCCCAGTATTTTACTTACTTCTTTTCTAGGTTTTCCGGCGTTTCTTATGGCGTCTGGAAGGATCCATCTGTTAATGGCAATGTGTCCCCGAACCCAGTTGTTTGTTGGCCTGGCGTGGGCAACTTGTCCACGAAAATTGAGACAGCAGTCTCATACGACGATAGTGGCGATTGTTCTTGGGGATGGCTTGCTCTAGAACAGCCGAACGTCATGTCATGGTTCAAGCTACTGCTGCCGGGTGATGGCGAACTCCACTTCAATGTTAACGACTTGAAGGAGGTCCAGCAGGCAAAAGCTACCATGCAAAGGCTGGGAAAGCGCTTAGTAGATGTCGTTGGGGACTACTTGAGAATGATCTTCCAGTATACTCTCCAGTACATACGTCAGGAGAGGGGGGATGTAGCCGACGTATTGCCCTTCCATATTATATTCGCCGTGCCTGCTATTTGGAAGGAGAAGGCATTGGACTACATGAGACAAGATATAAGACTCTCCTGTATTACTAACGCTCGTCCCAATGGGGTCGCTAAGACAACGTACAGATTTGTCACCGAACCCGAAGCAGCGGCAATGGCGGTTGTCCCTGAATTGTATGCATAGGATCATTTATTTAAGGGCGACTCGTTTGTCGTGGCAGATGTCGGCGGTGGCACAGTGTTGAGTTATATGATTCAAACCTGGAGTATCGTATTAATTAGGGCAGGACTGCATCAGCTATACGGTGAATAGCACCGAGCCTTTCGAAATTCGAGAGGTTGTGGAAGGCAGTGGAGGACTTTGTGGAGCAGCCTTCCTCGATAACTCATTTCGGAACTTCATGAAGAAAAAGAGTTTGGACGAAGGATTGATCTGGGATGAGCTGCACCGAGAAGATCAGCTACATGTCCTGACAGCCTGGGAGGGTCGTATCAAAAAGTTATTCGAGAGTCCCTCGACCCAAACAACATCTATCGACATTGGAGTATAGGGCGCCCGAAGAGTCATCTTCGAAATCACATCGTAAGTAACCACCTGCCGTGTGAAAAAAACCCTTCTGACTCCAATTTGCAGTGACGAGGTCCGTACTCTATTCGACTCACTCAAGCCTGAAATCGAGAAGCTAGTGAGACGCCAAGTAATAGCCGTCCAAGAGAAGACACTGCGTCCCCCAAAGGTATTACAATCTATAAGAAGTTATTTATTGAAAGGGGGTTTGACTAATTGGCATCATAGTACATACTGCTGGTGGGCGGCTTTGGACAAAGTCCCTACCTCTATAACTCTCTGAAGCGTACCTACAATGGACACGTTACGGTTTTCCAGGGCAAAGGGAGCAGCCCTTCATCCTGCGTTTCTCGGGGTGCAGTGATTTGTGGGATGAAACAACAAGTCTTAATACACTCCCGAATTTCGCGTTTCAGTTACGGATTTGTTCTCGACAAGCCGTTCGAAAAGGGAGTCCATCACAAAGATGACAAGTACTTCGATGAGTCAAGAGGGTACTATATGGCACAGGATCAGATGGAATGGCTTGTCAAACGGGTAAGTGATAACCACCTATTTAAGAGAATGACACATGATTACTAACACTTGGAAGGGTGATGATGTGGCCATCCGCGAGCCCCAGACGTTCTATTACGAGCGACGCATAGACCATAGAGCCCGAGGACGCCGGGAGTTCCGAGAAGTGATTTGGGAATCTAGAAGCAGCAAACCATCTAATCGTAAAGCTGACCTTGATAACGACGAAGATTTTATGGTAGCGAAGTCTATTCTCATCACGACTCCCCCGGTCGAACAGCTTCCGAAGATCAAGCACGAAGGAACCCTGTGGTACTTATTCGCGTACGATCTGAAGGTAGAGGTTTCAGGAGCTTCTATTAAGCTATCAGCAAAGTGGACCAAGGACAGGTCGGTAGAGCTGATTGCAGAGTGCGTCAATGTTGTTGTGGGCGCCTAGGGGTAGGAAGGAAGTGGTATGATGACGCGTTGCAGTTGATGGATTGATAGTTCACTCGCGATTTGAGAAAGGCTTGCATCTTCAAGATCAAGGTTGATGTTGCAAGTGGGCCTAGGGGATACTGGCTATGATTTCGCACTGATTTAGAAAAAAGCAAAAGAACCAAAAAAACACGGAAAATAAAACTGTCAAAAGTTTCCAGGATCGTAAGTCAGCGTACCTGTGGTAGTGGACCATTCAAGCCACATCATCTCAGCCACATTTGTTACACAACTAGATCCATTTAATGCTGGTTGGGTACGAAGGTACTTAGTAAATATTATCAACTCCGAGCTCCACGCCACCATCCCACTTACTCCTTACATGTATTCCGCAACCACTGAAAAAGACCTACGAGCCACGCTCTCTTTCCCCGTAGGATTAAGGACGAAATTCCACCGACCTTTATGGTTTTATATCCTTGGGTTTCGCATCGCCTCCGCCTCTCATCATCGGTATGAGCGGACGGCTGATAGCAGCGGTCGGGCGTCTCCCGGCGACGCGCCCGGCCATGGTTCGAGCTATCCGACAATACCATCACCTACCTTCTAGCGGTCTCCTACGAGCTGATACCGCCGTTCGTGCAACAAGGCGGCGGATGTTGTTCCCGGTGAATTCATTCCATAATGCTGTTATCGTACGCAATGCGTCTTTTCTTCGTTTCCTACCCCGGCTAGCGGTTAAATTTATAAGGATTCCCGCCATGGCAGGCGGTGTGATGATAGGCGGCCTGGCATGGGTTCAGTACCAAGCCACACGTACGTTCACTCAACGAACCCCCCCTCAAAGGTGTCTTGTGAGCTTAAACTGATGTATTTGATATTTAGAGGCTGGTAACTACGCTTGGGATATAATTTCTACAACGAGAGATACGGTCACTGGTACGGCGTCGAGCCTCTTCGATGGCGCAAAAGGTATCGCCGATCAAACAATGCAAGGCTGGCGAAATACGAAAGAGCAGGTTGAGCTACCAGAATGGATGCAGAAGATTTTAAAACTTCAAGAAGAGATAGGAACCGGGAAACAAGGAGACGGACCCGGTGGCGAGGAACCACCGAAGCAGAGTAGGGCCGGTGCTGCGGCTATAGCTGGTGCTAGTGCTGCTGCCTATGGTTATGAACAGTCTACCGACGACGACCCGCGGAATGGGGATGAGGCTGCAAAGGATGACCAGATGATGGTATTGACTAAGAAGATGATCGAGATCCGAAACATCCTAGCTAGAGTCGGGCAGTCGAGTACTCTCACCTTACCTTCAATCGTCGTTATTGGATCGCAATCTTCAGGAAAGAGCTCCGTGCTGGAAGCTATTGTAGGGCATGAGTTCTTGCCGAAGGGATCGAATATGGTTACTCGAAGACCTATCGAGCTTACTTTGATTAACACGCCTGATTCGAATGCCGAGTATGGTGAATTTCCGGATCTGGGCTTAGGAAAGATCTCTGACTTTTCTTCTATCCAACGAACTTTGACGGAGCTTAACCAAGCTGTTCCAGACAGCCAGTGCGTATCGGATGATCCCATCCGACTCTCCATCTCATCCCCAAACATCCCGGATCTCTCGCTTATTGACCTTCCTGGCTATATTCAAGTTGTTGGACAAAACCAGCCGTTAGAGCTCAAACAGAAAATATCAGAGCTTTGCGATAAATACATACAGGCACCAAATGTCATTTTGGCTATCTCAGCTGCCGATGTTGATTTAGCTAACTCGACAGCCCTGCGAGCTAGCCGAAGAGTCGACCCAAGAGGTGAACGGACAATAGGTGTTGTTACAAAGATGGACTTGGTCGATCCTGCACGGGGTGCCGCAATTCTGGGCGACCGGCAATACCCTCTTCGTCTAGGTTATGTTGGTGTTATCCCTCGTGTACCAACAGCGACCGGACTATTTAAGAAGGGTAATGCCAATGTTACATCTGCCATCACCCGCAACGAAAATACCTTTTTCTCTTCTCATCCTTTGGAATTTGGACCCGGCTCTGATGTTCAAGTTGGTACTACGACGCTACGCAAGAAGCTTATGCACGTTTTGGAGCAAACTATGTCAGCTAGTCTCCAGTCGACAAGCGATGCGATACGACAAGAACTTGAAGAGGCTACTTATGAGTTCAAGGTCCAGTACAACGATAGGCCACTATCCGCTGAGTCGTATCTTGCCGAGAGTCTTGACGCCTTTAAGCATTCCTTTAAACGATTCTCTGAGGAGTTCGGCCGAACTCAAATGCACGAGCTCCTGAAGAACGAACTTGACCAACGAATGCTGGACTTGTTAGCAGCAAGATATTGGAACAAGCCTATTTATGATTTAAGTGTTCCTATCGCTGAGCCCAATAGTCTTGCCGATCTTCCAAAGGCAGACCCGAATTCACTCTACTGGCGAAGACAACTCGACGCTTCTACTTCGGCACTTACAAAACTCGGTGTTGGTAGGCTCGCCACTAACGTGGTCGCTAGCTCGATCCAATCCCATATCGATGCTCTAATTGCTCAGTCTACTTTTGTAAATCATCCATATGCGCGCCAGGCGATTACCGAGGCCGCTTCAAGCATCTTAAATGATAGGTTTTACAGTACTAGCGATCAAGTAGAGAACTGCATCAAGCCTTTCAAATTCGATATCGACATGGAGGAACGTGAGTGGACTACCGGTCGAGACCATGTACAAGGTGTTCTGAAGAAGGAGTTGGCTGCTTGCGAGAGTGCAATGAAGGATCTTGAGGCAACAGTCGGCGGGAGGAGAAAACTGAAGGAAGTTACAACTTTCGTTGACAAAGCTAGGAGAGGCGACGTGTTAGTTGAGGGTGAAAGCCGCAGCGGTGCCGGTGGATTTAGCGCAGAGCTGCTAGCCAAAGGTTCGATTTGCCCTCTCAGCTTATTTTGAGATTTACTAACGTATTTGCAGGACAAGAAGCTGCTTTCCTTCGCGACCGCGCTGACATTATCAAGATGCGAATGCTTGCGGTAAAATCAAAGCAATGCGCTAATATTAAGAATAAATACCATTGCCCGGAAGTTTTCTTAGATGCGGTGGCCTCGAAATTAGCATCAACAGCTGTTCTTTTCCTTAATGTTGAGCTGCTTTCGGAGTTTTATTACAACTTCCCGCGCGAGCTAGACCTGCGTCTTGGACGCCACCTATCGGATGAAGAAGTGGAGAAGTTCGCCAAGGAAGACCCCAAGATCAAGAAGCACCTGGAGGTTATTAGACGAAAGGAACTTCTTGAACTTGTTTTGGAGAAGATGGAAAGTTTAAGACAGCTCGAAGGTTTGGAAAGAGAACGAACAAGAGGTGGAAAGAAAGGTAGTGAGAAAGAACGTGGCCGGTGGGGACTCTTCTGAGGTTAGCAAACAAAATTTCCTCTAACTAGTTATTTCTGATGAATTATCATGATGTATTGAGAGGAGTTAAAAAGGTTGTTTCAGCGGTCATTGTGTACCTAGATATCACTTTCGAAGTCCCAACTCGACGGTCGGCTCCCCCTGACAGCATATTATGAAGTTACATAGATTTTGATCCCCCCTTTTTTCAAAAGATAGGATTTTCACGATGACTACTAGTCTAAGCAAACTACGTACAGTTACGGGTCTTTGGCATATAGCGCCGAGGGATAAAGCAATAACGCTAGCTTTTACTATATGTATTATCAGAAATACTTGATACTAAACTAAGATGCTAGGGACCTTTAGTCTATAACTCATGCGAGATCATATTCGGCAATTAGCTTCTCGGCACAAGTTAAACCCGTCAAATATGCCACAGATTGGACGTGGCAACTCGCAATGACGGGAACGATACTCATATCAGCAATGCGCAAGCCATCGAAACCCATAAGCCGGAAGTTACTGTCAACGGCTGCATCATCATCCCCAGGTTTTCCCATCTTAACGGTTCCTGTCATATGCCAGGATGAGCCCACACTAGCACGCCAGTACTCAAGGTAATCCTCGTCCGAATCACCTGCAGGTACTGCAATTGGCGCCACGTTGTCCTTCACATAGGCTTCGGAATTCACGAACCGTAACGCATCTCGGAGAGCCTCTATTACGGCTCGTCTATCAAAGGGGGTGGATAGGAACTTAGGGTCGATACGTGGCGGAGCGTCCGGGTCGGAGGATTGTAGCGTGACTTCGCCCCGACTCTGCGCGTTATACAGGAACACCGCGAGCGTCATGTAATTCATAGCCTCGGGCGGGAAGTTCGGTATGAACCAGTGCAGCGGAAAGTGCGAGCCGATAGCATAATGCGGGATTGTTGGTCTATTCAAATGGTTCTTTTCCTCCGTAGGCAAGTCCTCGAATTCGGGGAGGGAGGAGAGATTGGGAAGCTTGAACCAGCCCAAAGTCGCTTGGCACCCGTATTTAGCCCATGGACCAGTGCCGTCCTTTTTCCATTGTTCGAGGGCGACGGCTTTGGCTTGCTCGTTGCTGTAGAAGGCTACGCGGTCCGGGTCCCCGGTCTTGCGTATATGGGCTATAGGTACGAAGAAGTGGTCGCGGAGACCCTGGCCGATGCATGGAATGTCTTGGACTACGGGGATGTTGAATTTCTCAAGTTGTGCTCTTGGCCCGATGCCTGAGTGCATGAGCAGTTTCGGGGTGTTGAGAGCACCGGCCGAGATAATGACCTCTTTAGTAGCCAGGTCTGGAGTTGGGTGCTGTGTTAGCCCATCATGCTTTGGCTTATAAATCGGAGAATAGATGAAGAGATTACATGGGCTAACTTACGCTTCTTGCCGTTAGACTCGACGCCAACAGCCTTTTCGCCTTCCAAAATAATACGTTGAACCAACGACTTGGTGAGAATCGTCAGGTTTTCTGGGATCTCCACGAGCAAATCTGCCGCGGTGGACCGGAACCCCTTGCTTGCCGAATTGATCGTCAGGGCTACACCGAGAGGATTTCCGGAGTTATGCTATTGCCGAAGGATTAGCGAAAAGAATTCAGGCAAATTGCATAATAACGCCACCACGACAGCAAACTTTGAGCCCCCCGAGAGAAAAGGGGGGGATAGTTTAGGAATACTACTTACGTCAGGATTCAGGGGCCGTCCAGCCTTCTCGTAGGCTTCTAATAAAGGAACCAGATCTGCCTCTACCTCGGCGGTATACCCCGTCTTCAGGAGTCCTGAATTGCCGTGGTCCTCGGGTTTTGACTTGGCATACTTCTCTGGAACACCTGCTGGAGGAGTCGGATCGAACGACTCGAGAGTCCTGTACCGGCGCTTCATATGCGCCCAGCCAAAGGCATCGTCCCCGACAACACGCACCCACTCGTCATAGTCACCACTTGCTCCTACGTTAAATATACTAAAGTTAATTGCGCTGGAACCACCTAAACCTAAGCCTCTTGAGTAGTCGAGTTCTCGCCCCCCACAGTACTCCTGGGGAGCTGTCTTATAGCCCCAATTCAGACCCTGGCTTTGAGAAACTAGCCATCGACGTCCATTGACGCGCATCTCCTTATCATCATTCGTACCTCCGGCTTCAAGGAGTAACACCTTCGGTCTCTTCGCTGACCTTGCCAGCGAAATGGCTATGGCGGCGCCCGAGGGTCCTCCTACATGATGATGTTAGTGGATAGGGGAATTGTGGCGCCATGGGTTTTGCGTACCGCCAACAATTACAAAGTCATAAGTTGAAGACATCTTCTATAGTTACAGTTTTAAACCAAAGGGTTATAATGTAATCTCAAGTTTATTTCATTAATTAGAGTTATAGTACCTAATGTACTTGTTATATAATATTCTCCCCCTTTATATTTAAGTCCGGACCATGCAAACTCCTACCTAGGTAGGATTACCCGTATATAGACCACTCGATACCCGAACATATTCTTCGCTGTATATCTCTGGCATCTACACGGATAGCTTACCGCTTCTATAAGACTTCGGTGAACTGAGCCCAATTTTTCGCTTCCAAGTCCAACCAATTTGAGAACATGTAGAAGAGGCACTGCAGCAACATCCGGAGCCAAGCTATTGTGACTGGTAGCGAACATCCTTTTATGGGGCATATGAGCGGCACAGAGAAAGATAGGCTATATTAATAAAATATTACCTAGACTGTATACAGTTATGCTCGTATACTCTAAACCAATCGCGGTTACTCCTGTGTTAGCCAATCGTAGTTGCTCCGACATGTGGAACTATCGTATAGCAAATCTCATCGGTTTTGTAAGCAGATGCGACCCTATGGATATATCGGATATAAGACATTTAGCATAGAGAGGATAACTAAATATGATGGAAGCCCCAGTTAGTCCTCACTGTCTGGTATTTAAGTTTTGTATAAGATCTCACAGAAGGGGGTAGAATGTCTGTACACGAGTAACCAGCAAACAACTTTTTCGGCATGTGCTATACAAGTCTTTCCAACAACTTATCCATAGTCCATCCGTTAATTGACTTAAGTTCGAAAACTTGGGCACTAACGAATTCCAATGCCGATTCATGATAGACGACACTACACCTATGGCCGTGAGGTATTGGCAGCGATGGGCAGGAGCGGATCCGCTCCATAGCGTCCTTCCCCTGGACAAAACCGGAAGGTACGAACTACAGTGGATCCGGTACCGGCAATCGCGATAGGGGGCTCCAGGGAAGGCGCTCTGATTCAAGGTTAAAGATTAGGATTTGGGATCATTAATGAAGCTTCTAAAGTGGATGGCTCGGTCCTATACTTCGGATATACGAACAAATTCTCTATCATCCGATAACGCGGGGCGCCGACAGGATCTGTGCGACAACATAGTCCTTTAGTCTGCGTCATTACGTTCACTTGACGTAAGACCATCCAAAGTGCTGAAAAGTCAATTCATTAATGGGTATGGGGTCAACCATCGATCTTATGATGCTATGCTAACGGAAAGTACTAGGACAAAGTGCTGATTTTCACACCTGTTTTCAAATCGTCAAACCCACCGCAACCAGAAACGCCTTGCTACCGTCACCGCCGCCCGTTTTGCGAAGTCATTCTATCATCAATTTCGAAAGTCTAAGTCTATGCGGGGAGTTGAGAACGCCGAGGGAATATAGCCGGGAGAAAGATATAGAGAAAAATGTTGTCGTAAGGTACCCTTTACTACAAGGCCATTCCCAAGACACGTGCTGCCTTCTCCGAAGTTGTGTAATCGGGAGCTCTTGATGAGATGCTTAATGCCGGGGGGCTATCTGGCATTGGTAGATCGGTATCTACCTGATGGTCGGCCGGGTGAGGTTGTTCACCGATGTTGAGGGAGCGCCTTTTTTTCTTAATGTTACCCTGCGAGGGTAGTTTATTCCCCATGTCAGGACGAGTCTCTGGCCGCGGAGGCGGCTCATTCGGAGGGGCTCGGATATCTGAGGGCAGGTTCGACTCTGAATGCGCAAGGGGTGTCTTGCTACGAATAGGCACCGAAGGACCCTCGGGTGTTCGGCTTCGACCGATACCGGCAGGAATCAACGGAGCAAGAATCCGTTTGTGGCTCTCGAGATCGATGTTCGGAGTGGGTAAAGGGCTGGCCACGCGTGGAGCAGCCTTTTCGTTGGTGGTAAGTCCTTTCGTTTGTGCGAATGCTGATGAACGTTTGTGGTAGGGATCGCGGTCTGAATATCCGTCTATTATCGGGTTTACCATGACTGTTTGCCCGTGAATGGTCAGGATGGAATTGGTAGGAACGTTAACCCAGTTTTCTGGTTTCTTTCGTTAGTAATAAGTACCTCATACGCGATAAAGCCTCGAAATACCTCGTTCAAATGTTAGGGGTTCGCTAGCGACAAGAACAATATCCGCTCCCTTATCCCGACGCTCCATCTGGTAATCTCGATCGCTCGAAACAGAAGACTTCGTCTCCCATTGAGTACCCGATGAATAATATAAGCTTGCAGCTTCGTCGGTCTTGCTGCTCACATATCTCGTGCAGATGATGCTGTGACCATCTGCTACGGCGAAATTTAACAAACTTCGGGTGTCTACGTTTTCGCTCTGAATAACACTCTCGGGTATAGCTGTCGTAAGTTCATTGATAACCTCGATCGTTTGCAAAAGAGCCTTGCGTAACGTAGCTGGATGGAAGCCGTTTACGGGTTGGGAGCTCGGGTTGACACCTAAACGCTCTAGACGGTCGAGAAATAAGGCAAAAGCCCATTCGCTGTCGGTTCCACCTTGAACGGAAAGGTACCATTTGTCATGTAATCGTTCACCAAGCTTTCTCTTGATATGTTTCCAACCACCCAAACCACCATTGTGCATCCACATCAAGCTTCCATGACAGAATGGGTGGCAGTTGTCCTCACTAAGAGATCCCTCGGTTGTGGCTCGTACGTGGGCAAAGACTAGTCGTGATGCCGTCTTCGTAGCGATTCGGTGTAAGTTGGTGCAGTTCCACGCTGGGATGGTCGAAGTGAAGAGACACGGGGCGGAGCCCAATTTCGGGTCGGTGTACCAGCCAATTCCGAAACCATCAGCATTGTTCTGGCCTCGTCGTGTATCCTGAAAGACAGATTGCAAGTGTCAGCCCGTAATCTTTGTGGCGTATTCTTACTAAATTAGGGAAATGGCGGTAAACTCACCAGCCGTAATCGCGAGTCGAATGATTGCTTGAGGATAGAATGGGTCGGATCGAGAATCAACTTCGAGAGCAGAATCTCGTCACTGCCTTGGTAAACCTATCAAAAGAAAATATTTATCAGTTCTAGGTTCTTATAACTTGCGTGACCGATCTAGGAGGGTAGATTACCAGGAAGCGACACATCTTATTGATGCATGTGACAGATTGGTTAAGATTGAATTGACTTCCAGTAGGGAAGGTTGCAATTGAGGAACTGGGGAACTAGATTTGTCGTATAAATCAATGAAGGAATTGATTGACTCCGAAGTAGGGGGGGGATCGTTCTCTTTTTGCTTGTCGCCAATTTGAGTGATTTGTGACAAAACCGTCCCTCCTATTATTTTTGCTTTTCTTATTTTGATTTTTTCTTTATCTTTTTTTTTGTTACAGTCAGAGTCATCCAACGACGGTTGAAGGCGTGGCGTGTATATATTACTGGATGGCGAGATCGCTGGTTGGCCCTAGAATGCTGGAAAATTTCGCGGATACCTCCTAGCGTCTCCCCTCCCTCTCATTAGATCCACTATTACGTAGCTTCAAAAGGAATGGAGATAGGGGAGAAGGCAACAGCTAGGGCTAGCTAGCCGGGCAGCTACAGAGTACCTAAGATAGACTAGTTTGACAGCTGCAAGTTTCCGGGGTACATTCAGCGTAGCAGCACCAGCACAAGGTATGGAACCTTCCGAGTAACCCTAAGAAGCATAGCTCTTCAGGGTTGTTTTAGTTATCTCACGCTGGAAATCTGGGGCACAACCAATCAAATGTAATCGCGATACGCTAAGATAGGGGTCTTTCACTAACCCTTCATACCTGTAATTAATTCTTATGTTTGCAATTCTTCTTTGTGCAAGTTACTCAATCCCTTTTATTCACAACTCAAATTTAAGAGTGTATATACGATCATGTCTAACGTCTGACAAAGTTCATTAGCGATATCCTGTGGATATCGAGTTATTGATTGGACGTGGAAACTTTTCATCCCACGCACATGGCTTCGTCTTAGGAAATGACATGTACGACGATCAAGTTTGCTCGCCCCAGCCTTCTACCAATCTACAAGTTCATATGCTGCTTGCCATGTGCAAACGTACTCTTCTGGGCTTTTAGATGTAATTTGTAGAAAATATCGCAATCCTACCTAACAAATACCAGGCATCTCTGTCATGCTTGCGAGACAAGGAAATTGTTTCAACCACCCGACCGTATCCTCCCGACGTAATCAGCCTTTTGTTACCGGGATCCTGGGTCGAAAAAATGTACCAGGGCTGATTGCCCAGATTGCTCTAGTGAGAACTTTTCTCTCGTGTGAGGCTGTTGAGCTGTTAGCGGGACAAATGAAGCTGAAACCACTAATGGGAATATCCTTGAGGTTCCTCCATTATACGTTCTATTACTAAATAGAAGTTGAACATGGATAGAAGTGCTAACCTGGGTTTTGGTAACTGACACTTTTCCACACTTGGAATGTCCATTTGCCAATCAAATTCATCCCATCTTCCGTGTTGTCACCCTTAAGATCGGGGAAGTTTCTTATATGTAGTACTCAACTCTACGCGGAATTCCCGAGCCGGCGTGTCGGATATATGTAGTTCTAAGAGTTTTCGAGCTAGATTTTTCATATTTGTCGGTCTCGGAAAGCAGTCGCTTCTACACATGTTCACAAGAAGCCTACCAATGAAGGTCAAATTATATTCTCTGGATGGTGGTGCGAGGTCAGTACAGATACTACTTAGGTATGGGTATTTAGCATATTTTAACACTTTGCACTTTCGCGTCGTAGAGTTAGATCGCGGCGCTCCTAGTTGACATATCAGATTCCTGCTTACTCTTTAATTAGGGGTTCGTTCCAGGATCCCCGTGACAATTCTGATGACCCATCTCCTAACCACTTCTGACCCCTTCATTCTGGTCTCCAGAATTCATTGTTTACCTATATAAGTATTTTGTTAAATTATATGTAATATTTTAGTACGCCTAACTTGACAAATTGAATTCAAAAACCAAGACTAGAGCTCGTCTCGGATCCCGGCTGCTATTTCTCGGCTTTAGTCTGATGTTAATGTAAATCCCCTGCTTCAATTTCGAGGAGGTGAATATCATGGAGAAAATAGTTCAGGTAATACATGGATTTTTCAATATGAATAGCAAGTCGACGTGAGCGCTCTCGTAGGCTCCTTTCGTGAACCTTCGGCGACATAACAACCAGATTCATATACGAGCCACAAGAGGGTATCAAGTGCCTTCGAAGATGAAGGTTGAAACCTTGTAAATAAAAGCATCTTAAAGCCTGGCCGGACTTAAATCAGGGGTCTTCGGGCGAATTCTTTCAGCACGTTAACCCCTGACATTAACTGATTCACCTCCTTATCCATATTCAAAGTTCCACAACGGCTATTTCCTCGTATTTTCGGCGATAAAGACCGTCAGAGGTGGACTAACAGACACCCACATCGGCAAGCTTGATGGAATTTCCCAGCTGACGGTTGATCCATCCCGACTTTAGAGACAAAAACCCACTTCGGAATGTTCGCTCCCAGCTTCATACCTTTAACCAATCGCCCTCGTTCTTAATAGAAAATACACCCGTTTATTCTTTCCTGGGGTGATTCTGACCGAAAGAATCATCCACCTTATCCTAGGCCTTATTGAACGTGGCATAAAAGGCTCTCGCGAGGCCTCCCGACCTGAGGCCATGTGGATCAGGTGACGATGCTTGAATTGAATCAGTCCGACACAGGATCTGTGAACTCGAATAAATTTCTTGTGTATCTAGAGGAAGATGGATTTTATCGAGTATACTTAATCTAACCTCCTTCTGTCCTCACCCCTTTCAAGCAGTGAATCCGCCTCTCCATCCTTAACCGTACCATCATCACGGTAAATCACATAATGCTGTGCCATAAACACCAAATCATACAACATGCTCACATTGCCCAGCGCGAACTTGACCGGGTTTCCTGTGACACCGGACCAGTCGCCTTGAAGGTATGAATCGATGACCAGCTGTGCGATACTGAGAATGCCGCCCAGGAAGTCGAGTAGAACTTGCCATATGCTCCAGCCCTTCGTGCTGCGGTTGCGAAAATTGTACACCAATTGCGGTGCATATTTGACGAATGTGATTAATAATTTCACGTACGAAATCGTGTAGATTACGTCCAGCCACGCCCACGCGGTCGCCGGGTCCGCGCCTTCCGGAACAGACGTCACAACGAAGATGATGATGGCGACGGCAACCGCCGATCCGCTTACGATGCCCAAACCCAGGCGCGAAGGTCTGGTTCCTGGCGCTCGGTCGAAACCCCACAGGGAAGGCAAGAAATATTGCGTCAACAAGACCGTGCATATCAAGAACGCGTGCGCGGCGAAGACAATATCATTAACTGCGACGGTCGGCGTGTGTCCATGATTGCGTAGCGCATACTGATGTCGAATAACTGGAGAAGAGTAGAAAACCGAGTTGTAGATGAGGTAAGCGAGAAATCCTACAAACGTTAGACAACCCACGACCCCGCGGTGTTAGGAGATGCGACCGGTAGACGTACCAACGGTATTCAAAAACGGGAAATCCACAGTGGTGCCGGATGTCGACTTCCTCCGGATATTGAGGACCGGCTGCGAATAGAATGATAAGGACCAGGATAGTGTATATATCCACCCGAATACGGCGGACAGGAAGTCGAGGAAATTCATGCTGCGCGACCGGTTAAAGAGCGCTTGGCATACGGTATGGTCAAGCAGTAATCGATTATCGCAACTTTCTACTCCAAGAATTGAATGGAATGACGTAACAAGCAACAAATGGCCCAGGATTCTCTGAGTATCATACAGAAAATGTATTAGCGAGGGACGTGATAGATATTCGGCGAGATGTTCGGTGAGGGTTCTGAGATTGAATGAACTAAAGAGCGACCCGGCGCTTCGGAACTCTAGCGAGTACCTAGGTACCTAGGTAGGTATTCCGCCATCGCACCTGTAGCACATACAATATGCAAGTATCGGGCTCCCCTTTATGAAAATAAATGCTACTAGCATGATAGTTGCATATGTAGAGATTATCCTTCTCTACTTAGGTACCTTATTTTTCACCAAATTCTATCTCGCGGGAACCTTATGCTATTCCAGTCTACCAAATGCTCGTAATCTTGATATCTACTTTCTCTAGCTAATATGCAGAAGATTTACCAATGAATCTGAAATATAGTCGTGGCCAGCTCTATAATCGAGTCGAGATTATCATGTAGAATATTGGGCCCCCTTTTCTTCGCCTCCTCCATCATATCTGATCTCATCATATACATAGTAGCATACTAAGAGGTAGCCATACTTCCAATAATATTGATTATAGACATAACATAGGGAGGTGGCACTGTCAGATTGAACACTACAAATCTATGCAGAATTAACTGATCTTCTCGCGTACAGTACAAGGTGAATGATGCGTAAAATGCTTGTAAAACCACTAAAATAGCCTTCATGGCGCCGAAAGACGTGGATCTAATTGGGGTTTATAACCCGGCGGAAGTTTGCAAAATGTATAGGTATCCAAGGTATTTGCCAAGCCGACCGTAGTAGACTCTTGTTCGTAGCTATCACATTTCATCAGAGATGGCACATTACATCATTCCACATAGTCGGCGTCTTACGATGTATCCGGCTCCGCCTCCTATTCCCTAGCGTGCCATATTATGGAAAACTTCGGCTTAGGTCCTATTGGGCAAATCAATGGGATATGTCTTTAGTGTAATGCTTACCCTCTGTCGTCGTCTTGTAGGACATTTCTCGCGGTCACCAGGCAGTAGTTTCCACTCGTCATCCCTGATCACCATGTAAGGGGCCTGATCTATCTTCTTGTTGGAGAGCCGGTTTCCAAGTAACGCTCACTAAAGAATGGCATTGACACCGCCGGCTTAGGGAAGTAGTAAAACGACGATTATATTAATGAATCTGTCCGGTCCTGTTTCCTAAGGCTAGAATCGCGCGGTGTCGGTGTGTGCTGCATAAATGCTAATGTAAAGGAGGGCTATGACTGTCCATTTGGTTGGTGTGCAAATGAAACTTGGCGGTCCATGGTTGTTTATGCTATCCGGCACCAAGATGGTGGTGTTTTGACTTGTAGAGACCAGTGACACCCCGAAACCAAAGTGTACTGCACAGTACACTATGATCGTAGGCGCATACAATGTATTCGGTTGTCTTTCATCTTCGTATCTGATTTGAGTATTGTAAGGGTCAGATAAAATTTGCCCACAACACAGCTCTTGCTGAGGCAGTGTTGTATCGCTGGTCACGGAGAGCGCACGGCCCCAGATATTACGAGCAGGCGAAGGGGTTAACATCGGGAGCTTTTTAGATCATGAAAATGCTAGCCAATCAATCTCGTTAGAGACTTTGTGAGGTTGGGAATACGTACCTAGGTATAATTGATAAGGGATCCAGAGTGGCGGGCCGAGCCGTCTCCAATTGATAGAGAATTTATCTCGCTCGTCTACTTGAATAGTGTGAGTATGCTAGCGAGACCTACCGCGCCTAGATGAGTACCTAGGTAGCTAGAATTGTTGAGAAAATCATTGGCGGTGCAAGAGATAGAGTTGATAAACATCGAACGATATAGACGGTAAGGTATATGACAAGGACGACCGATATCGAAGCGTGCCGGGGGTGATTAATTGCCCTCGTACAGCAGCTGATCGACATACTTGTCCTACCAGCCCGAGCGAAAACGCACAAAGATATCTGCCTACGATGTAGGTGCCGCGTATGATACAGAGCGAAAAGGGGGGATGGTTGTCTATCAAACCCCAACAAATCATTAGGCATGCAATCGGAAAATTAACTTGATAAGATGATAATTGGGACAGAAGGCTTCGAAATGGAAGTTTGGAGAATGGAACTTTTATGGGGGACTTTATAAAAAAGGACTTTTACAAGAGACTTTTATGGGAGGAAGAGGACTTTATGGAAAGGTAGATACTTAGGTACATGTAACCTAGGGTAGTTTAGAAAGGGAATAGGCAAGCAGATCCCATACCTATTGGGTTTATGTGACTTTGGGCAGCTTCCATAGGTTCCTACATACCTAGGTATGTACATGTGTTGATGCAGGGGCTGACTCCTTTCCAAACACCGTTGCTGCAGTTCAACTTTATGAGGCCTCTCGGTTGAGAATTAGCGTAGCGATTGTAATTATGACGGGATATTTGACAGCTAATGATCTTAATACCATAATTTCCTAGTTGTGCACCCGTACCAATATGCGCGGCGTGTTTTGCTTTGTTTGTTTTGCTTTTCCTCAAATAGACGCCTACATATGTACTAAGTTACCATCATGTACGTACCTACCTAGGCAGAAGGGCGTCAGACTAAGTGCCGACCGTTCTCACTGTGTTAGGAAGATTCTTGAGCCAATCACATAGTCTTATTTGGACAGTAAATCTCATACTAATCGCACGGTCGGCACTTAGTCTGACGCCCTTCTGCTAGGTAAGTACGTACCTATGTATTTAGGTTAATGAAACTTAATTTTGTTCAAAATATAGAAACATAGTATACATAGGACATATTCCTATAGCCCGGCCATTACCCCCAAATCGAATATCATGCACCTCGGTCTCGACCGCCTTAACCATGGATCCCTTGCATACCTACTTTTGCACTAATGATCTCATACTGGCTGCTCTTTCCTGCAGCTGAAATTCCCCAACGCGATCGCCTTTTTTCCTTCTAAGAACAGATCTCCAGCCCACGTCCAATCAAATAACAACAAAGGTAAAATTACTTAGGTATGCCTTGCCACATGTGCCAGTATCCCATTCGCAGAGTACCCTTGATCCAAACGGGCTCGTAGTCACGAACCCCGAAAGGCCCCGAAAGGGGAAAAAGCTATTGCCGAGCAGATACCACACTTGAAGAGACGCCCTGTTGCCCATCAGGATTGTGCTGTGTCTGTAGCGGAATCGAGTCGGCTTCCGCCTTCTTTTTGCCCTTGAATAACTTGGACGCTAACCCTCTCCTAGGGCCCGAGCCTCCGTCAAGTGATGTCGGTACTATAGTCGGAGGTAGCGGGTCCCTAATCACAAATGTCAGCAGGCACCATTACTACCTGGTTATGACGGTCTTCGTACTTCTGGCAACTCCCGCAATTGAACAGACCGCACATTGGATAAGTTGTATTTACGTGTTTAGGCGAGACTCGATTATGTTAGCAGCGGTCCGGCCCAATGCTCGAGGAGTATTGCGTTCCTAAACTGGAGATCGCAGTCAAATCGACTACCGAGCGGACACGATCTTATGTAGGGAGATTTATCAGAAGGCCCCATCCAACGGGCTAATGTTTTCTTTCCCCTTTCCCTCCCCTTTCGCGTTAGGGGATGGCACCGCGTAGTAGGTATCCGCAATCTTAATCATCCCGCCTGAGTGGCCGTCCATGAAGGTATTGCAGATTTTGGGTGGAGTTCCTCTGAAATCCACCCAACATGTATCGATGCCGTCCATCCATAGCTAGCGTTCCTGCATCCCAGACCAAGATGTCAACTTTTGTGGAACACTTCGTGTGGCGCCAAGAAACGACGATGAGGTCTTAGCGTAGTATTCGAAGCATTGTAGTGATAGGTTCCTATGTCTCCGGCTTGAGGTGGTAGAGGATCTATATATACGCATATTCCCCGACAGAAATGAGGCGGACATGATGTACGTCTGTAATTCAGTGCCAGCACTGATTTGGGTCCCTGTCTTCACACGCTTATCCGCATGGTCACACAAAGCACCCACAGACACCTAGGGTTCCATACTCGGATTCCCATGTTTGGTATTGGGTTTATGTTGTAAAAAGATCGAAGGATGAAGTCGGCGCGCAGCTCTTTGGTCAAAACCGGATATTGGAACTAGGGGTCTCTACCATCATAATACCCACCTTCACTACTTCAAAAATGACAATAAATTTCACCACTGTTTGTGAAACAGGAGGGTATTTCCCATGCCATCATTAATACGACACATCCTTAGGGATTACCTGTCATGCTGGAAATTTTCCATAGGATTCAACATTTATTATATAATATCTGGGCGTGCTAGTATCTGGCTAGGTATGTCGATTCCAATTACTCCTGAACCGGATGTCACCTAACACGAGTTAGGTGTTCAACCTTAGACGCTTAGGGCAAGTCCTGATATATAAATAGCAAAATGATACAGAGAATTCTCCTAGAATAGTGGGCTATTTCATTGCCCAGCATACACGGGCCGAACTATTTTTTCACTCAAAGGCGCCGTTACAGTTGTTAAAATTATGAGCAAGGGATATTGTTGTAGTTGTACGTGCAATAATATATATCTGGGAATTATCAATCACGGAGACCCATAAGAAAGAGATGACGAATTTTCCGTCACCGTTACTTGCATGACACTACTCTCAGAAATCTCCTTTTCAGTGCGCAAGATTTAACGTCGCCTGGAAAGCGGGTGTTCGACCTGTAAACAGCACAAATTATCCAGTCACTCTAACCCTCCCTGCTCTCGTTCTAAAGTTGGTATGAAATTGAAAAAGGTCTTGTAGCCTGGGGGCGTGACTAATCATGTTGTTACATACTACCTACCTAGGTAGTCAATAGATCAGGGGTAGACTGGGTTTGGGAGGATCTTTTGGGTGACGATCTTTTGTTTCTCAAATCACCGTTTGGAATGTGTAAAAGGATACGGCGAGTAAATTGTCGGGTGCTGATTGGTTAAAGGGGCTGATTGACGAGGATAGAACGTGACTACCGTAACATTGCATGTATATGCGGGCCGAGAGCAGCACTGCATGTAAGGCAGATTAAGCGAAAACGCCTGGCTAGCTACATGGAATTAGAAACTAAACTACACCGCCTTGGGCGAGCAGAATGTCACACACTTATAGCCTTATCGCATTGCTAATAGTTCCTTCATAGTGATTGAATGAGGCTCTGTGATAGCACCTAGGCAGGTCTTGTAAGTCCATATTTCTATCCCCTTCCATATCCTCAGATTATATAATAACCAAGACTGATGGTTAGGTACCTACCTAGGTAGATAGGAAATGCTATCTATCCATTCCCTTCAACAATTTTAGAAAGTGTAAAACACCACTAGATTCTCGCAGTTTAACTACGGAGATACGAAAAGCTAGATTTCAGCGAGGCTTTCTATGGGAGAGCTAGCCTACCGGAAACATACACAGGTTGGTATAGTGACACCAATGAAAATATTCCCATGAACCATAGTCGAACCACCATCTTAGAGGTCATTTGCCATGGCTTATACTCTACGTAACATAGTGGTCTGTCGTCAAGTTGCTGAAGGGCTTCCACAATGGGCTTTTTACAGCGCCATATGCGACGCACCCTCCATAAAGAAAATTTCTCCCGTTTCCATTGGCCCAATATACCTAGGTACTCTCCGATGCCGATTAGCCTAGCCGTCCTGTAGGGTTAGTCTTGTTGGCAACTCCATAGCCACAAAACAAGTTTGTGTAGACCAACGATAGCTACCATATTGACTAACCATGTAGTCTGCGCAGATAGAGCCGCTAACTCAGCCTCGAAGTAGTAACGCCGTGAGACGACGTGTAGGCGTATTTGGACATTTTCGCTTCATCCAATACACCAGCTATACTGGCCGCCATGCTCAATCTTGTTGCTACTCGACTGATATATATCTAGACTACCCTCTAGTCACTCGTCAGGCGAACCTAATTTACAGAGGATCATGGTTGTGTCCTGTATCTTCGTACGATGGATCCTTTTTCCGAAGCGGAGAAAGGTCAGGCACCGACGACGCCTATTTCCGGCAGTAGAGACGAGGGTGACCACTTAAATGTATCCTCATTAGCCAACCAGCAGGCTAGAAACCGTCAGTGACCATGCGAAGTTTTCTTGTACTTCCTATCAAAGATGAGGAGTAATTGTTAACGCCCCTTAGCACGTCAAGAGGTTCTGGGGGATAGTGTAGGGGACATTGTTTCAAGTATGGAAGTCTGTAAGAACAACATCTATATGTCCTTATTTACCTACCTAGGTAGGTACTCTCTTATGACCCAGTGCTAAACCATAGGCGCACAGTAGCCGAGCCACTCCATGGTTTGGCGAGAGCTGCCGCTCTTCAAAGCTGCTCATACAACCTGAGCCACCAAAGACAATTCAGCACTCTTTGGCATCGACTCTTATTGGAGCTTCAGAGGGATATTACTAAGTTGGAAGGAGTTTGGGCGCGACTAAACGAAAACGATAGCGGAGTTCCCATATCCCAGTTACGGGAACAGGTATCTGTTATAACCAACCACCCTCTGCTATGTCATTCCTCGTGTTATAAGCGCGCCTGACGATGAGGAACAGGGCCTTACCGAAAGTAACGGCGGAAATAGGGCATCCAATCACCCGCTATTCCAGTCAAGTGCGGAGCAAGCTTGCTCCAGAGACCTCCTATTCAAGAAAACGTTCGACAGACTAAAGCTCTATAGTTAGTGGCCGAAGGTCTAGCCCAAGGGGAATGTGTGTTGACTTGCCAACTTAGCCGAATCAGTACTCCTTGTACACCAACTTCAAAAACTGCCCCGTACAAGCCGCTGGGAATGGTCGAGCCTATACCAAACATTCAAAGGCGAGAACCTATTGAAAGATAGCAGTTGGAATTTCTTGTGCTTCCAGGACGACTTCTTGAGCACTCGAGCTGAGCGAGCCGACCGAACCTTTGCCGGTCTTGTATATGGTGATGCGCCTCTCTCTGTAAGCTTTGACACCCTTATTAAAAAGACATCTTGTTAGATGTCTAGGTAGTTATGGCAGGGAAGTTTCTTCTAACTACCGTTGAAGAGGCTATTCAGATGGATTTTCAAAATAAGAAATCGCGAATGCAAGGGGAACGAAGCGAAAGCTAGGACAATGATCTACCTACACACTGGTGGCATGGAGTCGCTCAAGAACGGTCTCGTGGCTACTGGAAGTGGTATTATCTTGATGGTTCCAGTGGGAATACTGCTTCTCCAGCCCATGGATAAAGTAACGTCGTTGGTAGTGGTGGTGTGTTTCGGAGCGGCGTTTATCTTCGTCTTAATGTTGCTGGGTAAAGGGTTGGACACGATGCTCTATAGTTTCTCAGCGTATGTGGCTGTGCTCGCCAGGTATGGATCCTGTAAAGCTATCTTCCTGGCACTGCTGATGATAAATGGCTATAGTTTCCTAGCAAATATTCAGAGTAATGGCACCCCTGCATGCTAATCTTGAGAGCACTGGAACATGGTAGGGGTAGTCCGAGTGAAAAGAAAATCGGCACTATCCAAAGGCGCGGAACATCGGTTTTGGGGAGCTGTAGGTTTACCTGGATAGGTATTTGCCTTAAGGTTAATAGGAACGAACGGGCCTCTGTAGTCTTCTCGTAATAGAGGCTGTTTTCTCTTTGAAGGGGGTGAAGTTGGTAACAATAGCCATGAACTCGTCTGTAACTGGTCAAATTACCGACACAGCCGCGTCAAGCATTTCGGTGAAGGTTTCTAGAAATGATTGGTTGGTTTGTCTTCCATTCGGCGTCTAAAAGAAAACCCTGTAGCGGGTACCTTGTACCTTTCGTGTGGCCCCCTGTCTTTGTATCTGGGCTACTTGTGCTACCTAGCTACGAAGCAATCCGAGAGAATTAAAGCACACTTACCGACTTTGGTAACATCCTAAATACGAGAGGAAAAAGGCAAATTTAATTTAATTGCAGAAGAAGCATGATAAAAAATGCGTGAGTGCGTATGCCGTGCCGCTTCTCAAGTTATCGAGACAGCCTATCATCATCTATATCTTCTACTATCTTTTGGTAACTGATACTCTACTGTATACTGAATTTTGTCGATCTCGATGTACTAGCAATCTAGGAATATTAGTTAGACCATGCAACCGGTAATTTGTCCTGTGTATACGCATCCCACTCAGGCGTCAGAGTTGATCGCCAGCGGCCTGTCCCATCTTGTTTTGGGACAGCAAGTAACTAAAATAGCAGGCAGTTTCGGGGTTATGATCGTGTACACCCGGACTTACTCACTCTTCTGGGCAAGCCGGCCTGTCTGCGTGGCCTAGTTCATCAGACCATTTCCAGGCTTAACGAAACTTGGGATATCCAGGATAAGTATTCATACAAAAGCGTATGTCCAATGGCGGATAATCTGACCTGCATAAGTACTGTCTCTGATAAGCGTCTACACCGCCCCCTTGCAGTAGATCGCAACGGAGAGTCTAGAAATCGTCGTATAGAATGGTGATAGCATGTACACGTCAAATATACCAAGTGAAATAATGTAGTCACATACATGCATGGAGATCGGTACTTTGGGGTCCAAATTGCAGCATGTCCATGCTATGCTGAGTGTAATGTAATATGAAAAATTTTTGTGCGCCACCATCAACACTGACCGGGGATTCGTATCCGGTATTGCAGAGTATGCGCTGTCACGTCCCTTTCTGGTCTCTTTACATTAAATACTCAATGCTCATATTTACCATGCGTATGAGTCGTGGATAATATGCTACAGTGACGAAACAGGGATAGGCAGGAAGGAAAAATCATGCTTCAATGCATCTATCTTGCCCGTGAAAGTAGCAAAACCCGGGGGGCAATACGCTTCAGGCGAAATCTCGTTGTTACCCCTGACTACTAGTCATAATTAGTCTCGTTGGAGTTGGACTGAAGCAAGGAACATTAATTTCCTTATGCAGGTAAGTACCCAAGTAACCAAGTAGTTTCTGGAATACGAGCTCCTGGTGGGCTATGGTGGGCTATACTAAGAGACAATCGTATATTTCTTATAGTGTAATTTGAAGACCACCGAGTGGTAAGTCTGCGTTCTAAGTGTGGCTAATTTGCAAGGCAGTGATGCGATAGTTCGGAAACAATCCAATTTGGAAGCTGGTCAGATTCGAGTGTTTGAGTGTTGGGACCCGTTCGAGTAGAGGAAATGGTAGAACTCAAACCATTTCACCTGTTCAACAACAAACGGTTCCAGGCTTTGCCGACTCATCGGCATTAGTATTGAGATTTACTGCGTTACCTTACACAAATCTTAGCAGGCGCGAAATGATTTATCGGTAGCGAAAGTAGTTGTTCAATTATTGGATTTAAGTAATATGAGCTTGACATATTAGCCTTAGAGTAGGAAAGGCGTCTAGCTTACTGGCGCTGTCATGAACAGCATGTGCTACGATGTTGCGTGGATTATACATGGACAAAGCCTACTCGTAGGTCCCGTGTTTCCACCGAAGTATATAAGGCACCATTGTATCCTAGCTCAGGTTTGTGATTCTGTCGTGTCGTCGCAGGTATTCTCCCACAGAGATCCCTTTACCCTGTCGCCGAAGGTTCGCTCTGCAAATCGTTTTCGCAGTGCATTTCCGGCCTTCAAAATCACCCGTATTGGCATGCACTTCATCTTATAGATAACCTCAAAGCGTCTGCGGTGGACACATCCGATCGTCAGTTTCGATATCGGGTTCTTGCGCCTGATTGTCTGTACGTATGCAATGTCGAGAACCGTCCGACATAGATCCACGTTCGTCTCTGGCCGGCGTATTTACCTGCTCTACCAGAACACGTAATCGCTTCTGTAAAGTCGCCTATTCGGGGTTTCGCACAATACCCGGTGAGTTTTTATCGTAGGTGAGTAGGCTGGGTCCAGTCTAGGCTTGTTGGATGAACACGACTGTCGAACGTCCTAGCCTTACAGCTAGCGAAGGATGGTACGCGATAAAGCCCTAGAAAGTACGGTAATACGGGGGAGGTTTGTAGAGAGCTTACCTTGACCTGGTAGTGGACTAATGTTATTGAATCCTTGCTGAGGAATTTGTTAATTGGAAGAGTGGACGATTGTACCTAAGAGCCTCGTAATTCAGGTAGGTAGATGTGATGGCAAGATTGTCGCCAGTCATTGTTAAAAAGCGCTGATACTTATTTCTAGGAATATTTCCAAATGCGTGGACAGGCAACCAGCATCCGGTAAGGTCTTCGACAGAAATACGTAGAGTACCTACCTAGGTAAGTAATTTACTAAGTTCTGGCTGACATTTGACGAATGGGGTGGTGATAGCAAAGAATTGGCTAAGTGTATCGTATATTGTACAGTGTCTTGATGTAATCCAATTCGCGATATACCCGGATAGTGTGTCGGATTTAACCCTAATCGACAATAGGCGCCCAACGATCGTAAATTTGAAATCCTCATGGGTCGCGGCGCTTAGGAGCAAGAACCTTGAAGTAAGGCTGCCTTCAGTCGCCTTAATTCGAGGGGTTGGGCTAGGTCTTCGATGGCTGGTAGCAAAACTGCACCTGCTACAACGTCCCATTGTCTCATTTCTATAATGATAATTACCTAGGTATGTAGACCGGAGTGATTATGTTCCTAAAAATTGACAGCCGTTTAGATAGCTAGTCAATGATGGCGCGTGTCAGCAGCATATCTATGAGCTATTTGGCCAATCCTGACAGATGGAACCAGCCACCAAAAAAAGGTCGGCCAGAGCCCTTTTTCTTTCTCTTCCTGTCTCTTCTTTCAACCAGTTCAGCCAGGCTGCCAGGAACGTAATCAATAGTATTCTAATAAATTTTTCTTTTCGCGGAATTCAATTGGCCATGCTTCATCCTGAGGCCCTAACCCGAGTACATTACATATACCATACCCAAAGTCTCAAGATTGACAAATATCCTTGACAATGAAGCGCAAGCACTGCAGTCAGATATATATCAGCTACTGCTCAGATTTTTTTTCTAATTACAATTCAGTACTTGCACATTCTCATTGGAATTATTGTGGAATTACTCCCTTTGTATACGAGTTGGTTATGGGAGAGCAGTCCCCGCAATTCATGGCACGTGCCGTGCTTAAAATAAGGTTACACTACTTCCTAGGTACATACTAAGTATGTATGTACCTAGATAAGTGCGTACCCACCTCTCGGGCCGTTCCGTGGGTTTACCTAGGTAAACACCATGTTCTCGCCGGTTTCCCCTGCTTTAGAGGCAGTCGAGGCGATCTGAGCCTAAAAAAGAGTATAATTATCGAGACATCATTCGGGATGATAGCGATATTAAGCTGCAGGGAGAGATCGGTTACACCAAAAAGGCGTTTCAATTGATTAATGAGAGTTGGTGTAATAGTCACGAAGATTTTAGGCGCTTTTTGCGTCTTTGATTAAGAGTGAAGAATATTGGGGAGGAGGTGGGAGAAGAAGGGTGCATTTTATTCTTCACAGCGAACTCTTCAGAACTGGCTACGGCGCTAGACTAATTGAAGCCCTAGCAGCCCCGATTGAGGAGCGACACGGTCAAAGACATACGATCGATGATGAAATTAAAGAGCAACCATCCATTAATCCCCCGCAGCACCGACAAGGATTGAACATCCAAAAGGAAAAAGCATGTGGCAATGGCGAGTAAAAGGAAGGATATCCTTCACCGGAAGGTGCGTAATCGGGCTTTTTCCTATGGCCCTAATCTGGGCATGATTAGTCTGACCAAATTTATTCCCCAGTCTACTCCTCCTTTTCTCTTTTCCCCCCTTTCGCCCCCCAAATTACAATATCTACGAGATTTGAAAATCAAACCTAGGCTATATTACTAAGTGAACGGTACGACATCGTGGTCTTTCTCGACCCATTCTTTAGGAATATATATACGGTTAATTTTAGGAATTTGGCGCTGGCGTTGGAGACCAATACCTAACCCTTAGCTGCGATCTCAGATATCCAAGCCTTCTCAACAGCGCGCTGCGTACTATGGAATATTGAGGACTAATCCAAAGCAATATCATTTAGCAACGAAGGAACTTATAGCATACGTCTTCGCAATATCAAGGGTTTAAGTTTAGCAACCAGCAATCCCGACGGTACAGCTGTTTCATTAATGACACTGTGATAGACGATACGTCAGCACCAAGCCACAAGTTTACGGGTTTATATGTCAGTCTATGAAGGGTGCTTTTCATTGTGCTAGTAATTCCTCATTGCAAGTACTACGCGCATCGCAAAAAATGAAACGCAGCCGTCCTATTTCCTTTAACTCATAAATTTATTAGTTTTAAAAGGCCTCAAGCTAAGTTTATCTAATACCGGTGAAATTATCCAACAAAGTCACCTGAAATGAGCGAACTAGCGTGATAATTGCCTAACTAGTATTATTGCGAAGGTTACATAGAAGTAACTAGAAGCACTATGGACTGGCTAGGTAGTTAGAATCACGTAAGGGTAAGGAGATCATGTCTTGATACATAACATTTCGATCGCTCGCTGATTCAATGAGGTTTTCTAGTCGCAAATAACCCTTTTAATCGAAGAACATCCGAAAATCTAAGTTACGAGTATCCGGGTGCGCAGATAGGGTCATGCCGATAGCTATATCTGAGACATACATGATATTGAGCGTTTTCTCCCAGCTAGAGATTCGGAACCATCCACATTTTCACCACACCCTATTTCAACGGCGGGAGAAATGTCTCTACCAAATTATCGATCCACATCTTTACCTAGGTACAGATCAAACCCATACCTCGAGTGATAACATAGATTCCTCGCGTCCGAGTGCCATCCTGTATAGGCATTCCGGCCGGTCTAGGAGTGTGCTACGAAATAGGAGGTACGTCGGAACCATTAGTCTCCGACTATCTATTAGGTCACAATGTGAGTCAGCTTCT